TCAGTGATTCTGCTGGTTAACAGCAGGTGTTCATCAGTGTCTGAATTAACTTGAAAAATTACCTAAATTAATAATTGAATTATTAAATTAGCCAAGTGGCCTAAATTAGTGAACTAATGTAGGGAATAGTGAACGAGGATATAGGGTCTCTGAGTGTGAACTTTGAGCGCTGTTTACTCGCAGAATATACCTGTAGGCTAGTTTCTCGAAAAGACAAATATCAGGTTTTACATTCTGCATATCAATCCGTGACAAATTCATAGCATTGAATCCTCTAATAATACTTAAAAATGCCATTTCATTATCAATAAAGCGCTCAATCTCTAAAGAAAGACCTTTTCCTTCTAAATATGTTGAAATTGAGTGAATAGCCCACAGATAAACTTATGATCTTCGATGTTGTTTTGAGCGTTTTAGACAATTATGTAAAGCAACAATGAATAAACATTTTTTGTTTGACTTGACTGAGGCGTTATTAGCCTCATTATTAATTTTCATTTTTTATTGATGAAAATGTTTATCTTAGCTATTCGAAAAGTATAAAAATTGATATGTCACAAAATGGAATTGGCATTACGTCTTAATTACATGACAGATAAAAACAGAGTCATTTTTAAACTCAACTCCGTAAGAGGATATCCTAATAATTATCCAACTTCTGCATATATATCATTTTACAGTGCTTCATGTAAACGTATTGACTGCATTCATATAATAGATGATAATTGCACTAATTTGGGCAGTGCATGGAGAGAGTCGATCACTGAAGATAACAGAAACCATAGAGACCAGGAACAGAAAACACAAAAACCCAAACCAAACACACGAATACTGACAACAACTGTGGCCTTGCTTTTCTAGTTTAACTGTTCTAGTTTTCTAGTTTAACAGCCACAGCAACATTGTTTCGGCCCAGATCCAGCCCACATCTGGCACTTGTGGGATGCGGATCTGGCTCACATGCAGCAATGAATGATACACTGATTTTGTGTCTCAGATAAAGTCCAGTTGTGGTTTATTTCTTTGCTCTTGGCTGACATGTGGCATTGCTATGGCCTGCTTGTGGCCCAGATCTGGCAAACAGGAGTGAGCCAACCAAGGGCCAAGAGTTTATGGAGCCTAAATGAGTCCAACATCACACTCATTTATTTACATTTGTTTTATATTTATATTTGCTTATTCGTTTAACAGGTTTTTTTTTTCTTACAAATGAGGACAAATGCAAACAGCAGTCATTCACTGGCAGGAGAATACGAAAGCACTGCAATATTATCTTTTAACTTTTGCACAATACTTAATTTTTTTATTTTCTTTCTTTGGTATTTTACTTAACTCAGATTTTACTTTCATAAATTACACAATAGTAAATACAAAGCCTACAAATTATTCTTTTTACAAATTATACTTAATTATATACAAATACAAATTATTCTTTTTTTTTCTTTCTTTTTAACTTGTTGTTCGTACACATCAGGTTAGTTGATGTGGCAGGTGATGTCCTGAAAAACAAATGACTAAAGACTAACACACCCATCTGAAATACTCACATGAGCAGGTTTAAACTGTAAGCTGTGTAATAATTCTGTGTTAGACTTTCATGAAGTATCTGTAGTGAAACAGGTTCTGTGTGAAGAACAGGATTCATTATGAACAGATGATCTTTGTTTCCACTGTCAACTTTCACTCTTTTACACGTCACTGTTGCAATGGACTTTGCAAACTAAAGAATGAAATTAAAGCTTCTGTGTCTTCAAATAAACACTACAAATATAACTAAAACAACAACAAGGCTTTACCAGATAAACAGTGAGAAAATAATAAAAAGGCTGTTGCCGTTTCTCTTCTCTCCATCACAAGTTCGATCCAATCACAACATCCTCCCTGAAACAACACTCAAAAACATGTTGTGTTGGCTTTACTTAACTTTTTTTTTGTAAACAGGTTCCACCGGTTCCACATAACTTGGTTTCGTTAAACAAACATAATTTGTTCATTTAATGAGTTTAGAAGTTTACTGTAAAGCAAAAAATATATAATTTTGTATATTGCTATAAAATCACAATATATGATAGCATATCTGATATCATACTAATTGTGCTGCTAAAAGGTTTTAAAGCACTGTTTTAAATTCAAATTAAAAGAGTGTGTTAAACTTTTGAATTATACTTAATTATATCACATGAAAATAGATGACGGGAAAACACGTTTTTACAACATGCATGATTCGCAATAAAAACAATGTTTATGCTGAATCCAAATCAAATATTTGATAAAACTAACATTAGCTAATATTCTTATACATGTATGAAATAAATAAACCTAAATTCACATATTTATGCTGAGCTCATCAATATTCATATAAACACAAACTCAAAGCACTGGCTGTGTGTAAAGGTATGAAGGGATTTCTGGTGTAGCTTCATCCTTCATTCATCGAGACTCAGAACACTGTTGTCTTTAACCAACAACTGCACACTGAACTGAAACTGATGTGACAGAATGAAGCACAGAGTAATCGAGTCCTCTGCTGCTCTCTGGAGGAAATCACACAATAATTCATCTGATTATCTGTGAAATACTGCCAAAATATCATACATACACAACAACTGCAGACGTGAAAATTGCTTATTAATTATGACAAATCCCAAAAAATATCCATTAACTTAGGTTTTTCAATACTAAGTTTTTAAGTTAAAATGAACATGAATTTATAAATAAAAGAGTGCTTTTTAGGTGTTACTGACCAGGAGTTATTATAGTTCACTCAAACTAAAAACATGAACAAACATTTTTCTGTACTTAAAATAATCATTATCTGAAGTAAAATATTCAAAATCTCATTTTATTTTACTGGGGGAAAAAGATTCTGAACCCTTGTAAATGTTACATGTTTTATTTGGTCAATTTCAATGTGTTATTTAATCTTACTTATTTTTTATTATTAACTTTCAAATTCACTGCCCTTGTTTAGAACAAGTTAATTTTATTCAATGTTTAATTTAAAATTGTGGCAACAGATTACAAGAAATATTACAATATTATTAATTAAATTGATCACATTACACACAGCAAAAGCTCCAGTGTTAAATTAACTTTAACTTTCAGTTCATTTGGCTCCAGACTCAAGAGTGTTAAAGTGTTAAAATATGAGTGTTAAATTAACACTCTTGAGTGTGGGGTCATATAAACACCCAGGAGAGTTAATTTAACACAGGAGTAAGTAATAATTAATCAAAATAATTCCTTAAAATTTAACCATTTAAAATGAGTCAAATTTATTTTTTAAACAAAAATGTCTGAAGAACAGACAGATGTCAAAGACAGACGGACATTGCCAACATTGAAGACACCTGATGTTATCAAGCAAAATCACTGAAGGAGTCCTTGTTTTTTCTTCGGGGTTTGTGTTTCTCTCTCTTACTTTCACTTTCACAGGCCGTCGCTGATTGGCTGTAATACCTGTCAATCACTCGTAACGAGACAAGTGGGTTTGCCTGTGAGTTGGGATCATCATCAGCACGATGCGTGACACCTGGAGAAGCCCTACACGCATCATGCTAACAGCGGGAAGAAGAGAGAGAGACTTTTTGTTTTTGCCTTGAGATGTGTTGTTTTCTCTCCGGTTGATTTAGTTCTGTTAAGTGTTTGCTTTATTTGTCAGGTTACGCTTACCTTTTGAACTGAGTGATCCCTGAGACTTCTCATTCGTGATTGCTTTTCAAAGCTGGGTTAGTTGAAAAGGAGGAAGGGAATAGGTAAGAATGTCACGTGAGTGAGTGACCATACATTTTGTACACTTAGTTGTCTTTTGTGTCTATGTGCCACCCCGTGTATTTTTGTGTTCATTAATCAGTGTAGTTTAGATACGGCGTCTAGGACGTTGAAGACTTTTTCTTTGATCTTTTGTTGTAGTCTAGGTTTAGATTGAAATGGTTTAGTTAGTTTTGTTTTGCTTATGTTACTTTCGTTTGTTTGGCACAAATCCTGTTTTCCCGTTTTCCTTTTGCCCGTTTCACATGTAATATAAATTACTTTCTCTTTATTAAATTATTTTTCATTCTATTTTTGACTGTGTCTCTCATGTTTCTCAACTTACAAAGTGGTCCATAGAGACGTTTGACTGAACTGGTCTTGTGTCCCCCTTCTAATATTCCCTGGACAGGTGAGAGCCAAAGAAGGGTCGTAACAAGGGAAAAAAAACTGTAATTTTAAGTCACCATTATGACGATCATTGTTTGCTTTATTTGACTCTTGACCATTAAATCATTAACTTTAGACTTGTTTTGCTGCTGTGTCTGAGTTATAACGGGCAGATGAACAAATAGAAAATGTGATATGATGGTGTTGGTTGTTATTTATCATAATCAATAATTCACATTCATTTGACCTGAATCATTGAATTCATATAGAGCTAAATTTCTGATATAGATTATTTTATTGATTAACAGCACTGGCATTGTACATAATTATAAGTACAACCAACTAAAATAAAAGTACACTCAACTTAAAAAAATATATATATGGATTTAGATAAATTTATTTCATGCAACCCCTTGACATAATAAAATCAAGTAAAGTCAATATAACATTTTTTTTTCAGTGCCCAAAGGCTGAATTTATAATTTTCATTTAGTTTAACTTGATGTTCTAAAATATCTCAAACTAAATCACAAAAACTTTAATGTAAAAAAAAACTAAACTAAACTACAATTAAAAATAAAACTGGAATTATAAAAATAAAACAAAATTCAAAATATTAATGAAAACTGTAATATCTCTATTCTCTATAATAAAGTAATAATCTTACAGTTTTAAATATTTTGAATTACTTTTCAACTTTTATAAGTTAAAATTGTCATACAATCTGAATTAATACTCTTTTCTTTATAAAAATAGAGAAATTATATAATAAATGCATGAAATTATAAGAGCACAAACCAAAAAAAAAAAACTGTTTAAAAAATGACAAAGACAAAATGTTGTTTCTGTGTCCAAAAGTGTTAAACACACACATTTCCATTCATGGTAAAAATAGACCATCTGTGCAGCAGAAAAATCAAAAAGATTGAACTAAATTAAATTTATTTAATAATAGAGAGTGAATCACTGTTAAACTATATAGACGTATTTTTGATGTGTGGTGAAACACTGAAAGTTTCAATAAGAAGTTAAAAAGCACATTAGTTTTCATAATTCACACTCATTTCCCCTGAAATTGCATGAGATGAAATTTACCCACATTTATCAGATAACCGGCTCTTATTAAAACTGGCCCTGTTTTTTTAAAAGCAGTGATTGACTCTGATAAATCAATGACTGAAGAAAAAAAATGCAATTCCCATCATATAATTTACACTCCTTGAATTTTTAAATATTTCCATTATACTTTCATAACCTGAATGTTTCTTCAATAGCAGAGACATGAATGATCTTTCACTTCCTTGCTAATAAAGTATCTCAGTAATTCATTCATTAACGACAAATGGACAACAAACGGACTCTGCAGCCATAAACTTTGGATATTATAAATCATACACACATTAATGGAGTCCAAAATTGTCGTCACACCACTTCTGAAAGCACTTCTCAGCCTCTTCCACCTTCTTCTTGTCCTTCATCTTATATTCATCTGTCTGATCATCAGTTCTTCTGTAATAAACTCTGACAAGCTCTTCATTAAACTTCTCTGGCAGGAAACTGGACAGCTGTCAATACAAGACAAAAATCACACATACTGAGTTTTATAAAGATACTCAATCATAGAGTATAAATGTAAACTTCACTGCGTCCAACAAGACAAAGTTCAAGCTCCAGTCCGATTGGTTTACCAAAAGAACATTATAAAGGAATATATGGCACCCATTTAGAAATATTCTTCAATGATCAGGAATAAAACAGTTTGAGTGTCATGAATACCTGATAATCTTTAATGGTTGAAGCTTTGGTGGGATTCCTCTTGCTGTAGAAATAGACGGATTCAATGGGGTTTTTGTCCTTCATGCCGTGATCCAGATCAACCACCTGAGCTTGTGAGAACACGAGGTGATTCACTAAACAATTCTGCTTTATTTCAGTGTAAAAACCTACACAAATTATATGGTTTAAGAATGTAAATCTGCACTGAAATAACATATAACTTACATAAACTGGTAATTCTTCAGCGTTCAGAGAAACAGTCGGGTCAGTGGGGTTGTACTTCTGCACTGCGGCTTTCCATGATTTCGTCAGAATTTCCTGATTTGACAGGGTTTGTCAGTTTTAATCAAACAGTAAATCGATGTGTTTTTCCGTTTCTGTCCAACCTTTGACATGTTTTCCTCAGTCAGACGAGCTTCTCCCACAAACTTTGGCAGTTTTCTCCTGGAGATCTTGTCCAGGATGTTTCTGGATTCCTGCAGGTTTTCAGCAGTGGAGGACGAGATCTGCTCAAAGATCTCATCTGACACAACAACAGAAGTTTTTTATGTCATGAGACACATAAGAGAGAATTTATCCAGGTTTTCCGGGATATTTTTATCTCTTTTAGCTTTGAGTTTCCATGTTTTTCACCTGTACTGTGAGCTGACCTGTGAGTTTGCTGTATTCCTCTGCTGTCTTTATGGCTTCAGAAATCTTCAGCATATCTTTAGGTTTCCCTTCATGAAGATCACGATCAGCTGATACGAGCGCTTCTGCAAACCTAAAACATTTGAGTTAGTGTTTCCAACATGTATAAGAATCACAGTCTAATGCTGAATTTGTGTTAGAAGAATAAGTCATGCATCAGGTTAAATATTATTAAATCTCATATTCACTGCAATCAGAGAGACTCACATCTCTTCAATGATATTGCAGATCTTGTGCTGGTAGGCCTGGCGATGGAGAGTGTATCGAGTGCGAAACATGTCATAAACATTATCAGCCTCCTGTTAGACACACAAACACCAGTCACAGATCCATTTCCCATGATGCAGTGTTCACATTCAAGAGCTAATGTCACTTTTTATCTGAAGTTTTAAGCAGAGAACACAGCAAAATCCCTAGTGTTAAATTATCACTTAAAAAATGTGAATTATATAAACTCTGAGCAGAGTGTGAATCTCAACAATGGCGACAATTATAAAGCATGTTGCGTTGCATTCTGGGTGCCACCAATCAAAACTCATTCATGGCTCCCATCATGCATTACTGCATGAATAAATAATGAGCTTATGTTCAGAGGTGATCTGATTGTCACCATTGCTGAGATTCATACGCTAATTATTGATGTCTGTGCGTGCCTACATACAGAATTTATGCTCTTGATGAGTTCAGCGATTCAGGTCAATTAATGATTATGTTAAGAAACAATCAGATCACTTTTCCTATTTATTCCTCTGGCTGTTATGTCCCAAATTCAGCCAAACAAAATCTAAAGTTCACAACTTTAGGGTTATGAGCCCAACTAAAGCAAACACTGATCTCCATAATGGTGACTTAAAAATTCCGGTTTTCTCCTTCAGAGATTCTGCTTGTTATCATCAGGTGTCTTCAATAATGCTCAATCATCACTCAATTATTCACTTAATTATCTCATTAACTTTAATACTGCCTCAGTGTTCATTTAACACTCTGCTCAGAGTTTATATAAGTCACACTCTCAGTGTTAATAAAACACTGAGGATTTTGCTGTGAATATAAATGTAAAATGAACCTTGTCTCTGAAACAGATGTGATTTCTCCCGTTCACTTCACACACTCTAGAGAACTTCAGCAGACGTTGATGGTCAAAGCTGTTTCGAATGCCGAGGTGATAACAGTCTCTGAGAAATAAATATTCAATATAGAAATAAAAAATATACAAAGTATTTAAATTAGAGGATAATTTGGTTCAAAGTTACACAGCAAAAACTCCAGTTTGAAATGAACTTTCCTTGGAGTTTATATTGCTCAGACTCAAGAGTGTTGAAGTTAATGAGACTGTGACAGAGTGACCTGTCCCTGTTGGTTAGCGCAGGACTTAGACATCTGTTCAAAACGGCTAATAATATTTACCGTGCGAAATAGTCCCATTTGTCCACATCAATGCCATTCTGTTTGTTTGCCACAATCTCATACAGGAAGGATTTGTCTTCAGCTCTTCCCTTGTATGTCCACTGAAGTGAAAAGCAAAGGCTGTATGTAAATGAGGCTTTATCACATCAATAACAGATAAAGTATCAGTATGAACCTCAGCCGCTGAATCTTTAGCCCCTTCGATTAACTCTTTAATGAAGGTGACGTCTTTATCATCCAGTCCGTGCTCTTTCAACACATTCTCATTCTCAGTCTTCAAACTCTTCACAATGTCATCAAACATCTGCACTGACATCTGTTCATGCTGCAGTAAAGACACATGAAATCAGAAATACACACATTACAGAAGCCAACGGCACTGAGTGTGTGTGAGCAATGTGTTCATTCTCACCTTCCATGTCTCAGGGATGTCATCATACAAGCCTAAGAAAAAAATGCAGGTGTCATGTGGATTGTAAGTCATGTTATGCACATTAACAAATTCTTTCAATTCATTTCATGGCTTGAGTTCTGCATGTCCAAATGTAAAAATAACATGAGTAAGTAATTTGCATGTCCACAGACACTTACCTCTTATTTTTTTCTCTTCTTTTGCTTTAGGAATAACCAGACCATCAAATACGTGGGAAAGTGGACCATGACCTAAAATAAATGAAGAGAAACTGGATAATTCTAGGTATGGTTATCACCCAAAGGGTTTGGGTGAGTTTAGACTCCATGACGAATACAAAAACACAAAACACTGAATATTGGATTATTTTCACTTTTTCTTTTACTCACCCAAGTCGTGACACAGTCCAGCGATCTGAACACACAGGAAATCCTGTTTGGTGATTTTGAGCTCTGGCTGATTTTCATGAAGAATCTTGACCAGACAACCTGATAAATACGCCACACTAACACACACACACAGAGACAAAAACACCACAGTTTGTACCAAAAATACTGAATAACAAAAAATATTTGTATTTGTTTCCTTGCATGCCATGTAAAAACATCAACAACATCAGAGAACTGTGAAGGTGTAAATGTTGTCAAATTATTGAAATATTAACTTTAAATCTCTCAAATTATTACCTTAAACATAGTTACTTAAACGGTCTAAAAATGTGATCTCAATATAATAATATTTCACCCAAGTGAGTGTTCGAAGCGATTGTGAGAAGCTCCCGGATACACCAGATATGTTCCTCCGAGTTGTTTGATATGTCGCAGTCTCTGAAACTGAGGTGTATCTGTGATCTTCACCAGCAGGGGGTGCAGCGCAATGTGACCATGAATGGGGTCGTTGAAAATCTACAGCACGCAAAACACAACAGTTAATCACATTAACATTCGATGCATTTCGCGACTTAACATGTACAAAAAACATGTTGTTGACAAGTGATTTTGTGACCTACAAAAATCATTTCAATGGTGAATTCACATTTGTCCACATCATGACTGGTGACACGTGAGTAATTGACTCATTTACTCAACCTATTTGTTTCAAGCAGTGATTCATTTTGGAACATAGTGCTGCTTGTTTTGTTGCAAAACAAAGAAAAGTAAAGCGCACATTTATGCAAATTCTCCATGACAGGTGCTCTCTGTTATCCATTAAAATTAAGAAACTTTTACACACAGACACCAAGTAAAGTGTCACATTTCAATTTGATTATTAGACAAATGCAATTCACCAATTTAATACATATCAGCAGAACGGCTTGTACGTTCTTTCAGGGAGGTCGTGAAATGTGAATAGACATTATAAGCAGAAATGTTAAATGAGTAGTTAGTTTACCTTCATTTGTTCTTTTGATAAGTCTAATGAGTATTTCTTCAGGATGTCTTGCAATTCATCATTAATAATCTCCCATGCCTGTTGTTTCACAGGCTCTGGAAAAGCATGACATTTTATATCCTCAGTGTAAAATTGTAAATTCGTATATTTCCATTATGGAGATCAGTGTTTGCTTTAGTTGGGCTCTTGACCCTTAAATCATTAACTTTAGAGTTTGTTTGGCTGCAGTAACTGAGTTAACAGCCAGATGAACAAATAGAAAAGGTGATCTGATGGTGTCGGTTGTGTTTTAACCTGATCAATAGTTGGCCTGACTCATTGAACTCATTGAGAGCATAATTTTAAAGTTAAGTTTTGTAGCTTATAGATTATAGCAGTACTCATTTCTATTAAATCAAAATGATCAAATCAATTACAAAAAACCCCCAAAAATATTTCAAATAGGCACATACAGACATCAATAATTAGCATATGAATCTAAACAATGGTGACAAAAAGATGACCACTGAACATAAGCTCATTATTTATTTATACAGCAGATTTGATTGGTGGCATCCAGAATACACTGCAAAATACTTCATGATTGTCACCATTGTTGAGATTCATAGGCTGATTCTTGATGTCTTTTCAAATTATTTGGATAACACTGTAAAAGATATGGATATTATGATTTTTTTTTTCAAGGACAATGCAGGTCAAATGATTGTGAAATGATAATAATGTTAAAACACAGTGAAATAACCTTTTCTCTTTGTTCATCTGACTGTTGTAACTCAGGTACAGCAGCCAAACAAAGATCAGAAGTTAATCACGTAAGGGTCAAGAGCCCAACTAAAGGAAACACTCATCACTCATCACATGAACCAACCAGGCTTCATTATTCTGAGAAAAACTATGTTTTCCCCATAAGCATCAGAAAACACTTATGCAGTGTGAGTGCACCGTATCGAAAGGGAAATATATTGTAAACGCAAGAAAACATTTTAGCCATGCATTTATAGTGGATGTGTATGGGCAAGGCTTTCCAGAAAAGTGCAGCTTATATTTGTAGTTCATTTTAGAGCTAACATAAATGTTTCCATACAAACAATGAGCAGTAAAGTTTTCTCATTTAATATTTTAGCTATGGGACTACTTTTAGGAAGTAGTTCAAGTTCTAGTTATGCCTTTCTGACATAATTCCTGTATGAGTCTTTCTTGTAAACAACTTCCTTTCTATCCTCGTCATATCTATTGCATTCACTGTATTTCTTGTCATCTCAAGTCAAGTCAAGTTGTGGTCCAAAAAAACAAAAAACTTTATTTGTATGATTTAACAAAACTCCTTATACTTGAATGATAATCTTGTGCTGAACTTCTTTTCGCCTGGTTTGTAAATCATATGTAACAGATGGATATTACTCTAAACACAAATATATGAGCAGGAGATAATGTATCACATGAAACTCAGTAATTTATATATACACATTATCATTTGACAGTGAGTTGTGTACATGTCTTTCCTTACCTTCAACTTCTTCAAATGACTTTTTTAGATCTTGAAGATTTTTCCTGAGATCAGAGAAAGATTGTTTGTTTTTTCCAGATTGTGGCATTGTCCTCTTTTCGTGGGTTGTTAAAAGCTCAGATGAGGAGGGAATACAGAACTGTGTACAGATTTTATAGATCCAGCAGCTCAACCCACTGGAATACATGAGGAAAGTTGTCATTAGGGATGGCTGAAGCGAGATCCCGAAGTGCAGATGATTCAAAACACAATCCGACGAGTGATTCAAAACACCCATGTCACATGACTACGGCTAAATGAAGCTTCTGAGTGTTTCGACAGGCAGAGTTCTCAGTCGATTTAGCGTTTGATTGACAGGGTCGGGAACAGAACACACAATCGCACATCTGTATAAAAGTGAGGTCAACTTATCTTGATCTCATGGGTTTTTGTGAGATGTCACCGTAGGTGTCACAGTTGAGACGGATTTCGAATTGTTTCGAAGCCTCGACACAAAATGGCACATTTGGTTCAACTGTTTCATCGCCTTACGAAGTTGTCATTAAAGTATTAGATTGTGTCTCAGACAAACATTGAACTGTAATGAGGGGGAATAAGCCGGATGCTGGAAAACATTCAGGAAGTGCCAATCACACACTGTACAGTTCTTGTATAAGTAATTGTCTGGTAGGGGAGCCTATTTAAGCCCTGTTAACACCGCTAGCGACACACAGCGACAAAGCGACATGATCCCATTGATTTCCAATGAGGGCTGGCGACTTCCGGCGACACAAGCGACAATGATCGTTAGTGGCAGAATGTAAGCGTGAGACTAAAAGTTCAGAAAATTGAAGTTTATGCAAATGAGAAGAGAATTTCGTTAGCGACAACCAATAGGAGTGAAGACTGTGGAGCTCATGTCGCCGTCTCGAGTGCAAGCAAGACAGGACAGAGTTCCATAGCGATTTTGGGGGGAAAAACGGTCAGCACTCTTACTGAGTTTGATTAAGCAAATCCAGGTGATTAGAACAAAATACTGAGGAGTACTTTTACTTTCTGAGTTTGATTAAGCAAATCCAGGTGATTAGAACAAAATACTGAGGAGTACTTTTACTTTCTGAACCTGGACTTTACACCTCTCCATAGCAATGCCACATGTCAACCAGGAGTAAAGAAATAAACCAGGTGTAAAGTCCAGGTTCAGAAAGTAAAAGTCCTGCTCAGTATTTTGTTCCAATCACAATGTCATTTAGGTCTTGTTTCCATCGTAGCTTCTAAGGTGCATTTTTTTGTAAATAAACCTCTTTTAAAAGAATAAAGCTTTCTTTTAAAATACAAATTTGAATCTGATGTCTCTTACTGTAATGCTGCTTGTTAATTGTTTTTGCCACAACAAAATACACAGGGGAAAACTAGCTTAACAATAACAAGACAAACCTGGGGAATGTGTGATTTCAGCCCTAATCTGGAACTCTGTTAAAAAAAAAAAAAATATATATATATATATATATATATATATATATATATATATATATATATATATATATATATATTTATATATTTATAAATTATAAATTATATATATATATAATTTATTTTTTTAGTTTGTATTTTAACAGTGATTTTATCATAAATCATACTAAAATGCAGCTTTGGTTCATACAGATCAGGTTTTAAAAACATAAATAAAAATGATGAAATATCTAATAATTTTATACATAATCATTTACCCTTGAGTGCATCTAATATTTTTTTTTTCTAAATTTCAATAATAAAACCTTACCTTCGATTTTCTACCTTGAGATATCTTCTCTTTTTTTCAATGATCTGCTGTCGTCTTGCTCATGTGTCGAGGAGGATGGTAAGACCAGGAGAGATGTGAAGATTTTCCATCATGTTTCATCAATCCTCATGCTGATTCTGCCTGCAGTCATAGTGACAGACACAACACTACACTAGGTTATAGTTACAGATACAACAGGGACATCACTGTACGTTTCGTCCTCAGAGGTCTGAAACATAATTGTGTGTTGTGTCTTGCCATATGTAAAAGGTGTTTGTGTTTTTAGATCAGTTTTAAAAGGCAATGTTTTGCTTTTTAGTGACAAGAGCATTTTTTATTTTAAATGTTGTTTGATTTTGTCATTGAAATTGTCATTCACTATAATAAGCAGAGGTTATAACCTGAGTTTTTTCTTTCGTTCTTTTAAAAACATATTTAAAAAGATATTCTGCCAGGGCCGTAAGTGAGGGGCGGAGCTTAGGTTCGAAACCTAATAACGCCACCTAACATCATTTGGAGGGTATTTTACACATGAAACAGCTTTTATTGAACATGAACTATACGTATGTTATGATGCTACATTACAGTACAATAAGCATTTTAAAACATTGATTTTGTGTAATATAATTGTATAGGGTTTCAGTTATCCATTTCACTGTATTATGAGTTACTTCCTGATCAAGAAAAAATAATACTTGAAACTTATGGGCATTTTAATGTATAACAGTTTAATAATTTTAGCTAAGCAGTTTATACATAGGTGTAGATTTACGAATGTAAGACCTTTGTTTTTTGTTTTTTTTTATGAAGGAGGTAACTTTGTATAATAAATCTTTGAAAGATATAACACAAGACAAGCATTGGAGGTTTTCAAAATTATACACAATTCGATAACTCATTAGACCTCTGTCTATTTATTTATTTATTTATTTATTGTGTTTACAAAAATCTTTAATTGTTTTAAAATTGAAGATATGTATTTGTAAGATGATTGTTTAATAAAAAAATAAAATAAAAAAAATGCATGGGTATTTTTTATAAAATATACTTTATTCCACAGAACATGTGCAGCATGCATTTTTTTTTCGTGTAAAATAATAATGTCAATGTCTAAAAAAGAGAGAGAAATTACGACATTGTTTTAAACGAAACAATAAAAATGTACAAAATGACCAATTCAACCCTAGGCCTGTTTTATCACAACAATCTTGTATGGATCAGAAACCAACTTGGCCTACCACTGTACAGAAAAATAAGCTTTTAAATGTTGATAGCTTTATTAAGTTATGTTCTTAAACTGACTTTTAAATGTGCAAATAATCTAGCTCCAGCCGTTCTCTGTCCATTTGTGACAGAAATAAACACAAGGAGAGTGACCACTAGGAGAGCAGTGATAGGGAGACACATTTGGAGTGATTTACCAGCTGAAATAAAAACAAACCGAACTGAAAACATTTTATACAAATATGAAACACTGGCTGAAACAGAACCAAACATGTGGCCATTGAGTCAGTTTTGTTGTTATGTCTGTGTTAGATGCTTGTGCATGGCTGCCAGGTCTGGGTAACTCACACTATATATATATATATACTATATATATATATATATTTGGATTATCTTTTTAGAGAGGCCTGACCGGGGACTGGGGTTGTAAATTAGCGCCAAATTCCAACAGAGGGCAGCAAAACATCATGATAATGTTCCATCTATAGATATATACAGTAGATGTAGCCTGGTTAAAACTAGACTATTCTCAGTTGCAACTGAGTTATGGTCTGGCAAAGCGTCATAGACAAATCATTTGACAGACACCAGCGGTCGTCGCGGAGAGACCTAAAACCAATCAGAGCGGTGAAGGAGATTACGAATGCAGAGCGGCGGAGAAACATCTCCGAGTTCTTCGCTCGGTTTTTAATAAAAAGGAAACGTTCAAATCGCTTAAAAAACAGACGCGATAGCTGATTTGAGTGATGTTCAACAGCGGCGTCCATCTTTGTAAAGTAGTAGGCTAAAAAATCCCAGCGCTGTCGTCATCGTGTAAAGCCCGCCCCAACGCTTGGTGACGGGATTTTTGCGGACTGGAAATGGGTTCGAATGAGCTCTTTGCCAGACTAACGTTCAGAGCAAATCTAAATTCGCCGGAAGTTGTCTGGGATTCGCCTCATTAGCGGTTGTTTCTATGGGCCTCTATGCGTGAGCTGTCTGTCATTTTGGAAAGGTCAAAGTCGATCCGTGAACTTTCGAATGCGAGATGATTGAACGACTGTGCAACCGTAGAAACATATATGAATATTATATTAGCAGTAGACTTCAGCAGATGACTAACACAATACAAGACGGAGGCATCAGCTAACCCAACAGGAGTTCAAACCCCTGTAAAATTGAGTTAATACATATATGTTGGTCCATTTCTTTGAGAGTTAAATCTCGGGTGTTTTTGTGATGTTGTAGCATCATTAATTCTTACTGTGAGTGCCCAGATAGCAAACTGACATTGAATCAACGTGGAAACATGACATCGAAACAACGTTGATCTGGCATTGTTTTGCTCATCGAATTAACGTTGAACCAACGTCGGACGCGGCGTTCTTCAAAGCTAAATGAAAATTGGTAATTGGTTTGCAATTGGTTTGCTGTCCAAATGTTGAAACAACGTTGATTTCAAGTTGATTTTCCGTTAGTTTTGAAAGAATGACGTTGGTTCAACGTTAATTCGATGAGCAAAACAATGCCAGATCAACGTTGTTTCGATGTCATGTTTCCACGTTGATTCAATGTCAGTTTGCCGTCTGGGTGTCGACTCATTGACCGTTCTAAGATAACATGTTTTGAACGGTCCAATGTGTCATCTACGTATGGTTTTAACCACCTTATTTTAACATAAGAGCAGGATAGACATCTTTTCTCAAATAGGCTTCCGGTCTCATGTGCTTCCACAAAAACTGTCTGTTATGCTGTCTGATATTGCCAACGTAATGTGATATCACAGCATTTTATCATATGAACACATTGGTTTCTAGTGTGACTAGTTTTCCCGTTTACTGCACTTTGTTTTTCTTTCAGTCATTTGCTTAACGGCTATAAAATAGCATATCGCCTCACAAAATTAAGGTGGATGTGCGTAAAATGGAGATAAGTTTATATTTAAAAACATAGACATGAATGAGACGTAAACAATTATAAACATGAGAAATGCTTCTGCAATGGCAACCCTTAGACTCTCAATGTGTGTCACTGTCAAGAGAAAATGCTTGAAAAAAGGTATGGGTGATTTTATTTCCTCTAAAAGCAGAAGTGAGATATTGTGGGGTCCACAAATAGATCATAATAAACAATGCCAGTTTCAGCTTAACCTTGGCCCAGACTAAAATGCCTATTTTAACTGAAACGTGCACTGGCATAACTTAAAATATGTCACTGTGTTTGTTTTGTCTCGAGATGCACATCAGCAATGTTTTTTTTTTTCTTTTTTTTTTTTCTAAGGCACATTTATAAAAGCTACTTAAATGAAGGCCTTGTGGCCTAATCTAAGATCTGTCTGTGAAGTGCTCTTATATCAGGAGTAGCCTAATCTCTTAGAGAGATCTTCCACAACACATGCTCATTAGATTCTCACAGTGTGTATATGCTGCTCTCTAACTGGAAATGTTGGCATGTTTAAAGATGGCTGAGGTCGACTAAAACTGTTTCACACGTCAGTCTCTCTGTGGTTTTCGTGATGATGCAGGATTGAGTCTTTACACTCTTTCATAGTTGGGGACATTTAATATTAAACAATATAATTGATGTGTGTTGTATTATATCACTGTGAAGCTGCTTTGATATGATCTGTATTGTAAAAAGCGCTATATAAATAAATGTGACTTGACTTCTGTCACTCTTAATGTGTTTATATTAATATACGGATGTGTCATCTGTCATCTCTGCTTGTCTTTCACACATATATATATATTTCACACTCATCTCAGCACTTTCCGCCCTGTTAACAGAGCATGGGTGGGACCGTTATAGAGAATTAGGAAGAAGAAGTGTGAGAAAGACTGACTCTGTACTTCTGATGATAGACACTTACATCGCATTCAAGGAACACGTTTGATCAGTTCTTGCTTTCACTGGATTGTGATCGGATCTGGTTTTTCTGTGGATATCTGAGACTGAAGTCAATCTGGAATGAAGACTGCCGTCCTCATCTTCATCACTCTCTGCCTGATCTCAGGTCAGTTTTTCACTGCTCAGTCTGGGTCAAATAATGTTAAATAATCCAGATTGATGATATATAATAACCCAGAGCAAATGATCTTGTGTTTGGCAGGTCAAGTGCTTTGTTTCTGTGTGTTTGGATGCCCTGGAGGGAGTGTAATGTTCAAGTGCATGTACAAGAACGAGAGTAAGACTGATGATCCACATAAAGAGAAGTATTTCTGCAAAGACAGGAGCTGTAAGATGGCCATCATCAGTACTGATATTCAGAGTCGATGGGTTTATAAAGGGAGATTCGCTCTGTATGATGATGAAAACAGCAGATTCTTCACAGTGTTTATCAGGAACCTCACAATAGAGGATGAATGGGAATATATATGTGGAAACAATCAGACATGGAGTCGTAATGTTAAGTTAGTGGTGAGCAGAAATGGTATGTGTGATATTTTATAACTTACTACAGCAATTATTTATTATACTACTATTAAAGGTGCACTACAGAAGATTTTGAGTAAAAATGAACAAAAATGAATTTCTGGAAAAATAAATAAATAAATATTAAATTTAAAATTTAAATAAACGGTCAGCATATGATAATAATCCATAGTTTGAGCTGTAAAGTCAGATTATGAAGGGAAAATGTCAGTGTTATGTCAATTATCTTTGCATGTTCATGTCACTTCTGTAAAAAGAAAAGAAAATACCATATTTAACTTCTTTAGATGTTATTTTCAGGATATGTGACTTGTAAGATATTTTTCTGTCACTATGTCTTGGACAGATCTGCAATGTCATGTTCCTTATAGAGATGGCGATAGAGAGCCCAAAGCCTCCTAGTGCACCTTTAATAACACTAATAATATTTTAGGTTTCAATGCATCACAAGGTTTTGTTGAAATTATTTCCAGAGTCTCGTTGTGGGAAGTCTGTTATCCGGGAGAGGTATCTTGGACAAAAGAAGATCACTTTCCACTGTGAATATGATGAGAAGTTTAAAACACACACCAAAGTTTTCTACAGACTGAACAATGATACTGTCCATGTCCTGAACAGCTCACAATCATCACAATCATCTGAGGAGAAGTTCATTCTGTATGACAGTCATAAAGATTATTTTAATGTGACCATTAGAGATATTTCTGCAGCGGACGGAGGAGTTTATTTATGTGGAGTGGAGAGAGACGAATCAGCTCATCGACCTTCAGAAACATCAGTCACTCACATAACCTTCATTAAAGAGATCCAGCAGAATGTTAATAGTGAGTTTAGTTTATGTCTATTGAAAATATCCTTACAGCTCTAACCCCTCCTGACTTTTAATAAGAAATAAATCTGTTTTTGCAGGTAAAATAACGTCTGTCCAGGTTCAGGCCTACTCCAGTAAATCAGTCTTCATCAACTGTAGATTTCAACAAACATTAAGAAGAAACAAGAAGTTCATCCAGAAAGATTCACAGAAGAAGATCTTCGTTGATAAACACAATCAATGGAGTCGTCATGATAAAGTGCACATGTATGATGATCCCAGTGAAGGACGTCTGAAGGTGTTTATCAGCGATTTAACCGCGGCTGATGAAGCGACGTACAGATGTGGAGTGAATATCAATGATGATGAAGATCTGTTCTCTGAGATTAAACTCACAGTAAATCAAGGTAAAGAGCTTCTGGGAGGTGTTTCTTTATAAGAAAGATAGGTATTATTTATATCATGGGCGTCAGTTTGGTTGAGATGTGCTGGGGACAGAGACGTACTCGGAAGGGCATTTTCAATAGTGCTGGGTACAATGACGCATTCATTCTTTTTTTCTCTTTCGAGTAGGTCAAGACGATGTCCTGTAGCTTCCTGATGTACATAAATAAAAATGAGCACAATGTCCGAGTATAGTGAGTATATAGAGTATATACGCCCTTTATTGTGTATGTACAGTGGTGGTCCAGAGGTAGAATTTTTGCCTAGCGTGTCGGGACTCGGGAGGTTCGAGGTTATAATCTGCACTCGTATATAATTTTTTTTTCCCTCATCAAAACCAATAATGTTTATCAGTGGTTCAATTGATATAATGTTTATCAGTGGTTTTGTATGTTTTGATGAGGGGGAAAAAATATACGAGAGCGGATCAGAACCCATGAGAAACAGGGACACATTTGTGTGCATTTTCAATTGTGATTTCACCGGAACGAATCTCCGCAACAGATTGAAGCGCATTTCCTACCCATTCGTGCGAATTCGTACAAGTGATTAAAAAGTGGCTAATTCGTACGACCTCACTCGTACGAATTCATACGATTTTTCTAAACCCACGTGATGGTTAGGTTTAGGGGCGGGGTCAGGGGTAGGTCATTCATACGAATTCATACGAATTGGCCAATTCGTGAAATATGTACGATTTAGCAAAATCGTACTTGCTACCCTATCTCATGACCAATTTGTACAAATTCGAGTGATTAAAAAGTGGCTAATTCGCACGACCTCACTCGTACGAATTCATATGATTTGTCTAAACCCGCGTGATGGTTAGGTTTAAGGGCGGGGTCAGGGGTAGGTCATTCGTACGAATTCATACGAATTGGCCAATTCGTAAAATATGTACGATTTAGCAAAATCGTACTAATTTGTACGAGTGAGGTCAAATGAATTGTTACGAATTAGCCACCTCGTAAAATTCGTACGAATTCCCATGAGATCGGGTTGCCGTTTCGAGAGAAGAGAAGACAACGCATTTTAGTGCTAGATCGCCTGTTATTTATTTTTTTATTATTTTTTTTTCACCTTTATTTAACCAAGTTAATCGGTTGAGAACAAGTTCACATTTGCAGCCGCGACCTGGCCAAGACAAGGCTAAAAGTGCAAGGCAACATAAATTTACACATTGTGTACAACATTCAAGTGTATAATCACACGTACAAATTTTCAGGTTCAATTAAAATGCTGAACAGAGTACAAAAATTAAAAATAACTTTGAAGTACTAAATGAGAGCACAAGCAGTATAGCTGGAGGATATCTTTATCTGAGATTTAACAAACAAATGAAACGAATGCTGTTAACTGGAAATGTTTTATTTGTATTGGTACATCTGTGCCGCGAGATGTTTCAAAAGTGGTGGCGACAAAATCGACCGTGGCAAAAAGTGGTGGGGACATGTCCCACCTGTCCCCCCGTAAATGACGCCTATGACTTATATTATATATTTACATTGTTTTTGTGTACAGTTGATCATTTTCCTGCATCAAGCAAAGCATCTGCTATTATTGGTGAAAGTGTGAAACTCACCTGCAATTTCTCCAAGAACCACGACAAGACCAAGTTAAAACACATCTGCAAAGAGAACCAGCAGAAGATCTGTGAAAGCATCAGTTCATCAGAGAAGAAACGCTTTGAGTTTTCTGCCAGTAAAGCAGGAGTTTTCACAGTGAGCATCAGTAATGTGAGTGTGAGAGATGCTGGAGTTTACTGGTGTGGAGCCAAAACCAGACACACAAATTTGACTTCTGTCTCTCTCACCAATCAACATCAACTCACTTTAACTAGTACGTACAGCACCCATAAATCACATTACATAATGCATATATTACAGAACATTAACACTTTTCCTTTTCTTTGACTATTAGTGCCTCCAGTGGTCGGACGTGAAGGAGATTCATCTGAGATTAAATGTCCTTATGATAAAAACCATTCAAAAGAAATAAAGTATCTTTGTAAAGGAAAGTGTTTCACTCCAGATGTTCAGAATAGCACTCAATCCGATGAAACCCATCTTAATAACCCAAGGATGTCAGTGAAGGACGAGACTGAACTCAATCTCTTCACTGTGACCTTGAGTGACCTGAGAGCAGAGGATGCTGGGATATACTGGTGTGCAGTGAAGGACGCGTTTAATCTTCCCATTGAGCTCATGATCGTCCTGAAAGATGGTGAGAGTGTGTTCTGGGGAACATCTCAATGTTTTCTGTCATGATCCTCATATGTTTGTTGTCTCCAGCTCTCGTCTCTCGTGAAGCGTCTGTCGGAGGATCGGTGTCCATCAACTGTAAGAAACTCAAGAGTCGAACACAGAGCTTTTTCTGCAGAGGAGATCAGCCCGATGTGTGTGTCCGAGACGGAGTTCGTGTTTCATCCAATAGGAGAACACAAGGCCGATTCTCTCTGACTGACGAAACCTCAGCTGGAGTCTTTACTGTGAACATCAGCAGTCTGACAGAAGAGGATTCTGGGAAATACTGGTGCGCAGAGGAGATGTCTGGGTCATTCGTATTCACTGAAGTTCATCTGAATGTGATCAGAGGTAAAAGACTCATTCTAAGATCACCTTTTCTATTTGTTCATCTGGCTGTTATAAGTCACATACAGCAGCCAAACTAAATCTAAAGTTAATGATTTAGGGGTCAAGAGCCCAACTAAAGCAAACACTGATCTCCACAATGGTGACTTAAAGGAACTAAACGCAAGTCTCTGAGTTTTTGCAGAACTACGCCCCCTCTGGCGACAAGCGAAACTGCAACCAGAGTTGTGCGCGATCATGGACGAACACACACACACATACGCACGTTTGCACGAGCTGTTCATAACCTAAGGAGCATCAGCCGCACACTGTGCGGCACACATCTTTTGTTACAGTCATAATGAGGTAATACAGTAATAAATCTGCAAGTCATTTAAAATATATGAAAGGAAAGGCATTCGAGTAAATTACACACAATGTGTGTGAGAGGGGGAAACGGGTAGTAGAAAACTTTATTATTACCTTATTGAATTATTATGGAAACACGTTCAGTTATCACTTTGTATAGGACCCGTTTGAGCCCTAGAGCAGACCGGAGATATCTCCGTTTGTTGAAAGCCTTCCCGATGTTTTATTTTCTTTGTCTCACGTGGAGTTTGCGTTGAGGTTTGTAATGAACTACAAGCCGGTCTCTTTCCGCGCTATATACAAATTTAATGAAGTGCACGTCACCGAAAGCAACAGATATGAGCTGCATTTTATTAATCATCGGCTAATTTCAAAATCAGCAAAGACAGCAATAAGAGAGATCGGCAACAGCCCTGGTAAGATCATTTCATTTCTTTACTTTTAATGAAGATGGTAGTGTTAAGTGTCTGCGACTTACTTTCACTTTGATTTGCGATAGATTGCGGCGCACTGGCTTGATGAAGGGGCTCAGCTGCTCATCTGAGGTGATGCACGTCGTCATATATGACTAAAATAACATGACATATAGCTTGGTTTCAACAACCAGATGCATTTACACTTGTTCAGTTTCGTCTGGAATGCGGCCCAGACCACGTCCTCAAGTGGTTTGAGCGATCAGATTCAAATCCGTCTCGAATGCATTTCGGAGGGCATTTACACCCTGGTGTTTTCACGATCGAATAGCTATCCGATCACAGAAAACACATGAAGTGACCAGGTGTGAACAGCCCCTTTGAATCCATCGTCTACTTTTGTGGAAAGCTGACTAGAGTTGTGTCGCTCGAGTTGTCTTCTCTGATACGGAGAACGGCGGCGAATAGCTACACGAACCTGCCAGACATAGCCAGGCATGACGTCACGCCCAATCTCAGATTCAAGCCCGTATCCCTCTTATATATTTCACTGTACAGGATTATAGAGGCGATCTCAGTGATCAGAGAAGGGTTCATTCAGCTCATCAGGCGATTGTTTAAGCATGTATGGGTTAGAAAACGGCTATTTTTAACATGAAATGTTGCGCAATGCACCTTTAAAATTCCGGTTTTCTCCTTCAGTGATTCTGCTTCAATAATGCTCAATCATCACTCAATTATTAGTTATTATTAATTAATTATTAGTACTATAATAGTACTATAATAAATAATTGCTGTAGTAAGTTATTATAGTACTGAATTGAGCTGAACAATGACTCTATTGTCTTTTTAGAGCTGCTTTACGGCCCTGAAGTTCATCTACATGTGACTAATTGTAAAAGAGCCTGCCTTGCCATAATCACTGCAACATCCTTTTTTTTCTTCGCTCAAAGGTACAAATAATTCTGAAATACCTTTGCAGTGACAGTGGCCCTGTCTCAAATGGCACACTCCGGACTTGTGGACTTCCTCAGAGTCCACACTTCGGTGATGTCATGTAGTGCAGACCTATAGGGCCCTTAGCGCGAGTCCGCTAGAGGTATTTTTGGGACAGACATATTTCTCATGCCTGTGAAAGCCTTAAATAAACAGGTCGGCTCATCAGTCTCTTTATTAGAAAAATATCACAAATATCATAAAAAACTTATAATATTATAAACTTATAAACTTATAAACTTATAAAACTTATATAATATTATAAACTTATAATATTATAAACAAGATTTTTAATTTTTTTCCAAATCGTGTGTCCATGTTAACTACACAGCCTGGTTTTTCAGTTCTATTGTATATGCCACCTGGGCATTAGAATAGATGGTTATGAAAATGATAAATGCAGTTATACATAATAATATATAATTAAACACAAAATTAAAATGAGTTTAAAAAAAATTTATAGGTTTCAATATTCATACTACATTTATGACTCAGTAAAGCCATGACATTCGGTTCTACTGATGTAATGAATCGTAATGCGATCGTATTATTTAACACGCTATTGTAATGTTGGAGATATCAACCACTGGTCGATAATGTTTGTATAAACTGCAACCCACCAAGCAAAATGATGTCCAAAAGACGTCTTTTCAACGTCTCTGTCACAAAAGTCTGACTTTGAAAAGACGTCCACTGAGGGGCCTGAATGAAAGTTTTTATGACGTCTTTTTGTGACGTGTTCTGGACGTCCGATATAGACGTTAATGGATCCTTCGGACAAGATTTAAAACTAGTTCAAATGTGGCCATTTTCAACATTATTTATGGTCTCATTTAGACAATTTATACTGTTTCTGGACCAAATAAAGACTCTCAGGATGCATTAAATTAAAACTCATGTTTATAATTTACATTGTTTAGATGGTGATAGTGGTTTCATTTTATATCACCATTGTGGTGATCAGTGTTTGCTTTAGTTGGGCTCTTGGTCACAATTCTTCTTACTTTAGCTTTTCTTTGTCTGTTGTAACTGTTAGTATAATACCATTGTTGTTGCAGAGAAAGCCAAGAAATTAAAAAAATCAGCTGTCTTCAATTGCTTATTGATGATGACAAAATCATTTCAAAATCAATAAAGTCATCATTTTTTTATTTTTTGTCACTATTTTTGCGAATCATATGCAAAATCGTGATGTCTGTGTGTGACTATATAGTATATTTTCTCAAAACATTGTGTAACTTTGCTTTTGTCCAACTTCCATGCTACTGGCCCAAATTATGCACTTCCACAAGACTGGTGGTTAATAACTCCTGATACAAACACATAAGTCTAAACACTACGATGCCCACTTTATGTTGATTTCATCATCATCAACAACAACAAGGAGCTGATGAGAGCCAATTTTCTTGGCTTTCTCTGCAACAACAACGGTGTTATCAAATACGCAGTTACAGCAGCCAAAGAAAAGCTAAAGTCCAAATTATTGGGACCAAGAGCGGGCTTTGCAGAAAACAGCTTCAAGGGTACAAAGGGGGCGCTGCTGAGCACACTTCAGAGCGTCAAAATGCTAAATGGGACGGCCTACGGACTCGTAGACTCGGCCAGCACGCACAATTTCAGTCCACGAGACCGAAAGTCCGCATGAAGTGCGCCATTTAGAACAGGGACAGTGAGTCCCAAAAGAGAATGCATCCACATGATGTTGTTTTTTTATTGATGATAACAAAATAATCACCATCTACATTCAGTATGTCGTCTTTATGTGGTTTGTTAATTTATATTTCAAATTATAAAAGCCCTGTGAGGTCCAATGGTGTCATAATCAGATATTAACTGCATTATAAGACACATACATTTGAACTACTGTGTCATTCAGACACAAAGACATCAAGAATTAGCGTTGGAAAAACTTTGTGCACTTTGACCTCACATTGTGACCAAATGAGCGTACTGTGAGGATACACTTTTAGATCGTGACCACATCACGAGTATCCTGAGAGCTTGTGGTGAGATCACATTGTTGGGTTTCAAATAGGGTGTGTGATATGACGATTTTTGAACAATTAAAATGTCTCCACAATCCACTTTTTTTGATATATCGTTGTATCGTGATTCGTGCTACACGTTCTATCAGTTGCAGTTATATGGCTTTCACCAACTTCCCAACATGCAATGCAAGTATACACAACTAATCGGGGTGTGTGCATGCCAAACGTCGGCATGTTAGCAAGATCACATTCATTGCTCGTGAGATTTAGCAACACAGTGACGATGGATGACTCTATGTGACTCTATGATTGTGTATTTTCAGAATCAACGACACCCCGGGATGAAGATCTGGTAAAATCTGGTAAGATCCAACAGATCCATTGCTCAGTTTGAGTTGAAAGTGATTGTATAATATTGGTTGTTTTTGGTTATTTGTGGACAGTTATTTGCAAATGTTGCAATGATAAGATTCACACGTCGGATGCCAACACGACAAATCTTTCTTAACCACCTTAAAAAAAAACACTATAGTACCTGACAGTCAAACTGTGAGGGAACCCCGTTTGAGTCATCAGGTACAACTATAGTAAACAAACAAGCCTATGAAGTTAGAAGACATAAAAACTGTGGAAAATGAGGGCTTCAGATGGACGTTACGAGATAACCTGCCGCAAATATGTCTCCGCCACGGCCAATCTGTATATATAAATGTGACTTGAAATGAAAAGAGTCACAAGGTCACTTTTATGGCTTTTTTGTCCATTTTGGAGCTTGACTACTTGCTTTCAATGTACAGAAAATATTATTTCCAACAATAACATTTGTTCCACAGATGATCTGAGTAATTAAATACGGAATTTGTTCCTCTGATTAATTTAGCCATCAGTACTCTATGATTATGTATTTTCAGAATCAACGACACACCAGGGTGAAGATCTGGTAAATTCTGGTAAGATCCAACAGATCCGTTGCTCAGTTTGAGTTGAAAGTGATCTTATAATATATAAGCGATGGATGTACAGCATGTGTAAGAATACTCGTACCTGATGTCATAGTCTCACCGTGTTTCTCCATTAAAATCCCTTTGTGTGTTTTCAGATTCCACTATGATACTTGCGGTTTCTGTGGGTTTGGCCCTGCTGGCTGTGTGTTTAGTGCTCATGTTGCTCAAAATAAAGTACAGCTGTAAACATGGTGAGACACACACACACACACTCAACTGCACATGCAGTGAAATGATCTGTCATTTTCTCGGTCTCGAATGTGGCTCTTGTTCACACAGGGATCATTTCATCATCAGACAAAAGAGAGACCGGAGATCATGAAATGGTGAGTTTCAGAACTGATCTGTAATAAGAGGGCATGTTTTCTGTGCCATTAAAGAGAGACTTCATGTTTGGGGGATTTTGCTTCTCTTACAGGTTCAAGACTCAGATCCTTCATCAACTCCTCTATATTCGACAGTCCAGTTACCCACAATTCCCTCTGATTCACAGAATCCACTTTACTCGACAGTCCAGTTACCCATAATCCCCTCTGATTTACAGAATCCCCTTTACTCGACAGTCCAGTTACCCACAATGCCCTCTGATGGGCTCCTTTACGCATCCGTCAGTTTCCAGAACCATGAAGAGTCTCTCAGTGACGCTAAAGTCGTCTTCAGGAAGAACGAGATTCACTCCGATTACGCATCTGTCAAACACAGCAACACACCAAACGACTATTACTATTAGAGTTGTTTTTCACTCAAATGAGGAGCTGTTCCTTTGGAGGGAAACTTTACGATCATTTGTGTGTTTTGCATAAGTTTGATGGAGAAACAATTAAAGAGTCTTACATGCTGCATAGATATATCGACATAATATAATATGATAATAGGCTATATATATATATATATATATATTATAGAGATATTATGAATTACCTTTTATATTCATTAATTCAATTTTTTTTTAAGTTTTAGTAATTTTGGTGTACATTCTTGACTGTATTTTTTATTTATTTATTTATTTTTGTTTCAATATGTCGATATAGTTTTTATTGATTTTTAGTTTTAGTTATTTACATATTAAACTAAATCCTGCCTTTTGCAACAAGCTAAAATAATATAAAATGTTTTTCTTTTTTAATAATTAATTTCTGGTAATGTTTATTTTAGTACAGAAAATGTTTTTGTTCATGGTTTTAGCTTTAGTGAATTATTATAACCCAAATGCATTTTATTCATACATTCATGTCCTTTTTAACGTGAAAACAATGTTTTATTTGAGTGTTTTCTCTTAATTAAAAATCACTTGTCATGTTTGCAGTTGTTATGTGATGTTTTGGCAGTATTTCACAGATGATCAGATGAATTATTGTGTGATTTCCTCCAGAGAGCAGCAGAGGTCTCGATTACTCTTAATTTCTCTGACTCATTCTTTCACATCAGTTTCAGTTTGCATTTGTATTGAAGGTTTTCAGTTTCTTCACTGTAAAAATCCCCCCCAAAAAACACTTTTTAGTTAACTTTACCTCATTTTTTCAATACTTTTAACAATTTTTCTAAACTCACACCAACACACCTAAACATACAATTGGAAAAACAGTTCATTTCATGCTCAAAATCACACATTATAAATTAAACTCCAACAACAATTTTCTAAATACAATAAAACACTGTCACAATACCATACGAACACATGTTCTCTTCCAACAGGGACATCATAGCACAATGTCTCAGCCTCTACATTTTTGTTTTGTTTGGGTTTAGTAAATGCATGCATTTTGTTTCTTTTGATGCAGAAATTTTATGTTTAAAAAATGAATGACCCTTCTCAGAGCATCTTTATGTAATGTACGGTTAATGTTAAAAAAGAAGACAGAGACATAATTGCTGCGGTAAAGGCTTTATTTGCATCAGGAGGACAGATAACAAAAATAGAAAACGGAGATATTTCCCAGTGGTTTGGACTTTCATTTAAACGAAAACTCTGTTTTTATCACAGAAAACAAATATTTCTAAAAACTCCGGCCAAAGTGGAGTTTCCTGATAATGCCGGTTACGTGTTGTCGTGTTTACTGGGAGAAACAGGGTTTTAGGTTCTCAAACGACACCATGAATGCGCCAGAAAATGCTTAAAGGGTTATCCAAAAATGAAAATTCTGTCAGCATTTACTCATGTTGTTTTAACCCCATTACACTTTCGTTCGTCTTCGGGACACAAATTAAGATATTTTTGATTAAATCTGAGAGCTGGATGACCATAGGCTTCTTGAGGAATTGAAACTTGGCGGCCTCGAAAAGTTATTAAAGACATTGTTAAAATAGTCCAAGTGACTTTAGTGGCTCAATCTTAACTTTATCAAACGTCGAGAACACTTTTTGTGCGGAAAAAAAATAAGAAAAATAACGACTTTATTTCAACTATTCACTTCCCAGTTTGGCAGAGCTATGATGGCGCTCGACGGCGTATTTCTGCGGGTTGATGTAAATTACAACTTTTTTTTAAAACGATGTTGTGTACACAATGTTATTATTGAAAATGGGGGGGGGGGGTTCTTTCACTAAATAATGTGTTTTTTCAAGTTGAGGCAGGCGTTGGCTGTTTGCATGGATCATACTAGAATGTTCCTGAATTCGGAATAGTGCGCCCTTAGGGTTAGGGGTTAGGGTTAGGGTTAGAGTGGCTCAACAGGTAGATATATAGGTAGATATATAGAAAAACTCATCGACCAGCATGTGAATGACGGGATTGACTTCAGCGTGAGAAATCAGGGGTGTGGCGTGTGAGACCAATCAAATGCAGGTGTCTCTCGGCCAATGCGTGAGCTCTGCTGTCAGTAATTACTCACCCTCATGTCGTTCCAAACCCATACGTCCTTCGATCATCTTCAGAACACAAATGATGATATTTTAGATGAAATCTGAGTGATTTCTGGTCCTCCATTGACAGCAACGTTACTGCAACTTTCAAGGGCCAGAGTTCCTTAATGTTATGAAGCGATGAGAATACTTACACTGTTCAAAAAGTATTCTCGTCGCTTGATTAACTTAAGATTGAGCTGCTGTAGTCACTTTGACTATTTTAACAATGTCTTTAATAACTTTCTGGGCCGGCAGATGAAATTACATAGAAGTCTATGAAGGAGTGAGAAAGCTCTCAGTTTTCATAAATACCTTCATTTGTGTTTCGAAGATGAACGAAAGTCTATCGGGCTTGTAACAACATGAGAGTAATTACTGACAGAATTATCATTTTTGGGTGAACTAACCCTTTAAGGTTAAAGCATTATTGGCATCAGTGGTGTAAAGTAAGTAACCGCAGAGTTTCTTCATATTATAATATTAATTTGGCATGATGTGGTAAATGGTCGTGGTGTAATCAGGGTGAATCTCCTCGTTGCTAACTGAGAATGAAGCTTCACTGAGAGATGTGTACAGCAGCTCATCAGAGAGGATTGTGGGTCTCTGGACTGGAGTCGATCCACATGAGGAAACAAATCCTATTTGAACAAGAGGGAAAATGTGAGGTTAAACCGTGTGTGTATCTGAACGGCAGAGAGTGAGAAACTCAGATTTACAACGTGTACATTAGTGTAATGTGTGTGTCTCACCATGTATACAAGCCGTGTCAGCCAGCAGGATCAAACCCTCGGAGACAGAAAACAGTAAAGTCTGAAAACACACAAAGGGATTTCAAGGTAAGACTATGACATGATGTATGCGAATTCTTGCAATATATTCTAGTATTCTCAAACTGATCAATGACTCTGTTTGAGAACAAACGTGAATCAGGTCACTAAATGATGATAATGTTATCAGAATATTGTGCTTCCTGTGGTTTCCAATAGGACTGCATGGATAAACTTTATTTTTAATGACGATCCACTCCAGCTGATGAGGGTAAAACATTGTCGTCTGTTCGCTTCATTTCACTGAGGATTGTCTTGTAAACAAGACTGGATTTGCAAACCGATTAAGAGTAAAAGACGGTGCTGTGCCGTCTATATTGGATCTGACAGGAATTGTGCAACACACGGACTCTGGGCCGAACATGTATGGGCGAATTATTCCGTTTGCCATTTTACAACATTGGACGTTTTCAAAACAATTTCTCCCAAGTGCACCGACGGGTGAGTCGAAACTCATTATAATATGCAAAACTGTTCTCCACTCACAGCAGTGGGCGTTTACTTCCAAGTCTTCAGTGCGAGACGCCCATAAAAACCCAGAGCCTTTTCTGAGGCTCACAATGATGTGTTGGCTTTACTTAACTTTTTTTTTTCTAAACAGGTTCCGCCGGTTCCACATAACTTGGTTTCGTTAAACAAACATAATTTGTTCATGTAACTTCAACATCCTGGAAGTCATTTTAAGCGACCCAATCAAACTCTGAGCTGAGTGTTAAATGAACACTGAAGCAGTGTTAAAGCTAATGAGATAATTAAGTGATTAATTTAGATCATTATTGATCATTAGATCATTAATTTTTATCATTATTGAGCATTATTGAAGACACCTGATGATAACAAGCAGAATCACTGAAGGGGCAAACAGAATTTTAAGTCACCATTATGGAGATCAGTGTTTGCTTAGATAGGCTCTTGACCCTTACGTTTTCACGTCCGACCACTGGAGGCACTAATAGCCAAAGAAAAGGAAAAGTATTTATGTTCTGTAATATATGCATATGTAATGTGATTTATGGGTGCTGTACGTACTAGTTGGTGTGAGTTGATGTTGATTGGTGAGAGAGACAGAAGTCAGATGTGTGTGTCTGGTTTCGGCTCCACACCAGTAAACTCCAGCATCTCTCACACTCACATTACTGATGCTCACTGTGAAAACTCCTGCTTTACTGGCAGAAAACTCAAAGCGTTTCTTCTCTGATGAACTGATGCTTTCACAGATCTTCTGCTGGTTCTCTTTGCAGATGTGTTTGACGGTCATGTCGTGGTTCTCGGGGAAATTGCAGGTGAGTTTCACACTTTCACCAATAATAGCAGATGCTTTGCTTGATGCAGGAAAATGATCAACTGTACACAAAAACAAGGTCAATATCAATCTTTCTTATAATCAGTCTCTACAAAGAAACACCTTCCAGAAGCTCTTTACCTTGATTTACTGTGAGTTTAATCTCAGAGAACAGATCTTCATCATCATTGATTTTCACTCCACATCTGTACGTCGCTTTATCAGCCGCGGTTAAATCGCTGATAAACACCTTCAGACGTCCTTCACTGGGATCATCATACATCTGCACTTTATCATGACGACTCCATTGATTGTGTTCATCAACGAAGATCTTCATCTGTGAATCTTTCTGGATGAACTTCTTGTTTCCTCTGAATGTTTGTGGAAATGTACAGTCGATGAAGACTGATTTACTGGAGTAGGCCTGAACCTGGACAGACGTTATTTTACCTGCAAAAACAGATTTATTTCTTATTAAAAGTCAGGAGGGGTTAGAGCTGTAAGGATATTTTCAATAGACATAAACTAAACTCACTATTAACATTCTGATGGACCTCTTTAATGAAGGTTATGTGAGTGATTGATGTTTCTGAAGGTCGATGAGCTGATTCGTCTCTCTCCACTCCACATAAATAAACTCCTCCGTCCGCTGCAGAAATATTTCTAATGGTCACATTAAAATAATCTTTATGACTGTCAGACAGAATGAACTTCCCCTCAGATGATTGTGATGATTGTGATGATTGTGAGGTGTTCAGGACATGGACGGGATCCTTGTTCAGTCTGTAGAAAACTTTGGTGTGTGTTTTAAACTTCTCATCATATTCACAGTGGAAAGTGACCTTCTTTTGTCCAAGATACCTCTCTCGGATAACAGACGTCCCACAACGAGGCTCTGAAAATGATTTCAACAAAACCTTGTGATGCACTGAAACCTAAAATATTATTAGTGTTATTAAGGGTGCACTAGGAGGCTTTGTGCTCTCTATCGCCATCTCTACAAGGAACATGACATTGCAGATCTGTCCAAGACATACTGACAGAAAAACATACATCTTACAAGTCACATATCCTGAAAATAACATCTAAAGAAGTTAAATATGGTATTTTCTTTTCTTTTTACAGAAGTGACATGAACATGCAAAGATGAATGACATAACACTGACATTTTAATAATAATAATAATAATAATAATAATAATAATGTGTATAAATCTACTGAAAATAAATATATGAATCATTGTAAGGTATGTTTCGAACATTTATTTAAATACTTTCCCAAAAATTCATTTTTGTTCATTTTTACTCAAAATCTTCTGTAGTGCACCTTTAATAATAATATAATAAATAATTTCTGTAGTAAGTTATAAAATATCACACATACCATTTCTGCTCACCACTAACTTAACATTATGACTCCATGTCTGTTTGTTTCCACATGTATATTCCCATTCATCCTCTATTGTGAGGTTCCTGATAAACACTGTGAAGAATCTGCTGTTTTCATCATCATACAGAGCGAATCTCCCGTTATAAACCCATCGACTCTGAACATCAGTACTGATGATGGCCATCTTACAGCTCCTGTCTCTGCAGAAATACTTCTCTTTATGTGGATCATCAGTCTTACTCTCGTTCTTGTACATGCACTTGAACATTACACTCCCTCCAGGGCATCCAAACACACTGAAACAAAGCACTTGACCTGCCAAACACACGATCATTTGCTCTGGGTTATTATATATTATCAATCTGTGTATTTGACCGAGACTGAGCAGTGAAGAACTGACCTGAGATCAGGCAGAGAGTGATGAAGATGAGGACGGCAGCCTTCATTCCAGATTGACTTCAGTCTCAGATATCCACAGAAAAAACAGAATTGATCACAATCCAGTGAAAGCAAGAACTGATCAAACGTGTTCCTTGAATGCGATGTAAGTGTCTATCATCAGAAGTACAGAGTCAGTCTTTCTCACACTTCTTCTTCCTTATTCTCTATAACGGTCCCACCCATGCTCTGTTAACAGGGCGGAAAGTGCTGAGATGAGTGTGAAATATATATATATGTGTGAAAGACAAGCAGAGATGACAGATGACACACCCGTATATTAATATAAACACATTAAGAGTGACAGAAGTCAAGTCACATTTATTTATATAGCACTTTTTACAATACAGATCATATCAAAGCAGCTTCACAGTGATATAATACAACACATCAATAATATTGTTGAATATTAAATGTCCCCAACTATGAAAGAGTGTAAAGACTCAATCCTGCGTCATCATGAAAACCACAGAGAGACTGACGTGTGAAACAGTTTTAGTCGACCTCAGTCATCTTAAAACATGCCATACTCAGAGCACTTCTAGGCCTGGTTTCACAGACAGATCTTAGATTAGGCCACAATTACGCCTTCATTTAAGTAGCTTTTATAAACGTTCCTGAGGAAAACAAAACATTTCTGGTGTGCATCTTGAGACAAAACAAACACAGTGACATATTTTAAGTTATGCCAGTGCAAGTTTCAGTTAAAATAGGCATTTTAGTCTGGGGTTAAGCTGAAACATGGGGGAGAGTGTCATTGCATTGTTTATTATGATCTATTTATGGATCCCAGTGTCTCACTTCTGCTTTTAGAGGAAATAAAATCACCCATACCTTTTTGCAAGCAATTTCTCTTGACAAACATTGAGAGTTTAAAGGGATAGTCCTCTTTTTTTTTTTTTTTTTTTTGAAATAGGCTCATTTTACCACTCCCCCAGAGTTATATAGTAGTCATGCTACTAGTTATAACTTACTGTAGATTTACGTACATTGATGAATATTTACTGGGCTGGCAACCGTTTGTTCAAAGTTAAATGAACATTTAACATTAACAAGTCTTTGTCTTTACAGAATAAAACTTCAAAAATAATGCAAAGCATTCTGGGAACCAGAAATCTTCATCAACCGTTTTCTGTTTTTTTTTTTTTTCCTTCAGATTTTGGTTCCCAGAATGCTTTGCATGAGGCTTAGTTTTATTCTGTAAAGATAAAGACTTGTTAACGTGTAATGTTCATTTAACTTTGAACAAACTGTTGCCAGTAAATAACAATAATTTAAATCTACAGTAAGTTACTGGCAAGCAGCTGCCAGTAATACTGTAATTTCTACAGATTTTTTTTATAGTGCACGACAGAAGAGTGTATACTCAATCCTGCATCATCATGAAAACCACAGAGAGACTGACGTGTGTGAAACAGTTTTAGTCGACCTCAGCCATCTTTAAACACACAGGGCTTACATTAGGCCACGGTTAGGCCTTGGTTAAATTAGGACATTTGAGTTGCTTAAAAATAAACATTGGTGCATCTTGATACAAAATAATACATGCCAGTGCAAGTTATATTTAAAACAGACATTTAGTCTGGGACTAAACAGACTTAAGGCAGATGACAGATCCAAATATACATAAGCGTATTTGTAAAAACTTGTTTATTTACTCATTTATTTAATAATTTATTTGATAATTTACAGGAAATGCTCGAAATGCGAACTCTCATTTACATTTAGTCATTTAGCAGACGCTTTTATCCAAAGCGACTTACACCTGAGGACTAAATCAAACAAGTCATTTGTGAAGAGGCAATAACAACACAAGAAGTGCTCATTTATTTAGCGAACAATAGTTGAAATTGTCATGTCGTAATATTTCAGTTTTTTCTAAAAGCAAGCAAAGATTGTGTTGGTCCATTAATTTATTCACATCACAAACCCTGTACCTGTAGCATGAGCTCCAGCAACATTATAACAATCGTTTAGAAGATTTTAAAAACATGAGCTCTAAAAGGTCAGTTTATCTATAATGTGAAGGAATACAAATGTATTAAATGTATAATTTAGCTTCCAATACAATAGTATAAACTGAGAAATGGTCTGTACATTGAATTTAGCATTTAAGATTAGGATGGTGATTATATGCGGCCTATCCTGTTTTTCTTTATTGGTCAGATTACTGAAACTCTTAATAGTTCATTCCTGCCCAACCTGTTTTCTCTATTGTATTTTAAATGAATCAGATCACTGAAATTTTCACCTTTTAGTCTAGATGTTTAACTGTAAGGTTGATTGGATTAGCTATAGGGGAGACGTTCTTTAATGGCTCTAAATTGGGATTTCCTCAGAATGGGATCATTCTCAGACTGGGTGTGTTCCTACTTCATTTGCATGCTTTGTTTCAGAATGTATCCCCCCTCGATGTAACTCAAATTCAAGTGTATACTGATTTTAGTTAGACTCGAGACGATGTTGGAATGACAGCAGACACCACCAATAAAGAACTTCTGCTTAGAAAACATCCATTGTCTCCTGGTCTCCTCAGCTTCTAACTTTTCTACAAGGTAAAAGTTCCCACACAGACATCAACAATCTTAGGAGCTTAAACTGTGGACAAGACTAAGTCTGGGACTGTTTTAAACCATGACAGATAAAGCAGATTTATCTGGTTTAAGGGGCGATTTTAGTCTAGGACTAGGCCTAATCAATGTCTTCTCATTAGTAAATCTGGATAAAGGACTCATTGAGCTCCTGAAACTGCACATTGAGCTCTTTCGGCCAGTAGGAGGCAATGTCACATTGAGCTGGTGAAAGTTGTGTTGGACAGAATATAACAATGACTGTATCTTGAACTTGAGAGATTGATTGAACTCAACCTATTAAAAGCCTCAAAATGGTATGAGTTCCTGGATAACACCGATAAACATGTTTTAAGTGTTGAAACAAAGTGTTGTTGGATGGTTTTTATTTGCATTTTAAGTATTAATTAGCCTATTCAAGAACGAGCCAGGGTTTTTCCTTTCACACAATGTTATTAATATTTCCCAGAGCATTTGTGCCATCGTGTCAGGTAGCCTACGATATTTACAGCGAAGAAATTATCCCCGGGACGGAGAAACTGTTTTGTTTTTATGACAGTTTATGTGCAGTGTCTGATATACTTATTATTTGGCATATTGTTCTCATGTAAACACTGAACTCAGCTAGCCTAGCTTAGCAGTAATGATAACTCTAAAAACATCATGGCAGAACCACATATCAGGGCAAGAAAGGGTCGTTAGTTCATGTTACAGAGAAGAACTGATTCAGACAGAGAAATAATAACACACGAGACGTACATGTCAATTAATGGAAATAATAATTAACCTACCTGACCTGTGGCTAAGCCACTAATAATAATTAGTTTTTAAATAACTTGAAATCAAGAACAAAAAAATAGCTTACTTAGCTACATCGTGGTCATAAATTGAACAATTTAACTTTTACCATAGAGAAAACAAACATGATTCACGTTCTAGCGTGTTTTTGATTGATAAAACGACGCAGAAAGTTTTCTGTGGTGGACGACCTGTAGGAGTCGCTGTGACCCTCTTCAGTCCGCCGGTAAAACCACTGAAGAAGAGGAGAGGTTTGTTTTTAACTGTGTTTGTGACTGTGTTTTTTCTGTCTGTAATGTATTAATGTGCTTTAAATGAACTACTTCTTCGCTTTTTATCGTTAAAAAAACGAATTAACCATGGTTTTTACCACAGTAACCATAGTAAAGGATATTTGTAATAATAGTTAGTATATATGTAGTTATAAACACGTTTCCCGTCGCTTACCACAGCCTATGTTTTAACTGCAATAGTTAACATGTTTAATTTTCAATGTTGGACACTTAAATGACGCTTAGAAACGAGTACAAGTATCACATTATCATGTTTAATTTCAGAAATCTGTGTTTAAATCCAGCAGTTTTAGATAATGTATTATTATGACATTCTACAATGAATTTAAACATAACGGCTAAACATGCTTATTTATATCTGAAATTAATATATTATTATCAGAAAATGCAATCATTTTCTTATTCTGTTAGTCATTTTGAGTTTAAATCAGTGTTAGATCATTATAAATGTGTCTTGCAATAACAATGTTGTGTTTGTCTTCAGATGTTGACCATGAGAGTGCAGATGGATGTGAACTGCTGTAAATCAGTAGGAACGGATCTGTCCATGCTGGATATTGAGGATTTCATCACTGAAATCTGTCAGCTGAAGAAAGAGGTGGCGTCACTGGAGGCAAAGCTGAGAGAAAGAGGAGACAAACCCGACAGAGAGGTTTGAGCAGCTCATCATTTCATCCTTCAGCTCAATCAAATCAAAGTTGTGTTAGCTTCTCACTTCTAATGCACATCTATAATTAATCCAGCAGCAAAATATGCAAACAAATCACCAATATAACCACAGAACCATTTTAGAATAGATTAGATAGACCATAAGGAAAGCCAAACTGCTTTTTTTTTTAAGAAACGTACATAGTTTTGACAACATTTATTATGCAAAACTGTAATTATAATGTTGCAGATAAATAAAATTCAAGTACACAAGTAAGTTTGTGTCGACAAACACAGCATTTATCCTCTGTTTTAATTTCAAATCACTGTTTTTATTAGTTTCTTTTATAAAAATATATGAGTTTCAGCATTGTGATTCTATTTGTACACAGACATTTAAGTCTACACTCTTTCTTTCATGTAATATAAACTTAACACACTTTAAAACGTATTATTACTTGTATAGATTTATATATTAAGTTGCTAAAGCAAGTGGCAAAACTTATACATTTATGTTAACATCGCAAACATTTTAAATTAAAACCTACACTATTGACAAAAACAGCTTTTCTTTTGCATTTAAATCTTTTTTACAAGAAATAGTGCGGTCACAAAGAACTCGTTTTTCCACCTCCATGAATTGCATCCATTGTGTCGCGTTGTTCAGGTAACGTTACTGGGTAGTTTTCCTTGCTTTAATTACCCGAACTTAAAGTTAAAAAGAGAATGACTGTGAAAATAAATAGTATATAAAATGTATTGCAATTTAAATAAATGCATTTAAGGAGAAATTACTACATTTTCATGTCAATCCGTGTTCATTTTGACCGTGAACCATGCGCTGAAACGATATGCAATATAAAGTATACAAAATTGGCTTACGATAGAGATTTTAATTCTATTTTCATTCCATCGCAATTATGCATGTTGACTCAATCTACCTGCAGATTGGAGAAGAGTGGATGAAGATGTGCTATGTTAAACTGGAGGACTGCAGGAACCTGATAGAGAGACGAGGAGGAAAAAACACAGCAGAGGAACAACAACAACAGAGCTTTAAGGAAGAGGAGGATGAAGATCAGAATGAGGATGATGAAAATAATTGCAGTGATGACGATGATGATTTTATTCCTTCAGGTATGCTTCTTCTACACAGCAAAATCTCTTTTAAAAAAATTAACACTGTGTTTATCACACTCTCAGTGAGTGGCTGAATGAAGATGACACGGGTTCAAAGCCCGATCAAACATGGACTACTGTAGTTAAATTTTATTTTTACGCTATTAATGCAGAGAGATTTGTCTAGTTCTAAAACTCTGTTACACCATTTAGTTTTTTTGCTTATATTTATAAAATAAAATTACCATGCATTTCCATTTTACACTAAGGAACAAATAGTATCCAACCGAACGACTTTACATCTATATAATAATACCAATTGGAATTAGTTCTGTAAATAAATAAAAAAAATATATATATATTAGGGCTGTCAGTTAAACGCCTTATTAACGGCGTCAATTGTTTTATCGCGTGATTAACAGTCTTTTTGTCCTAGCAAACTTTGTAGCTTTTTTCACATGCCAGGACGCGGCGCTATGAAACGCATTTATTTCAATGGCTTGTGTCGCGCGAGGACGTTTTGTTGCTTCGTCGACCAAAGCGCAAGCAGATCTAGCTAAACCGGAAACAAAACAACAGGCACGCCGCACACACTCGTTTGGGCTTGCGAGTCAGCCAAATAGTTGGTTAACGTTACGTTTTGAGTGGATGACGAGCGCGAGACGCCGAAATGGATGCCAATAAGATTCTGAATGGAAATTTTACTTTGTTTTTTACTTTTTTGAAATTTTACTTTTAGTTGCCAAATTCCATCGACAAGACCAAAGTGATCTGTGTGTTTGTCAATAGCAGGACCTCGTCAGTATATCTTTCACTTTTTTATTAGAGCCAGACCGATATATCGGTAGACCGATATTATCGGCCGATATTAGGCATTTTCAAAACTATCGGTATTGGCAGTTATGATGGCCGATAAATTAATATTTCAAAAATAAAATAAAAACGGACGAAACACGCTTGAACCATGTCATGAGTGTTGGAGTTGTATAGTTTGTCCACCAGAGGGCGCTCTACACTCGTTGAGTTGGTCACGATACATGCATTGCTTGAATAACAATTAAAAGAACATCCCCATCAGTTCTCTTAACTCAAATAAGCATGACAAAATTTGTGACTATCATGTCCAGTTTTGCTGCTGTTAAATAAGCCGAGAGTGAAGCCGAATTAGCTAGTAATAGTTACGTTACGTTGTTCCAGTGTAGTTGACTGACTGTCGTTTTAACTTTTGACAATGTGACTGAAGTATTTCTTTAATAGCACGTGACAGTTATAGCAGTGAGATGTACCATCTCTCCTTGGCCTGTTATATTGAAAATATATGTTTTACAATTTGCATTATAACATAATCCATTGCTAAATTATGGCTCATCATAGACTAGCTAACCACAAAGCTAGCTAATACCACTATCATCAGTCTGTTCTTGTGACAATAAAAGAAACGAGTTTCTTTTTAAAATGCATTATCATATTATTTTAGTTAAAACTCATAAATAACTACAAATAACTAATGTTAAGGAAATCTGTTAATGTTTTGTTGCGCGTTTCTGAAAAAAATAAATAAGTAAAAAAATATCGGCCGATATATCGGATTTTAAAACCAACAAATATTTGTATCGGTATCGGCCTTCAAAATCCTTTATCGGTCGGGCTCTAGTGTGAAATTAAACACAGTATATGCCAACGTTGTTTAAAAAAAAAAGCCAATCCACTTTTCCATGTTGATAAGAGCATTAAATTGAGAAAAAAATAATGGGACAAAAAGAAATCAATAGACATTTAGAACAGATTAAAATGTGCGATTAATCGTGAGTTAACTATGACATTAATGCGATTAATCGCGATTAAATATTTTAATCGTTTGACAGCACTAATATATATATATACACCCTCTTTATAGAAGTGACGGGATACCAAAGACAGACTGTGTTGGAGGATTTAACGCTTGAGCTGGAAAGACGTGACGCAGAGATTCGGGCACTGAAACAGCAGCTGCTTGTCTGCAAGGCAAAGCATGTTGAGGAGATGGAGGCCCTTCGGACTGAGCTGCGTGTCTGCAGAGAGGCACATGCCGACGCAAAGGCATCGCTTACTGATATGCAAGCTACCCACAAAGGGCTCGTCAAGATCCACTCTACGGTAGTAAAGCAGCTAGGAGAGGCGCAGACCGCTCTAAGGAAACGGTTACACCGTGAACACTCCCCAACCTCAGACTGTCTGACTCCGACCAGGGGAAGTAAGCCTTTTAGCAACTGTTGTCCCGAACTCCCGTTCACTTCTCCCACTCCGGAGCTTCTCGAGTCGCTGATGATTCAGAGTCAGGGACGGCCAGATCGGTTTGGTTGCTTGCTGTTCCGTGCCGTGGTACCGCAGCACATCTACGAGGAGTGGGCATCCACAACAAACTGGGATGGTTCGAGAGGCAAACGTGGACTGCCTGTGAACATAAGACACTTTATAATGACTTCAGTCGCTCAGAGATTTCCACAAATGGCTAGCAGTGACGGCAAGCGGATCAAGGACAGGGTGAACGAATTTCTACGCTCCCCGAGGAATATTGTTACCCACCGATGTCTACAAAATTAGATATTGTAGTCATCTTTATTTTTAAAATTTAAAAAATTATTATTTTTTTCTATTCGGTTTAAAATTTCTAAAATTTGCTTTCGTTAAATTTAACAAATTGTTATAGCTACTATTTTAGTTTGCTATTTTATCTGTTTTAAAAGTTTGTTATATTCTTTTTTTTTACATCTGGCTCTTTACAGTCTCGTTCTTGTCAAATTATTTGTTGAAAAATAAAGTTTTTTACAAGACCTTGTGCTATTCAGTCTCATTCTTGTTAAAATAATGATTTTTTTTATTTATTTTGTGCTCTTTTTTCTTTTTTATAAACAGATAAACTTACCATCTTAGTAAATTTTAAAGGGTTAGTTCAGTTTAGATAGTAAATTTTAAAGGGTTACTTCACCCAAAAATAAAAATTAAAGGTCACCTATTATGCCCCGTTTTACAAGAATGTATTTGTGAAGTTTCAGGACAAAATACCCCACAGTTCATTTATTATAACCATTTTTAAATGTAATTTTTGGGGCCTGTTTAAAAATGAGCTGTTTTGGGTGTATACGACCTTAAATGCAAATGAGCTGCATATTCCCGCCCTGCCTTTGGATGAGAGCGTCAATTAATTCTTCCATATGGCAAAACGACATATGGTAAGCAGAATGGATGAGAGTGAGAGACCTGCTGTCATTCAGCCGTACATGTTTGAATCGGAATATATAAATAGTCTCTGATCAGACCCAGATGACGAAGAGACCATGGCAGAATAAACACAAATGAGAATGGACCAGGACATCTCGGTATGGTTATTTGATACATTTATGTTTATAGAGTTGCAATTGCGTCCTCTTTGCAACCATGGATGTGCAACAGACAAACACAAACACTTTAGCGGAATTTTTTGAAACTACAAACACATACTGTGATGAAGTTTGCTACGTACAAGCGAAATTACATTTATGAAGTTAATGCTTTCAAAGTTAATGAGTTTCTAATATGTTTATAGTTCATCAAATTAAATTTCAATTTCTTTAAAAAAAAAAGTATTTTATGTTCTGTGGAGGCTACAGTTAGACTACTCATCATTTGTATTCTGAATATGTAACAACGGCACACTGGTTTAATTTTAATCTCAATTTGGTCTTGTAGGATCTAAAACGCTGGTTTATATTAAGTATAGGACTATTTAAAACCATGCCAGATAAAGCAGATCTCTGTAAATCTGAAGACAAGGAATAATCTCTCTCCAGGAAACTGCCCCATAATGTCTTCTCATCAGTAAATCAGTGAAGACTCATTGAGCTCATCCTGAAACTACACAAACTCTTTCTACCAGTAGGAGGCAGTGTCACATTCAGCTTGTGGATTGAGAGAGTAAAGATTTAAACAAACTCTGCATAACAATGATTGTATCTTAAACTTGAGACTGAGAGGTTGAATTTTGCCTAATAGAAGCCTCAAAATAGTATCAATGAATTCCTAGATTTCATAACACTGTGAGTTTCTAGGGCAATTGCTCACTTTTGTCCATTGTTCAATGGTTTTTATTGGGATACGTTTTATTTAATCAAGAAAGAGCCATGGTTTTCCTTTAAAAAAAAAAATACTTTTATTTATTGATTTATTTTTTTTATGACTTACTTTCCTCTTTAATGTGCAGGCTGATAGTTATTTTTATTTGGCATTAATAGTTACTCTAAAGACAGAACCACATCAGGGCAATAAATGATTTATCACAGTTCATGTTTAGAGAGTTGAACTGATTCAGACATAGAAATACACGATACGGAAACATAAGAGGAAATGATGTGGTGCAGTGAACATGACAAATCAACTACACAAATAACAGCGAAGTCATTAATTGAACAATTTTACTTTCACCATAGAAAGAAACATAAGAATGGTGTTCTAGCTGACGGGTTTGGCGGTATTTTCACGTTCATAGCAGTGTTTTCAAGCGTGTTTTTGATTGATTAAACGACGGAGTTTTCTGTGGACGATATCTACAGACCAGCAGGAGTTCCCGAAACCTGTAGGAGTCGCTGTGACGCTCTTCAGTCCGCCGGTAAAACCACTGAAGAAGAGGACGCGCTGTGGCTGAGACAGGTTTGTTTTTGTTTTTAACTGTTTTTTTTTTTCTGTCTGTAGTGTTTTTAATGTGCTTTAAATGAACTACTTCTTCGCTTTTTATCATTAAAAAAACGAATTAACCATGGTTTTACCACGGTAACCATAGTAAAGGATATTTGTAGTGTAGTTATAAACACTACAGTTTCCCGTTGCTTCCTACAGCAGCTAACGTAGACTGTGATATTTGTAATAGTTAACATGTTTAATTTTAAATTCTGGACGCTTAGAAACGAGTACAAGTATCACATTAACATGTTTAATTACTGAAATCTGCGTTTAAATCTGATCAGTTTTAGAAAATTAGGCTATATTATAATGATATTCTTACAATAATGAATTTCAACATAAACTTACCTAAACATATGTTTATTTATATCTGAAATCAATATCTATCGGTATATTAATATTATTAGAAAATGCAATCTTCTTATTCTTATTCTGTTAGTCATTTTGAGTTTAAATCAGTGTTAGATCATTATAAATGTGTCTTGTAACAACAATGTTGTGTTTGTCTTCAGATGTTGACCATGAGAGTGCAGATGGATGTGAACTGCTGTAAATCAGTAGGAACGGATCTGTCCATGCTGGATATTGAGGATTTCATCACTGAAATCTGTCAGCTGAAGAAAGAGGTGGCGTCCCTGGAGGCAAAGCTGAGAGAAAGAGTAGACAAACCCGACAGAGAGGTTTGAGCAGCTCATCATTTCAACCAAAGTTTTTTTGGCTTCTCACATCTTATTCACATCTCAATTTAAGACAACCGCAAAATATACAATCAAATCACCAATATAACCGCTAGAGATAACTGCTGAGTAACGAGGCTAATATGAACAGGTTGTTGTTTATTTGTGTTGATCTATGATGTGTTTGTCAGGATCTGGAGAAGGTTTCAGTGTGTGTGACTGATGGGACAGAAGCTCAGGATTCAGTCTGGAGATCCAGAGACGCACAGGACTCAGAGCTCAACCTCACTTTACTGTGTTATACTGACGCTCAGGATCATGGATCCGCTGATCAAACCTCTGACTGTAACGCTGGAGAACTGCAGATGAAGATGTGCTCCGTCAAACTGGAGGACTGCAGGAACCTGATAGAGAGACAAGGAGAAGAAACTACAGCAGAGGAACAACAACAGAGTTTTAAGGAGGAGGATGAAGATGAAGTTGTTCAGAATGAAGATGATGATGAAGGAAATGATGTTGAGGATGAGAATAATCGAAATGATGATGACTTTATTCCTTCAGGTATGTTTCTTCCACACTGTTAAATTAACACTGCTCAGAATTTATTTGGTCCACACTCAGAGAGTTATAAGTAACACTGAAGCAGTGTTAAAGTAAATGAGATAATTAAGTGATGATTGAGTGAGCAGAATCGAAAACACCTGATGTTAACAAGCAGAATCACTTCGGGAGAAAAACCACAAATTTAAGTTGCCATTACATGTACTTGTACTCCATGTAACTTTAGTTCACCGATATACATAGTTTCATGTATTCAATACATTATATTAATTTGATTGACTGTCTCGTGCACATTTCAAAGTCCCTTTAATGTTGCGATCAATAGTATTGTTATAGAACAGGAAAGTTAATCCTCGTGGCCAGAGTAATAGCGTCTCCTGAAAGACTCAGAGGGATCATTTTTCATGGGGTGATAAAGATAGCTGGACAAAACAGATTAGTCGGTACTAAATTAATCCCATGGGGAATTGTCCTTAGAATCAATCTATTTTAGACAATTGACATATTAATATTTTAGTTATAATTCGTTGTGATTGATTATTGATAGCACAATTGTTCTGTATTTGCTTACCTGTGTGGAGGACTGACTATAATCCGTTGTATTTAGTTGTCCAAACAGGCCGTTGGTAACTTTTCCCTTTACGGGTTATAATTTGTAGGTGATTCCCGATCATGTTTCATGATTTGTTATTAAAATTATATTCCCTGTATGTGAGCTAATAGGAGTATCCCTACAGCAGTGTTTATTGAAGACTGTGGATTTTGCTGTGCTTTTGTTATGGCAAATCATAGTAAGAATTTGGGTTAAAATTTAGTTGTTCTCCTAAATCAGCAGATGCAGACATTAGTTACTGTGAACCGATGTGTTGAAAACGCTGTGTTAGTTGAACAATTTCACATTTATCTTGATTAAATTTTAAGCTCTAGAAGTTATAGAAAAATATAGACATATATTATAGAATTTCTTGATGGTAGACATTTTTTTTTCAGATGTGAATGGTGGTTCATCTGCTGATGAGGAAACAACCTCGACATCAAAAGATCAGCTGAAGGTCAGGAGTTTCTCCTGCGAAACCTGTGGGAAAACATTGAGCTCACAGGGACATTTAGCGAGACATGAGAGAACACACACAGAACAGAAAGACTTGACCTGCAAGAGATGCAACATCAGCTTTCCTACCTTAGAAGAGAAGAGACGTCATTCAAAAGAGCACCGAGTGAAGAAGGAGTTTCACTGCGAACAGTGCGGGAAGGACTTTTTCACCACTGCATCTAGTATAAGAGCTCATATGAAGACACACGGTGACAAGACTTTCCACTGCAGCGAGTGCGACAAGTATTTCAGCACCAAAGGGAATCTTGATGGTCATAAGCAAATCCACACGGGTGAAAGGCCGTACAAGTGCCCTCACTGCGATAGAGGATTCATGAATGGATCCCATCTGAAGAAGCATGTGCGCGTTCACACCAACGAGAGGCCGTATCAGTGCAGCGAATGTGGGAAAACCTTCTCAAACTCAAGTTCTCTAAAGTCACACCAGAAAATACACTCTGAGGAGAAACCATATCAGTGTTCACACTGCGATAAACGATTCCGTCACAAATCTCATTTGATTTGCCATGAGAGGACTCACACCGGAGAGAAACCGTACCTGTGCTCCTACTGCGGGAAGAGCTTCTTTAGACCGGCTCAATTTGGACTTCATCTGAGAGTTCACACTGGAGAAAAACCGTATCACTGTAGCGTTTGTGGGAAGAGTTTCGGTAAACATGGTACCTTCAAAAATCACCAGCGGATTCATACAGGAGAAAGACCGTTCAAGTGTTCTCAGTGTGACAAGACGTTCGCTCGATCGGACGTCCTGAAGACTCATGAGCGAGTTCATACAGGAGAGAAGCCTTACCGCTGCTCCATCTGCGACGAGAGATTCGCTTATTTAGGTAGTTTTCAGACTCACCAGAAGAAACATGCTAAAGAACAAACAGAATCATCATAGTCTCTTTTCATCAGTAAGTCTGGATTAAAGACTCATTGAGCTCATCCTGAAACTGCACATTGAGCTCTTTCTGCCAGTAGGAGGCAGTGTCACATTGAGCTTGTGGATTGAGAGAGTAAAGATAGATTGAACTAAAGTCTTGCTGCGTCCCAATTCGCTTACTTATACTACGCTCTAAAAGTATGTGTACTCTTATTGTGAAGAAAAAGTACATACTTTTGAGGGTGTAGCTAAAGAGTAGGCAAGCTTTGGGACAACCTATCGCGTCAGATTTAACGGACAGCACTGTCGCGTGCTGCGTGCATCCTGTCACCGTAAACTGTAATCACCGTAAAATGATTTCCTACCATTTCAGAGAGCACGCGTGATGGGTTGTGGGCAATATCAGCCGTTAAAGTGTGCATCGATTACACTTCGGATTCTGACCGGAAATAGTTGACCATCCAGGTATCTTTGAAACACTCATTTCAACACACTACGATTTGAGATGTACTAATTCTATTTTCAAATACTATTTAGGACCGATAGTATGCGAATTGGGACGCAGCGCCAGTATATGAAGTTGTGTTGGACAGACGTAGACCAATGATTGTAACTTGAACTATTACTATCCCAGCTAATGTGTTTGACATACGCGCTGTCACAGCAGCCACACACACACACACACAAAAAACAAATTAATTTTGATTCTCAATAACAATTTCTGTAGACGTCTACAAAAGTTTTATTGAGAATTTTATTAATAATTTTATTGAGGTTTAACTCTTGTTTCATTTGAAGTCACCATAACAGTGATTAGTGTCTCTTAATTCTTATTAAATGTATATCTTTTTGTAAGATCGTGTTTTATGTCTTTTTATGCTGTTGTGACTGTGTTTTTGTCAAACACATTTGCAATAGCAAAGGAAGTGAAATGACATCAGATGATGATGGTAACCTGTCAATGGTTACAATGCAGATTAAGCCATGATGATTAGTATTTAATCACACTAACATAATGATGAAGCCTAATTCTTTTAGCTGTTATTGAACACTTACTGAAAATCATGATTCTGAAATCACGTCCTCAGTGACCAAAGTAATCAGCATTCACCAAGCAGTGCAATGCGATAAAATTTGCAAGTGTAATATGTTATCTCTCTCCGTTTGTCTGAGGGAGTGTGTGTATTTATTCTTGTCTGCATTCTGCTGAAGGGAGTGCAGTAAAAACAGCAAAAACAATATACTGTGAAGTATTATTTTAATCTAAAATTAGTTTTCTATATAATTTTTTTTTTTTTACAGTGAGTCTAATTTGCATTTTAATAGGCCGTTACCCCAGTCTTCAGTGTTAAATGATCCTTCAGAAATCATTCTTCTAATAGCTATGCTAATTTGCTGTTCAATAAATATTTATTAACGTTGAAAATGCTTAATGGTGTATGCTAACTGACTGACATACGTTTTTCACAGTTCTCAGATCATCAGAACGAGAGAACAGCGTTTATTTCAAACCGAAAGATTCTGGAACATGTAACTTCATTTACAGCGCGCCTCTGATACCTGCGCGCGCTTTCTCCTCTCTTCCTCAGAAACCCGCGAACTCGCGTAATTCAAAAATAACGGTCATTTTCCATTTACCGTCTGACTGACTAACATTTGTATATCCATCGTCTTTATTTAATAATCGAGTTACGGTAGTGAATTTAGTATCTGCAACGCCATTGAAGTACAATGCTGGTATTTTGAATGAGAAATGGTTTGGTGAAGCCTTTACTCCATCGCTCGTACTGTAGGAGGCGCTGCCGTTATTTAGTCTACCGGTAAAACCACTGAAGAAAGAAAGGCAACTGGAGCTTTCAGACGGTAAGTGTTTAATCTGTTTTACATTGTTAATGTTTTAGCACTTTGTACTTGTTCTTGCTATTTTTCTAGTAATTTGATGATCTTAAAGTTTTTCCTCGCACCCTAATAAAAAATAATAATAACATAACCATAGTCTTACTGTAGTAACCACAGCAAATGTCCTGTTGTTTTACTACAGTAACCATGTTGTAACCATGATATTTTAAGTAAACAGTACTAATACAATGCTTAATTTTCAGTGCTAGATGCTTTAAAAGGGTTCACTGTTTTGGAAGGAGTAGAAATCTGACAATATCATGTTTAATATTTTAATATATGCATGTAATGATCATATATTGTTACATTTGGTGATAATTTCTGCTCTGTGCTTGCTCAATATTAAAACAAACAAAGCTCCTAAACGTATTTATATCTGGAATCAAATTGTCTAAATAGGCTATAAGACGTTTAATAATAATGTTATTTTCTTAAATTCGGCTTATGATATGTTTGTCTTCAGATGTTGACCATGAGAGCACAGATGGATGTGAACTGCTGTAAATCAGTAGGAACGGATCTGTCCATGCTGGATATTGAGGATTTCATCACTGAAATCTGTCAGCTGAAGAAAGAGGTGGCGTCACTGGAGGCAAAGCTGAGAGAAAGAGGAGACAAACCCGACAGAGAGGTTTGAGCAGCTCATCATTTCATCCTTCAGCTCAATCAAATCAAAGTTGTGTTAGCTTCTCACTTAACAGTGGCCCAATCTTAAGTTTATCAAGCGACAAGAATACTTTTTGTGCGAAAAAACAAACAAATGGTTCACGTAGTATTTGCGTAGAGTTTCTGTGTTGTACGTCACACGTAGGCTCACTATTGGCCGACGCTGGTCATGTGTGATGCGTGTGGTGTTCAACCAGAAGCACTACGCAATTATACTTATACCTTTAACAGAAAAATATGCAAACAAATCACCAATATAACCGCTAGAGATAACTGCTGAGTAATGAGGCTAATATCAACAGGTTGTTGTTTATTTGTGTTGATCTATGATGTGTTTGTCAGGATCTGGAGAAGGTTTCAGTGTGTGTGACTGATGGGACAGAAGCTCAGGATTCAGTCTGGAGATCCAGAGACACACAGGACTCAGAGCTCAACCTAACTTTACTGTGTTATACTGACGCTCAGGATCATGGATCCGCTGATCAAACCTCTGACTGTAACGCTGGAGAACTGCAGATGAAGATGTGCTTCGTCAAACTGGAGGACTGCAGGAACCTGATAGAGAGACGAGGAGAAGAAACCACAGCAGAGGAACAACAACAACAGAGCCATGAGGAGGAGGATGAAGATGATGTTCAGAATGAGGAGGATGAAGGAAATGATGTTGAGGATAAAGAAAATGAGGATGAGAATAATCAAAGTGATGATGATGATTTTATTCCTTCAGGTATGTATCTTCCATTTATTATATTTAGTGATGGTAAGAATTTGGGTAAAAATGTAGTTATGTTTCTAAATCAGCATTTGCAGACTAGTGATGCTCCGATTGATCGGCCGTTATGGGCTAAAAATAGCTTGATTTAGCTTGACACGTCTGAGTGAAGACCACAAGAGAACACAGTATCTGCGCCATGATCGCAGTGGCAAGGAGAACTGTGATCACTTGATTGAAAAAGTTTAAATAAAACACATTGAACAAAACAAATGCTCTGCTAATTAACTGGAGATGTTTTATTTATTTGTATTGGTACATTTATGCCGCGAGATGTTTCAAAAGTGGTGGTGGTATTTTATTTTTTGGATCTGATGTAGTTGGTTTATCAACTTCATCAGACTTTCATAATAATAACAGAAAAAAACTTGCCATAGTTTTTTTGTGGCAGTAGCCAGTTTTGGTGTAACAAGTTTTACATTTTGGTGTCAATTATTTAATGTAGTCAGCATATTAAGACGCTACAATTTCTAAGTGAGCCTGAGTCCCATTAAGCTATTCTAATGTGTGTTGGTCTGCCTGACCCCTCTTTGTTTGGAATAATTTTGTGTTACTCTACCTTATTTGGGAAAGATGGCCTACAGTAGCCTCACGTTATCTAATTTTCTTAGTACAATTAAATAAACAGTTGGTGGTCCTTAAAGATCTTGACTGTAGCCTATTTCTACTGATTTTCGCCCCAATACAGTCAACTCATAGTTAGTTTAATTTGTACAAATGGTGCAAACTCTGCTAGATTCTAGATAAAATATTCCCATTCCCCTGCCATTCTGTGATCAGCAGTGATTGGCAATCAGCAGATCATGATTTTGGTAATGGGTGATCAGCCCCATAAATGCTGATCAGAGCATCTCTAGTGAACCCATTAGTTACTCTCGTGAGCTGCCTCACAATTTGTTTATTCTTAATAATTGAGACATTTTGGTACCACTTTACATTAAGGTTTTATTAGTTAATGTGTTAGTTAACTAATGGTACCTTTTTTATATTGTTACCAACATTTTAATGCAGTTTTTTTTTTCTTTTCAGATGTGAATGGCGGTTCATCTGCTGATGAAGAAACAACCTCGACATCAAAAGATCAGCTGAAGGTCAGGAGTTTCTCCTGCGAAACCTGTGGGAAAACATTGAGCTCACAGGGACATTTAGCGAGACATGAGAGAAAACACACAGAACAGAAAGATTTGACATGCAAGAGATGCAACATCAGCTTTCCTACCTTAGAAGAGAAGAGACTTCATTCAAAAGAGCACCGAGTGAAGAAGGAGTTTCACTGCGAACAGTGCGGGAAGGACTTTTTCACCACTGCATCTAGTATAAGAGCTCATATGAAGACACACAGCGACAAGACTTTCCACTGCAGCGAGTGCGACAAGTATTTCACCACCAAAGGGAATCTTGAAATTCATAAGCGACTCCACACGGGTGAAAGGCCGTACAAGTGTCCTCACTGCGATAGAGGATTCACGAATGGATCCCATCTGAAGAAGCATGTGCGCGTTCACACCAACGAGAGGCCGTATCAGTGCAGCGAATGTGGGAAAACCTTCTCAAACTCAAGTTCTCTAAAGTCACACCAGAAAATACACTCTGAGGAGAAACCATATCAGTGTTCACACTGCGATAAACGATTCCGTCACAAATCTCATTTGATTTGCCATGAGAGGACTCACACCGGAGAGAAACCGTACCTGTGCTCCTACTGCGGGAAGAGCTTCTTTAGCCCGGCTCAATTTGGACTTCATCTGAGAGTTCACACTGGAGAAAAACCGTATCACTGTAGCGTTTGTGGGAAGAGTTTCGGTAAACATGGTACCTTCAAAAATCACCAGCGGATTCATACAGGAGAAAGACCGTTCAAGTGTTCTCAGTGTGACAAGACGTTTGCTCGATCGGACGTCCTGAAGACTCATGAGCGAGTTCATACAGGAGAGAAGCCTTACCGCTGCTCCATCTGCGACGAGAGATTCGCTTATTTAGGTAGTTTTCAGACTCACCAGAAGAAACACGCTAAAGAACAAACTGAATCATCATAGTGTCTTTTCATCAGTAAGTCTGGATTAAAGACTCATTGAGCTCATCCTGAAACTGCACATTGAGCTCTTTCTGCCAGTAGGAGGCAGTGTCACATTGAGCTTGTGGATTGAGAGAGTAAAGATAGATTGAACTAAAGTCTTGCTGCGTCCCAATTCGCTTACTTATACTACGCCCTAAAAGTATGTGTACTCTTATTGTGAAGAAAAAGTACATACTTTTGAGGGTGTAGTTAAAGAGTAGGCAAGCTTTGGGACAACCTATCGCGTCAGATTTAACGGACAGCACTGTCGCGTGCTGCGTGCATCCTGTCACCGTAAACTGTAATCACCGTAAAATGATTTCCTACCATTTCGGAGAGCACGTGTGATGGGTTGTGGGCAATATCAGCCGTTAAAGTGTGCATTGATTACACTTCGGATTCTGACCGGAAATAGTTGACCTTCCAGGTATCTTTGAAACACTAATTTCTATTCAACACACTACGATTTGAGATGTACTAATTCTATTTTCAAATACTATTTAGGACCGATAGTATGCGAATTGGGACGCAGCGCCAGTATATGAAGTTGTGTTGGACAGACGTAGACCAATGATTGTAACTTGAACTATTACTATCCCAGCTAATGTGTTTGACATACGCGCTGTCACAGCAGCCACACACACACACACAAAAAACAAATTAATTTTGATTCTCAATAACAATTTCTGTAGACGTCTACAAAAGTTTTATTGAGAATTTTATTAATAATTTTATTGAGGTTTAACTCTTGTTTCATTTGAAGTCACCATAACAGTGATTAGTGTCTCTTAATTCTTATTAAATGTATATCTTTTTGTAAGATCGTGTTTTATGTCTTTTTATGCTGTTGTGACTGTGTTTTTGTCAAACACATTTGCAATAGCAAAGGAAGTGAAATGACATCAGATGACGATGGTAACCTGTCAATGGTTACAATGCAGATTAAGCCATGATGATTAGTATTTAATCACACTAACATAATGATGAAGCCTAATTCTTTTAGCTGTTATTGAACACTTACTGAAAATCATGATTCTGAAATCACGTCCTCAGTGACCAAAGTAATCAGCATTCACCAAGCAGTGCAATGCGATAAAATTTGCAAGTGTAATATGTTATCTCTCTCCGTTTGTCTGAGGGAGTGTGTGTATTTATTCTTGTCTGCATTCTGCTGAAGGGAGTGCAGTAAAAACAGCAAAAACAATATACTGTGAAGTATTATTTTAATCTAAAATCAGTTTTCTATATATATTTTTTACAGTGAGTCTAATTTGCAATTGCAATTTGCAATTTTTAATTTGCCGTTACCCCAGTCTTCAATGTTGATCCTTCAGAAATCATTCTTCTAGGTTATGCCAATTTGCTGCTCAATAAATATTTATTAACGTTGAAAATGCTTAATGGTGTATGCTAACTGACTGACATACGTTTTTCACAGTTCTCAGATCATCGGAACGAGAGAACAGCGTTTATTTCAAACCGAAAGATTCTGGAACATGTAACTTCATTTACAGCGTGCCTCTGATACCTGCGCGCGCTTTCTCCTCTCTTCCTCAGAAACCCGCGAACTCGCGTAATTCAAAAATAACGGTCATTTCCATTTACCGTCTGACTGACTAACATTTGTATATCCATCGTCTTTATTTAATAATCGAGTTACGGTAGTGAATTTAGTATCTGCAACGCCATTGAAGTACAATGCTGGTATTTTGAATGAGAAATGGTTTGGTGAAGCCTTTACTCCATCGCTCGTACTGTAGGAGGCGCTGCCGTTATTTAGTCTACCGGTAAAACCACTGAAGAAAGAAAGGCAACTGGAGCTTTCAGACGGTAAGTGTTTAATCTGTTTTACATTGTTAATGTTTTAGCACTTTGTCCTTGTTCTTGCTATTTTTCTAGTAATTTGATGATCTTAAAGTTTTTCCTCGCCCTCGTCTAATAAAAAATAATAATAACATAACCATGGTCTTACTGTAGTAACCACAGCAAATGTCCTGTTGTTTTACTACAGTAACCATGATATTTTAAGTAAACAGTACTAATACAATGCTTAATTTTCAGTGCTAGATGCTTTAAAAGGGTTCTGGAAGGAGTAGAAATCTGACAATATCATGTTTAATATTTTAATATATGCATGTAATGATCATATATTGTTACATTTGGTGATAATTTCTGCTCTGTGCTTGCTCAATATTAAAACAAACAAAGCTCCTAAACGCATTTATATCTGGAATCAAATTGTCTAAATAGGCTATAAGACGTTTAATAATAATGTTATTTTCTTAAATTTGGCTTATGATATGTTTGTCTTCAGATGTTGACCATGAGAGCGCAGATGGATGTGAACTGCTGTAAATCAGTAGGAACGGATCTGTCCATGCTGGATATTGAGGATTTCATCACTGAAATCTGTCAGCTGAAGAAAGAGGTGGCGTCACTGGAGGCAAAGCTGAGAGAAAGAGGAGACAAACCCAACAGAGAGGTTTGAGCAGCTCATCATTTCATCCTTCAGCTCAATCAAATCAAAGTTGTGTTAGCTTCTCACTTAACAGTGGCCCAATCTTAAGTTTATCAAGCGACAAGAATACTTTTTGTGCGAAAAAACAAACAAATGGTTCACGTAGTATTTGCGTAGAGTTTCTGTGTTGTACGTCACACGTAGGCTCACTATTGGCCGACGCTGGTCATGTGTGATGCGTGTGGTGTTCAACCAGAAGCACTACGCAATTATACTTATACCTTTAACAGAAAAATATGCAAACAAATCACCAATATAACCACTAGGGATAACTGCTGAGTAATGAGGCTGATATCAACAGGTTGTTGTTTATTTGTGTTGATCTGTGATGTGTTTGTCAGGATCTGGAGAAGGTTTCAGTGTGTGTGACTGATGGGACAGAAGCTCAGGATTCAGTCTGGAGATCCAGAGACACACAGGACTCAGAGCTCAGCCTCACTTTACTGTGTTATACTGACGCTCAGGATCATGGATCCGCTGATCAAACCTCTGACTGTAACGCTGGAGAACTGCAGATGAAGATGTGCTTCGTCAAACTGGAGGACTGCAGGAACCTGATAGAGAGACGAGGAGAAGAAACCACAGCAGAGGAACAACAACAACAGAGCCATGAGGAGGAGGAAGATGATGATGTTCAGAATGAGGAGGAGGATGAAGATGATGGTGATGTTCAGAATGAGGAGGAGGATGAAGAAGATGATGATGTTCAGAATGAGGAGGAGGATGAAGATGATGATGATGTTCAGAATGAGGAGGATGAAGGAAATGATGTTGAGGATGTAGAAAATGAGGATGAGAATAATCAAAGTGATGATGATGATTTTATACCTTCAGGTATGTATCTTCCATTTATTATATTTTGTTATGGTAAGAATTTGGGTAAAAATGTAGTTAAGTTTCTAAATCAGCAGTTGCAGACTAGTGATGCTCCGATTGATCGGCCGATATTGGCTAAAAATAGCTTGATTGGCGAATCCCACAAGGGCAGATCAAAAAAGCTGATCGTGTGACGTAAATTACTCGCTTGACTTTTTTTCCACCTGCATTCGCGGCGCGCGGAAACACAATAGCAGAGCGGAGCTTGCCACCGACATAGCAACATGGTTTTGGCCCAGGTCCGGTTCACATCTGGCACTTGTGGCATGCGGATCTGGGCCACAAGTAATGTTGATAGGGTACACAACAGCATTTTTGCCTTTACACTAAGATGGTGAGTTAGAAATGTTCATCCTCAATGCGTCTCAACTGATACATAAACTAATGTAAATGTGTACAATACGTTACCTTACAAAACAGTAAAGGTATTCACAGGCATTGTTCATGGTTAGTTCATGTTAACTAATTGTGCTGTTAACGTGAATAGATGAATTAGTATACAGTATATTAACTAATGCTAAACAGAGGCATTGTTCGTGATTAGTTCATGTTAACTAATGGAACCTTTTTTTTATATTGTTTCCAACATTTTAATACCGTTTTTTTTTTTTCCAGATGTGAATGGCGGTTCATCTGCTGATGAAGAAACAACCTCGACATCAAAAGATCAGAGTTTCTCCTGCGAAACCTGTGGGAAAACACTGAGCTCACAGGGACATTTAGCGAGACATGAGAGAACACACACAGAACAGAAAGACTTGACATGCAAGAGATGCAACATCAGCTTTCCTACCTTAGAAGAGAAGAGACTTCATTCAAAAGAGCACCGAGTGAAGAAGGAGTTTCACTGCGAACAGTGCGGGAAGGATTTTTTCACCACTCCTTATAATATGAAATCTCATATGAAGACACACAGCGACAAGACTTTCCACTGCAGCGAGTGCGACAAGTATTTCACCACCAAAGGGAATCTTGATGCTCATAAGCGAATCCACACGGGTGTAAGGCCGTACAAGTGCCCTCACTGCAAGAAGAGTTACAACCATGGATCCCATCTGAAGAAGCATGTGCGCGTTCACACCAACGAGAGGCCGTATCAGTGCAGCGAATGTGGGAAAACCTTCACAAACTTAACCTGTCTAAAGTCACACCAGAAAATACACTCTGAGGAGAAACCATATCAGTGTTCACACTGCGATAAACGATTCCGTCACAAATCTCATTTGATTTGCCATGAGAGGACTCACACCGGAGAGAAACCGTACCTGTGCTCCTACTGCGGGAAGAGCTTCTTTAGCCCGGTTAATTTTAATCTTCATCTGAGAGTTCACACTGGAGAAAAACCGTATCACTGTAGCGTTTGTGGGAAGAGTTTCAGACAACAGTGTGCCTTCAAAAATCACCAGCGGATTCATACAGGAGAAAGACCGTTCAAGTGTTCTCAGTGTGACAAGACGTTTGCTCGATCGGACGTCCTGAAGACTCATGAGCGAGTTCATACAGGAGAGAAGCCTTACCGCTGCTCCATCTGCGACGAGAGATTCGCTTATTTAGGTAGTTTTCAGACTCACCAGAAGAAACACGCTAAAGAACAAACTGAATCATCATAGTCTCTTTTCATCAGTAAGTCTGGATTAAAGACTCATTGAGCTCATCCTGAAACTGCACATTGAGCTCTTTCTGCCAGTAGGAGGCAGTGTCACATTGAGCTTTCATGTGGATTGGGAGAGTAAAGATGAATCGAACTAAACACTGTAAATTAAAGTTGTGTCGTACACAACAGAACAATGATTGTAACTTGTAACTCTTTTTTTAGATTAATGTTAATTCTCAATAACTTCTGTAGACGTCTGACAGAAATAAAGTCAATCTGGGGGTGCGTTTCCCAAAACCATAGTTGCTAACCTGTTAGTTCACATCTCACCCAACATGACATCATGACTTTTGCGTAAACATATACGCCACTTTCGAGTCAGGTGGCGTGTTATCTCTACGCATTTTGAGCTATCCGCGTGTATGCGTATATGTCTACGCCATTAACGTCCGCGTGTCTGTACACGCAGTCAAATCTCCAGTCATAAATGCCATTAACCCCAGTGACGGTTAGGTTTAGGGACGGGGTTGAGGTAAGTCATATATTTATATACCGTTAAGTCAACGGCGTTCATAAACACGCTGAAAGGCGATTATGCGTCTTGATAGCACGCCAAAAATGGAAATACGAATTGGCGTGTCATACACACGCTACTTCATGAGATCAGTCTGTCTCACCAGCACACTTGGCTCAGCGTTCGTGGTTCGACTGCTCGAGTCTGTTAGTGGTATTAACTAGCGATGTTTATTTTCATTACTCTATGCCCCATATACTAGCGTTATAAGCTAAAGAGTTTTTAGAGATAAAACTCTTTACATTCGATAATCACAAAAACAAACCTCCGAGAACGGTTGATGTGTAATTAGACCAAAGGTTCATTTTGCCCCGGAGTTGTCCTTTAAGAGCTCATTCAAGTACTGCGGAGATAAACCATTTGATGCTTTGTAAGTAATCAGCAATATTTTAAAATGTGTACAATGTTTAATAGGCAGCCAATGCAGGGTTGAGCAAATCAGTATTTCTGCGTCATGTGAGTTAGACTGTACCAGCCAATCAAAATACAGACTGAAAGTAGAAAAATACAGAACACAAAACAAAAACATTGAATATTAAATCAAATATAAAACAGTGATTTTAAATTGGAAAATTTGAAGCAAATTTGAGGCGCTACTACTGAGCTATCGATCCAACGATAATCTACTGTGTCTGTGTGTTCGAGTTTACTATCGTTTTATCACTCTCAGGTGTATAAAGTGTAAGTTGATTTGAACATTGACCCAAACAACCTCGGACATGTCCTCAAAAACTTCATATAGCCTAGCATGAAATAGGTCAATGACGATGTTGTGAAGTATGTGTGTTTTCATATGACCACTGGATGGCGATATATTAAAAGCAGTACGAGTCAACACACTCAGCTGAACATCAGATAGAAAACCCAGCTGGAGCCAAAGAGAATATTTAAATTCATAATCACTGGACAGAATAAGCAACATCTGCTCTGTTGGAGATTTGGACTGACGCATGAGAAATGACCTGAAGTATTTGCCTCAATAGCTTCCGCTGGGTCACAGTAAAACCATTAATGTCTGTCACTTCCTGTCCCAAAGGTCATGTCAAACATTATCTTTATCTCTTTCTTTTTTTCATTACCCCCCAAGATATGACAAAGAGAAATTATGAAATAGCCTAATTAAACTGTTGAAAATATTTCCTATAAGAAATGGAAACGGGATAAAAGATTAAACTTGTGAAGATTAAGATTCAAGTGTTTAAAGAAAGAATATTAAACATGGTGTAAACATGGCTTTATTGTGTATTTGCATTTATGGCAATAAAACTCAAAATAAAGTAATATCTATACAAAAACTTGCTTTGGTTAGATTCTAGGAGGAAGCGTTTAAGCAATTCATTTTAAAGATTTCACTGAGGGAGTCAACTTAAAAACTTATAAAATTTAAGTTGCTCTAGTGAAATGTAATATAACAGATTTTCTAATTTAGTCTAATTTAGCCACATTACATCAATCAACTTGCAAGTAGATTTGGACTAATCAGTGCAGAACAACCTTCTGCTTTAGTAACTCTCTCCACTCTGTTCGTCTGTGAGGAGCTCCGCCCACTGACTCACAAGCCCCGCCCCTCAGATATGACATTGGCAGCGCTTTCTGCTGATTTGTGCATTTATTTGTTTACTGCACATGGAAATACTGAAGGCCTTGCATTGATTATCTGATATTCCCTCTCTCACAAGGACACACAGACAGAGAGACACATTAAGTCTGTCAAACGGCTGGAAAGGAAACATCTGCTCGTCTCAGGCTCCGCCCACTCAGAGAAATAAAGGTCTAACTTTTATTTTCTCAGAGCCTTTTAGCTTTTATGTGCCAACGCTTTACGTAACATAAATATTTACTGTATTAGTCCGGACATACACACACACACTCATTCACTGACACAAACGCACTCACTTATTGTCTGACATTCACACACACTCTCTCTCTCACACACATATACGCGCACAGTGATCAAAAATACAGTCAAAACAGTGAAATATGAAAATCAGCTGTTTTCTATGTGAATATACTTTATTCCAGCATCATTACTCTCTTCAGTGTCACATGATCACCCTAAATCACTCTAATGATCTGATGATCCACAAACATTTATGATTATTATTTATCAGTGTTGAAAAAGCTAAATTATCACAAAAGCAAACATTTGTCTTACGTTGCAAACACCATAATATTATATTTCCGGATTTAGTCGCACACAGTTATTCAAAACCTAAAGCTCTTCATTCATGATCTCTACAAGATTGAAATTCACTGTTAACACAAACGCAAGATTGAAACCAAACTATTTATATTTTTACTGTAAGCATTTGTGCTTGTGAATACAGTAATACGCCATCTGAAAAATCTATGACTTGACCTTTGACTTGTTTATAAAGGCCCCATCCTGAAGCCAAGATTGGTTGGTGTTCAGTAAAGCAATGAGGAGTGTGTGTGAGGCTTGATCAAGATACCTCCTGTTAGATTTGTGTGTGTTTGGCCTACATAGAGAATTGTGCGTTTGCAAAAAGTGTTGCAAAAAATGAGGCTGAGAATTAGTGTGATGTTTTAGCAGCTTTGGTGTGTGAGTGTCAGGTTTCATAAATTGTGTTGACGAGTGAGGATTTTGTGTGTAAGCAGTTGAAATCAAGCACAGTTACAGCTCATGAATATTTAATGAGGCAAAACGGTTTAGAATTGTTTTGTTTGAGCGTTGCTAAGCAACTCTTTGTCGCATTCTAGCTGATGTTTCACACTGTGAAGCACTGATGATGCGACCTGCCACCATGTCACATGATCATCTCGTTGCCATGGTTACCGTTTCCCCTCAAGCAGAGGAAGTGAGGCGCTCTCACAGATCAAACACTCATTCATACGCTTTAGAAAGACGCTTCACAGGATCACTGAATGTCCGAAAGAGCTTTAGGAGCTACAACAGATAAACTCTTATGCAAACAGACTGGAAGAAACTGAAGGAATGTTGCTCACACACACACACACACACAAAACCACAGCGGTTTCAATAGTGTGGAAAAAACTGCAGTGTTTCCAGACCACAAATCATATGGTGTTCTACTGTATTTTAGTCCGTGAGCTCATGAGAAGAGGAAGATCATCAATCATGAGATTATTGTTAATTCTCAGGAGTTTTACATGAACACACTGAGATCAGGAACAGAAGTGAAACACATCTATTTCTACAAAACTCAAATAGAGTTTGCCTTCAAAGAAGAGTTGAGTTCGCTGAATTAATCAACTTTATTATCGTTGTTTTGTGTCGAAGTGAGGAATGAGTTTGGATGTTTTTAGACTTTGACTAGCTAAATAAAGAAGAATTATTTTAGAAATATGACGTGATGAATTATGCAAGTGTCTGGTTGTATTTCCACATCAGCTGTGATTACAGCACATCATGCGAGGCCGTTTCCTCTTTTAATCCTCACAACAAAACTGGAAGTTTACTTTAGTTATTCTAGATGTAAACCGAGGGAAACAAAACTCAACGGACCCGTGTGTGTGTGTGTGTGTTGTGACAGCATGAGAGCTTGTGTTATTTCCCAGTAAACCCTCTTCCCTAGTGTCTTCAGTGTGCAGGTTTTCAACTCGAGTCTCTTCAGCTCTAAACTAAACAACTTAATCTCCTTGATGGGCGAAGAGTCGTGGCGATAAAGAGGACATTTTTCATTTCTGCTTTTTCCTTTTTAACATTTTAAGACGATATGCATTCGCCGGTTATTGTTGTATACTACTACTAAATAAGTACTTTAACCCTTCACTCTAAAAAATGCTGGGTTGTTTTAACCCAACTTTGGGTCAAATATGGACTAACCCAGCCGTTGGGTTAAATTTTTACATTACATTTTTAACCCAACATTTCGGGTTTGTCCATATTTGACCCAAAATTGGGTTAAAACAACCCAGCATTTTTTAGAGTGTTCAAACATTTTTTTTTATATTTTTAACTTTTACTTTACAATCTCACAAAGTGTTGCGCTACTGAGATTTTACTAGTATGGCTATAGTTGTATTTTACTCACTGATGAAATACGGCTAATATGCTGGTAAACATATTGTCTATTGAAGTTCATCAATCAAATGTAAAAGATTAATAAAGCTGTTGATGTGAAGCAATAACTGGTGTTATTATATATTGAACAGTAAAATGAATAGAATAAAAATAACAGTAATCCTGTACTTTATTTTACAGTAAGCTGAAAACTACTGTAATTAATTTTTCTGCTGCTTGCTGACTATCTGTTGCCAGTAAGTTTATTGATTTTACGTTAAAAAAGTACAGTTTAGAAAAATTTACTGTTTTTTTTTTTAAATGTACTTTTGTACTATTATGTGCGTCTTGAGTTTTTAAGAGCTAACACACGTTCTGTTTGATCATCTCCTTATGCCTTTCACAGAATTTGGAGCCGGTGTGAACAGTATAGTTATTTACCGGGAAAATCATTCTGTTAATTTTACGGTAATTCACCAGGATTGCTGTTTGAAGGGCCCAGTGTTAGACTTTGACTCAATACTGAAGAATTGTGCAATCTGTCATTGTTTGTGGTGTTGGACTGTGTTATGTGCAAAGCCTGTTTCATCTCTAAAGCACTTCAGAAAGTACAACAAATGTGGATGTTTGTCGACTAGCTGTTGCACTTGTAGCCTCATCAGCACAAAACTCAGCTGACCCATAAATCTCTGTGTGTGTGTGTGTGTGTGTGTGTGTGTGTGTGTGTGTGTGTGTGTGTGTGTGTGTGTGTGTGTGTGTGTGTGTGTGTGTGTGTGTGTGTGTGTGTGTGTGTGTGTGTGTGTGTGTGTGTGTGTGTGATTATATACCGTATTTTAGTGAAGAGAACATTCTGGACTTTTTGACGTCGTCTTTCTTCCTGGCCTTTCCCCCTATAGGTTACTTGCAAGGGTCACTGATATCTGATGTCATCTTACTATCCAAGTTGTGGATTTTGTTCTATGTGTGTGTTGAAGAGAAACAGTAACTTAATGGGCCCTATCATACACCCGGTGCAATGCGTGTGAAAGTGTGTTTTGCTAGTTCCAGCCTGACGCACTTATCATTTTCACGTCCTGCCCCAAGTTGTTTAAATGGCAAATGCAACCATTGACTTTTGACCACATTTACATTTATTCATTTAGCTGACTTACGCGACTTACAATTGCTATATATGTCAGAGGTCAAGTGTCTTGCTCAGGGACACATTGGTGTCTCACAGTGGATTCAAACCCACATCTCTCACACCAAAGGCATGTGTCTTATCCACTGCGACATCACCACCCCAGAGTTCAGTTGGTCATAGGTTCAGTCTATTTCAGTTCCTCAAAATAGTAACACGCCAACAATGCGCCTGAACACACACCTCGTTTTCAGACCAACAAGTGCATAGGCGCAAATGCATATTTATTTTATTTATTTATTTATTTATTTAGTACAGGGACAGTGCATATTCATAAACATTTCTGTCAATATGCCAGAATTAGCCTAAAGGCTATTTTTCATCTGCAGTCCCTAGATAGTTGGTAGGAGTCACCCTAAAAAAAGAAAAAAGATTACATAGTATAAAGCACTAAAAAAAAAGATTTTTTTTTAAAAATACATTTAGTAATAATAATAATAATAACTCTAAACACCTCAAACAACAATCGGACAAACATATTGCCATTTAAACAATGTGGCTCAGGACGTGAAAATGATAATCGCGTCAGGCTGAAACTTACAAAACACATATGGCGCCTCGCTAAGACAGAGTATGGTGATTAACTGATGCACAGTGAAGTGAGATTGTCTCGTGGGAAGTGCTTGAACGGTTTCTGAGCCTCATCCCTGAGATTTACACTTTCCAGGACAGCAAAAGGAAAATGGGAACCGGAGCTGGATCGCACAGCTGGCCTTTCTGACTGAAAACCTCCAAACACGCTCAACTTCAAGGAAGAAAGGAGCCTCCAAGCAACGTGCTGAGTGCAAACAGAGCATTTCAGAACAAAATAATTGCCCTGCTGGGTTGTTTTAACCCAATTTTGGGTCAAATATGGACAAACCCAGCCGTTTGGTTAAATTGCCATTGGGTTTAACAGGCGCAAAATGAACCTTTGGTCCAACCGTTCTATGAGATTTGTTTTCATGATAATCGAATGTAAAGAGTTTTATCTCTAAAAACTGTTTAGCGTATCCGCTAGTATATGGGGGCATTGACAAAGTAAAGAGAAATCGCTAGTTTATACCACTAACAAGGCTCAAAATAGCCCCACACTAACACATTAACATAATGAGGGTCCATACATGCAAAACGAACTTTGTAAGTGTACAGACCGTTTAATAATTAGAAAGTCCACTTAGGCAGGAGCCATCTTAGAAAGTTGAACCACGGTTGACTTGTCCAGATCAAGAAGATCAACTTTATTGAAAGCCCCTTCCACGTGGATGTGTCAAAAAGACAGTATAGAAGTTGAACTCAGAGCACGTTTTGGTCACTTCGGGAGTTTGGAAGAAGATTTTCCTGCTTTGAGGACACTTGTGCTAAAAGTGTTGCCTTTCAATATTCTCAACATATAAATGAATGTGTAAAGAGGAAACAGAGAAACGTCCTCACCGCACGCCTCACGCCTCACAAGAATCGCAACAACAAGCTACAAATACAACATGAAGAAAGCCAAGGAAATGCATGCATGCTTCCACTCATCCCTGCTTTAAGATAATCCTGTTTTTTGTCATTAAGGGAAATCATATATAGTCTCAGTTACAAACTTGACTGGTAAATGATAAATTTGTCCTATCAGTGTGAAGACTGCTCGAGCGGAAGCAAGTCAAATATTGGGCAAGCGCAGGATGTGCATTTAAACTTCTGCACTCATCTGAGCCCTAATCTCAAACACGAAGGACAAGAAGGAGCTAACCCTTGATATATCACAAACCAAAGCAGGAATCGCAGTGTTTCCTAACATGGAGCTGAAGTGCACACTAATTGTTTTTGGTGAGTTGATGCTTCACTGTTTTAGTGTGTGTGATAAATGCTCAAAGTTGCATCATGCATCAGGGCCGCACCGGTCAGTAATCCTGGCTGTAGATAACAATATAACATACTATATGTAAGGAACAAATGAAAACAATCCAATGAATTATTAGAAAATAATATGCACCAAGGGGGTAATATATCTGCATCAAGAACAGAGCCATTATTGCGTAGAAAAAGAAAAATGTCTGCTTTTCAGTTGTTGTTGTTTTTTTTTCAACTATTTTACTGATAAAATCTTCAGATCAGCACTGAAAACACGTTTCTGTGCGAGTGCGTGTGTGTTTGAGCTGGAGAGAGAGAGAGAGAGAGAGAGAGCATGTGACCTAATTTTGTGGAAAAACATGGAAATAATTGGTTGTTTTTATCCCATTGTTTACTTTTTGTTTGCTTGGTCAGTGCCGTTCTTTTTGCATGTTGTCAGCTTCGGTTGTAAAGAGCTTTGAAATAACTAAAATCATATTGCGTAGTGATATGGAGCTGTAATGCAGTCAAAGCCAGCTGGAACTACTTTAGCTGTGCATTTCCTTTAAAACACATCAGAACCTTCCTAAACCAATCCGATTCAAGCATCCAACAGCCCCGTACACTGTAAAAAATGATTTTTTGGTTAAGTAAATACTAGTGAAAAAACCCAATGTAATTTACTTGAAAAAGTTAGTTAAGGCAAGAATTTAAAAAACTAAGTAAATTCCATATCAGTACTTATTTCAAGCGAGTATAAATGAAAGTGTAATATCAACTCAATAAAATTAAGTAAAAATTACTCAACTTTTCTGATACTGGGGTTCCCATCATGCACTGGACCTTGAATAATTAATGAGGTTCATTTTTCACTGGTTTCCAGCTGTATTTACACTGATCATTGATTTTTGTTTTCAGTATTAGTAAATTGCCATTTTGTGACATTTTGAGTAAATTTTTTGCTTAAAACGACATTCAAACACAAAAACGATCCATCAAATGTTACCGCCATTGTGTATTGTCTACCAAGTATTGAGGTGTTTGCATTCACATAAGGCTTAAAGTCTGACATGATGTATATATAAATTACTTAGATGATCTAAGTAAAGAACATACTATAAATGACTAATAAAATTTAAGATAATTGTTTTAGTGAAGTGTAATACAAAGGCAAAGGAAATCGGTATTAATCAACCTTTTACAAGCCGAGTTAAAATTTATTATTTTTTGTAAAGTTTACTTAATTCCACATTCCAAGTAAATTTAACTTAAAGATTTCTAATTAAAGCTACTGATAAATATGTTTAGGTTTTTACTTGGCAAATCTTTGTAAATTTACTAGCATTTTCTGAGTGAGATCGTTTAGCAAGGTTTTTTCAAGTAAATCCTACCCCAAATTTTTTTACAGTGTTGTGTAATGATGCAGCAAACCAGTCAGAAGAGTATGGGATTAATGTAGTATCAAAATTTAGTATCAACTTGATTAATGTTGCAGAAATATTTTACTATACATAACCAAATGCCTTTCAACTTGCGTGTGAAAAGTTCAAAATTTAATGAATGTGTTGAAATTTGTACAAATAGAGACATTTTTGTGAATACAAATGTTTTCTTTTGTATTAGTGTATTAATCAAGTTCATTGATATTTGTGCTTGCACGTGTTAATCATTTTGATACTATATTCATCCCATAGAAGAGTTCGTTCTGCGCGTACATTCAGTTTCAACAAATACAACAAATGTTCACATTTTACACAAACAAGTGTAGCTTCAGGTATAATTAATGTGCTGATTTGTAGCTCAAGAAACACTTCTGATTATTATCAGTGATTATTATCAGTTGTGCAGCTTCGTATTTTTCTGGGAACCATCACACATTTTATTTTTCAAGATTTTTTGATGAATAGAAAAAGTTATTTTTGAAATAGAAATATTTTGTACCTTTATACATTTTTAAGGCAAGGCAAGGCAATGCAAAAACAGGTAATTCTAGATCTTGTTTATCTTCTTAAGGTTTTTTCCTGTTGTATAGTGAGTCTCGTGGATGTGACAATGGATTCAACCCAATAAAAAGTAGCTGTGAAGGTAATGAGCACTTTGTGTGTGTTTTAATGTGTCATAATGTGCATGATACACAGTTAATGCTCTGCATGTCACTCAAAAGAGGGAATTTGTTCAGTTTTGAAACTTCGTAATGATGTTTCTTTCTTGATTCCTGCCTCTGTTACAGATGAAAATGAGTGTGAGACGCCAAATCGGTGTGGTGAAAATGCTCAGTGTGTAAATACAAATGGAAGTTACTATTGCATCTGTGATGAAGGATTTCGATCAAATCCCCCCAATTTCACAGCAACAACAGGACAGTGTGTCGGTACGAGAGGGGTTTATGGGATAAAAGAGTCCACTATGATTAAAATACTATAATTAATACCAACTGCTTCCCCCAACAGATATCAATGAGTGTACTGAGAATACAACCACATGCTCAACAGATCAGGTGTGTCTGAACACCATTGGCTCTTATAACTGCACATGTCCTAAAGGATATCGTGGACAAAGACTAGACTAGATTGATAATCAAACAAAAATCATCAATAAATAACATTTTTTTCATTAAAGGTCAATTTTCCTTTTAATAAATTATTTTGGCTTTTTATATTTAGTGTCAGCTAATTGTGACTATAGTGTTTAAACCCATAAATAATAGGCATAGAATAGAATTGTATTAAATATATTCATTATTACACTGTAAAATCCAACATTTGTTCTAACTAACACCTTGTAGTCAATTGTAAATATCTAGTAATCTGTACTATTCTCATACAATGGCTTGTTTACAGAAAAGCCGAGATAAGATTAACTGATTGGTTTGAGTTCAATTACGTCAAGTAAAAAAAGTCTTTGAGGCGGGAAATTCTTAATAGACTTTTCTCAGTTCTGCAGTTATCCTTCATTCACTCATTTCCCAAAGTCATCTTAAATGTTCAATCGTGAACAACTTTTATTCTAAACAGCTGAGAGATCATCACATAAGCTAATTTCATAAACGGATGTTGATTTTGCTAAAATGTTTTTTTTGTTTTACTAGTTTTTACTTGTTTGGAAAGTTAACTCACCATTATGCTGATCAGTGTCCCATTTGGTGGGATACTTAAGTTGGATCATCATTTATATTATTGTAAGTCTTGATGCAGCGAGAAGTGTGTAAATGAAACTATTAATATGTTTTTTAGGGGTTTCAAGCATCACAAAGCTGTTTCAAGCTCTCTCTCTCTCTCTCTCAGACATCGATAAGTGTACAGATCCAGATGTTTGCGGCACAAACGCAGATTGCATAAATCATCCAGGCAGCTTCATCTGCGAATGTCACCCGGGTTACAGTAACTACGGCAACAACCAGTCAAAATGCACCGGTGAGCGTGCATTATGAGTTGTATGTGCATTGTTTTTTAGTTAAAATATTAATTATATTTTGTTCTTGTGCACAGATATTTCACAGACGCATTTCTGTGTGTGAGTCTCGTTTGCTGAACGATGACGTCTGGCATCTCCGTGTGGTTTAACTGTGATCCAGTATCAGCGAAACTTTCTCTTTTCACCTTCACTGATCAGCTGTGAATCTGATTTATATGATATTTGAAGACCTGTTTCTGCTTTTCTCCTCTAAGTCAACAAGAGAACATGAGAAGTTTGTTTTTTTTATAGTTGTTCATGTAAATAAGTTTAAATGCACTTGACAAATGACAAATATTTCCAACACAGTTTCAATGTTTGATGAGGAGCAATTATGAAATGAGTAAATAAAAAGAAGATGAAACAAACACATGCCTGTTTGTAAATGCTTAATCAACTGAGGCAGTGTTGAAGATGAAGACTGGCAGTATTGTGTGTGTGTGTGTGTGTGTGTGTGTAATTGTTGGTTAGTGGAACTAATTAGATTACATTTTTTGATAAAGCTTGCTGTCTCTACACACTCAAAAGCATCAGGATCTTCTGGCTTACCATTTCCTGAGTGTGTTTACCCTCTCTCTCTCTCTGTTACACACACACACACACACACACACACTGTCAAGTAAGTGATTTAATAAATATTTAAAATAAGTTGAAATTCTGTGTCTCTTTTCCTGACCTTTCCCATGACCCCGCAAACTGTGTCTCTCTGTGTGTGGAAATACAACTCAATTCCCATTTGTCCAAGACAACTGAAGGAAGGAGACAGAGAATGTGTGTGTTTGTGTGTGTGTTTGTGTATGAGTGTTTGGGCCGACACTCCCGATCATGCTTCCACATGTGCCTGATGTGGGTCATCTAAATGTTGCTATGAGGGAACCTACTAACCTAATTTAAATTAGCGGGAGACATTTGTAGGTAATTTTGAACCCTGATTATGTCTACGGAAGGTCCCCATTTTAGCTAAATAAACACGTGGGTGTGTGTGTGGGTGTGTGTGGGGAGATACAATCCCTGTTGTGCAATTCAGGACGTGACATCATCTGGGTGAGTGTCAACAGCCACCATTGTGTGTGAAATGAGTGTCTAAAACCCCCGTTTTCTCCGCGTCATTCTGCCAGTGAAATTACGGACTTATTTGCTTATAATGCAAATTTACCGTGTTTTAAACACTTTTAGATATTTGGAAAACGTTTTAAAAGACTTTTTAAGAAATTAAATTAATATTATTTTGCAGCGTGAAAAGGAAGCGAAATGCAGCGCAGAAAGAGTGCGCGCGCTTTCAGTATGACTCCTGGCACAGATAGAGCAAGAACAGCTGCTCTCTCTCTCTCTCTCTCTCTCTCTCACACACACACACTCACACTCACCCACTCATTCAGATATGAATAGCTGCTGACTTCTCACACAGTAGCAGAGTGGAGGAGTAGAGGTATAACTGACGAGGCCAGTGGAAAAAAAAGGAAGAGAAAATAGTGGAAAGTTGAATTCCTAACGCGTGGATTAAGACAAACAGAGCTTTCGTGAAAGACGAGACCAACCCGAGGAGGAATCATCTGGGAACCCGACTGGAAACTTTTGAAAAGAAGAGAGCTTTGTTCTCAGATAGAGATTTCAAACCGCTTTAAGTGAAAGTCAGACTGACGGGAATCTCCGACGCTTTACTGGAATACAGATTTCCTTTGGGATAAACAGACTCGAGTCTGACGGCATGTTTCCTAACATGGAGCTGAAGTGGGCACTACTTCTTTTGGGTGAGTAGATGTTTATGTGGACTGGTCATTTAAGAGCAGGCAGACAAGTGAGTGTTAAGGACTCTATTCTTTCTTTAAACTGGAGAGTTTCATCTCTGTTCTCAATTAAACCACACAGACGTCGCACACATTCACACTGACTCGTAATGAAGAGTCTCTTTCTTAGACACAACACAGACACTGAGATTTGACTGATAAGAAACTACATCAAAACTGTCTGTGTAGTTGTTAGTCAGTGGATCTGTGGGATTTCATCGAAGTAATTCATTTAGATATGTAGAAAATGTTCTCATTTTTAAGTAAAATGCTGAAGTGAGACTTCTGGATGTTGGTGGTGTTATTATTGTTTAATTTTGGGTACAATTGAGTATGATTCATGGACTTATTTAAATAATTTCATTACTTTTACATTCAAATTACATTCTATTATCACTTAATTTTAGGACATAACATATAATGTCAAGAATGTTTACCTTTCCGTTGTGTTATTTTGACTCTTTGTCCTTAATTACATTTGAGAGAAATACATTATTAAAATGTAAAATTGGATTTATATTATTCTAATTTTAGTATATTCAAATTGTACAATACCTTCAGTATTTCAGGTGTACAATATACACAGATGGGGCAAGGTTAACAATAAATGTATAGCATCTTACACCATCTTCATCTGTTTTTTATTTGCTATTAAACTGTATTTTGTTGTATTTTTAATTGAAATGAATATGAATGCAAGTAGATTTGGAAAGAGACACTTTCTGAAAGTGAGAGATTTCTAATAAAACTTGGATTTCCAATTGGACAACTTTATCTCTAAGTAATTCCCATTGATCAGCGATGGTCTACGTCAGAATGTGGTACAGCAACAGTTAAATCTTCTTCAACTTTTGGTCCCATGACGGACGAGCAGTTTCACAAACGCTTGCGTTTTTTCCCCACAATCGCACAGAGGTGCTCTCTGACGCAGTGTGCAATCTGTAGACGCCATCACTTTCATTCGCTGCACCTCAGAAACCATGTGTGTTGGTCAGAGTTCGCATATACACTCTTAAAAATAAAGGTTCCTTATTGGCATTGAAGGTTCCATGAAGAACATTTAACATCCATTGAACCTTTCCACTCCATGGTCTTTTAATGGCATTGACGAGAAACAGGAAAACCACTTAAAAATCATTTTGGGGGTTTGGTGCAAGAGTTGAGACTAGAATTGTCCCTAGAAATGACTTAAATAATCACGAGGCTTGTCGAATATTACTGTGAAAGCAGTGTACGCTTAACCACAGATGGTTAAGATAAGTCTTCTAGTCTTCTACCACACATGCCACATGTTTTTCCTGCCTTACTGCAAATGAAACTCAATTACATTTACATTAGATTACATTACTAAAGACCCCTCGGCTCGAGTTGAGTTCAGCAGGGAACAGTCCAGGTGAAGGTCTGGGAAAGTAACTTTGTGCCTCTCTGAGATGATAGTTCAGAGTCAGTGGTTGTTCTGTAGAAAAACATCAGGGCCTTTAAGCTGAATTTGATGCGAGAGCAACTTGCAACCAGTGCAATTATGTGAGGAGAGGTGTGACGTGTGTTTCTTCGGTTTGATAAAGATCACACTCTTGTTGCAGCATCTGGATCAGCTGCACAGGTTTGACAGTGATGCTGTAAGGCCTGCCATTGCAATAGTCCAGTCTGGAAAGAACAAGTGTTTTGACAAGGAGTTGTGTAGCTCTGATGCTTCTGAATGACTGATCCTAATAATGACGTGTAGATGGAGAAGAGAAGCGGTTCCCAGCACTGAGCCCTGAGGCACTCCAGTAGCTAGATGATATTAGTGATGGGAAAAGCCATGTTTCTGAATGACTGATCCTAATAATGACGTATAGATGGAGAATAGAAGCGGTCCCATCACTGAGTCCTGAGGCACTCCAGTAGCTAGATGATAGCAGTGATGGGAAAAGCAATGTTTCTGAATGACAGATCCTAATAATGACATGTAGATGGAGAAGAGAAGCGGTCCCAGCACTGAGCCCTGAGGCACTCCAGTAGTTAGATGATATTAGTGATGGGAAAAGCCATGTTTCTGAATGACAGATCCTAATAATAACATGTAGATGGAGAAGAGAAGCGGTCCCAGCACTGAGCCCTGAGGCACTCCAGTAGTTAGATGATATTAGTGATGGGAAAAGCCATGCTTCTGAATGACTGATCCTAATAATGACATGTAGATGGAGAAGAGAAGCAGTCCCAGCACTGAGCCCTGAGGCACTCCAGTAGCTAGATGATATTAGTGATGGGAAAAGCCATGTTTCTGAATGACTGATCCTAATAATGACATGTAGATGGAGAAGAGAAGCGGTCCCAGCACTGAGCCCTGAGGCACTCCAGTAGCTAGATGATATTAGTGATGGGAAAAGCCATGTTTCTGAATGACTGATCCTAATAATGACATGTAGATGGAGAAGAGAAGCGGTCCCAGCACTGAGCCCTGAGGCACTCCAGTAGCTAGAATGATGGGTCTTAGACACTACACCCCTCCACGACATCCTGAAGGACTTACCTGATTACCTGAGTCAGTTACTCGAATTCGACCTTAGTTTTTCACTACGTGTTTTGGTCATACAGACACAACGGTAACATGTCTGACAGCTGAAGGAGCGTCTGATGACTTAAACATATCATTACTTTTATTAACAACACATCACCACTGAAAAAAGCAACCACACAACTCAAGGGTAAAGCACCATATGGAAATGACATATTTCACCACCAACAGTCAAACTGAAACCCAGACGTAAAGGTGAAACCACTTAATACATTATGAATTCATTAACTGTTTTTTGTTGTTGTTTTGTTTAGTAGGTTTAGTCATTTGATTTGAGACTGACATACGATTAAATAAAATAAAAAAGAAAATGGCTTGAGTGTGAGTGCTGGGTGGAAAGTTATGCGTTGCATCTGTCGCTCTGCATTCTGCTAAAAAAAATGAAAATGGTGTGAAGTGCATGCTATCTCGTCCTGCAGATGTGCAGATTGTTCTGAGAGTTTTGAGTAAAGAGCTTGACACATCAGCCACAGCTCTCACAGCACACCGTACAGGGCATCTTTGGCGCATCTGTGGTTTCCTGAACACGTACTTGTACACATTTGGATAGAATTTTTGTATGTGTGAAAGTGTTCTATTGTACAGAATGTTCTGTTTGTATGCAAGCAGTGTTAAGTTTGTCAACAATGTTAAATGTATTAAAGGCTTTGTAGCATATAAAAATATATAATATATTTTAAAAAATACTCTCTCGACATTATAAAAACTGGTAAAATAAAATAAAAAACTTCTCTCAAAAATGAAAATTAATTCTTATAACTTTAATGAAATTCCAATTGTCCTATTAAAACAACAGCAATAAAGGACAATCATAAGACAAACAATAGTCAAGTCATTGCTGAACTGGCTTTCATGTTTGTTAGTGTTTAGATCATCAGTGCTTCTTCCGCAGTGTCGAGAGTGCAGCAGTGCGTGCGCGTGGTTGCTAGGTTGCAATATTAAGTAAAACAGTGGGCAAAAAATGTATCCTGTTCAGGTTTCTAAGAAAATTTGCTTGCGCACTAAAAGCGGTACTTGAGGTCACTCACTGGAACCATTTACTCATGTACCTAATCTTCAAATTCAAGCTCATTTTAAAATAATATTCTGTCTCCTCATTTTATTCAGCATAAACAGATTTTGGAAATTTTTTTAAGTACATTTTAGTCTTATCTTTTTTTCCATCAAGGAAATTAAATGTTGATATAAGACAAAGTTATCATTTAACGACGTTGGCGTCATCTTATCATCATCTTGTCTTAGTCATGGAAAAAAGGTTGTTGACGAACATTTTTCATCATTGATTTCATGAACAAAATGAACACTATATGTAGGGACACACTGTAAGGGAAACTCATGTGCAGGCGTTATGTAAGATCCAAGAACTGTTTCCAAGTTCCCATATTCAGATTCCAATTAAAGTCTAAACTATATTGAATAGCCCTCAAATTGAGCACAAAATAAGGCAGAAAAAATATTTTTGACAATCACAGTATTTGGTTTTTATTTGGCTGACAATTTGGCTTTTAATGGTGAGATTTTTTTATCACGCTCTCAAAAATCATAAAAAAAATATGGCCAATATATTGGTTATTGGCTTTCAAATACAAAGGGTTATTGGTATCAGCCAAATTATGAATATCAGTGAAACCCCACTTGAATCTCACTGCAAAATAAACCGAGATTTACAGAGTTTGCAGTCTGAACTGAACTAATGATGACTTGAACAATGGTAAGCTGCATGCAAAAACACACAAACTAAAACAGCACGGCTAGTGTAGCGTTAGCGTAGACTCTGATTCACAAATAAATGACTTCTATGAGTGGGTCCTTTTAAAGAATCAAAAATTACAGCACAACCAGTGCAGATCGATTCAAACAACACTTTATGAACCATTCAAAATACATAATACATAATATAACACAAGCGAGTTGCTTAAAGCAATTCATTCTGCCCGATGTGACTGGAACTTCATTTAAAAGTTTAATTTGACTTGACAGGGGAGTTTTTCAGATGCATTTATGGATATATTCATGAACGCCCAAAGGTAATACTACAGATCTTGTTTATCTTCTTTAGGTTTTTTCCTGTCGTCTAGTGAGTCTGATGGTGAATGTGGCATTGGATTCAAAAAAATAAAAAGTAGCTGCGAAGGTAATGAGCACCTTGTGTGTGTTTTAATGTGTCATAATGTGCATAATACACAGTTAATGCTCTGCATGTCACTCAAAAGAGGGAATTTGTTCAGTTTTTAAACTTCATAATGACGTTTCTTTCTTGATTCCTTGATTCTGTTACAGATGAAAATGAGTGTGAGACGCCAAATCGGTGTGGTGAAAATGCTCAGTGTGTAAATACAAATGGAAGTTACTATTGCACCTGTGATGAAGGATTTCGATCAAATCCCCCCAATTTCACAGCAGCAACAGCAGGACAGTGTGTCGGTACGAGAGGGGTTTATGGGATAAAAGAGTCCACTATGATTAAAATACTATAATTAATACCAACTGCTTCCCCCAACAGATATCAATGAGTGTACTGAGAATACACACACATGCTCAACAGATCGGGTGTGTGTGAACACCATTGGCTCTTATATCTGCACATGTCCTAAAGGATATCGTGGACAAAGACTAGACTCATCATGTGAAGGTGAGCGGCCTCACTCGTATTGATTTCAATTGACTGTTAATCAAACCAAACAACTTCAGTTTCAGAAATGACCTTTTTAATAAGGGGCAATATGTGCCTTCCAGAACAAATGTTTGGCTTTCATTATTTATATACATTTATAGTGGCAGTTTGTTAAAATGGTTTACAGAGAGCGTTCTCAGAACATTCTTTTAAAGTAAACATTCATCTATCCATCGTTCATGGAACTATTTTAACTGAAACGGTTAAATGTATTTTTTTTAAATGTTGCAACTTGTTTCGGAATGTTCAGAGAATATTTAAAAGTAACGTTTTCAAAATGATCAAATGGAATGTTTGCCTCAAACATTTATAAAACTGGATGTTTTGATCTTTCAGAGAACGTTCAGAAATGTTGAAATTAAACTTAATGGAAAATATTCTCTTAGAACATATTTTGTTTTCTGGGATGGTGTTTAAACCCATAACTATACATAATTATTAGATGACGGATACAAACAGAGGAATTTTTGTAACTTTAGTTCAAGCCCTGGTTAAATTCGGACCCCATCCGAGATCCATGTGATGCATTTATAGTTTTTAAGGAAATAATTGAACGAAACACTGAAACGAGGAGGTTCACAGAATCAGTTAAAGCCACCAGTACAGTACATTAATATGGAAGCTTGTTTCCGCCACTGAATATAAAAATAAAATAAATAATTGTGACTTTTTATCTCACAATTCTGACTTTTTTCTCACAATTGCGAGTTTATATCTCGCAATTTTGAGAAATAAAGTCATAATTGCGAGATATAAACTCGCAATTGTGAGAAAAAAGTCAGAATTGCGTGATATAAAGTCATAATTACGAGATATAAAGTCATAATTACGAGATATAAAGTCAGAATTGCGAGTTATAAAGTCAGAATTATGAGATATAAAGTCAGAATTGCGTGATATAAAGTCATAATTACGAGATATAAAGTCAGAATTGCGAGTTATAAAGTCAGAATTATGAGATATAAAGTCAGAATTGCGTGATATAAAGTCATAATTATGAGATATAAAGTCAGAATTGCGAGTTATAAAGTCATAATTACGAGATATAAAGTCAGAATTGCGTGATATAAAGTCATAATTACGAGATATAAAGTCAGAATTGCGAGTTATAAAGTCAGAATTATGAGATATAAAGTCATAATTACGAGATATAAAGTCAGAATTGCGTGTTATAAAGTCAGAATTGCAAGATATAAGGTCAGAATTGCGTGATATAAAGTTGCAATTCTGAGAAAAAAAGACAGAAGTGCGACTTTTAATCTCACAATTCTGACTTTTTTACTCACAATTGCAAGTTTACATCTCGCAATTCTGACTTTATAACACAATTCTAACTTTTCCCCCCTCAGAATAGTTTAAATCTTACAATTCTGACTTTATAACACGCAATTGCAACTTTGTATCTCACAATTCCGACTTTATATCTCATAATTCCGACTTTATATCTCACAATTCTGACTTTATATCTTGCAGTTCTGACTATATATCACGCAATTCTGACTTTATATCACGCAATTCTGACTTTATAACTCGCAATTCTGACTTTCCATCTCGCAATTCTGAATTGCGAAAAGTAAACTCGCAATTGTGAGAAAAAAGTCAGAATTGCGAGATAAAAAGTCGCAATTACCTTTTATATTTTTCATTCTATGGCGGAAACAAGCTTCCGTATATTAATGATGGTCTCTGTGTGGAACATCAGCACACTGTACGCTGTCAAACTGTAGTATGCGACATTACCACATGATTTTACTGTCTTTGCATGCATGTACGGTTCATTTATCATCTAGGAAAACATTACATTTGCATAAGATGGAAATTGCATCGTAGAAAGATAAGCAGCAGTCAAGTTGCATTGTGACACACCGAGTCTTTTGCCATTCATGTCACGGCTTTATAAACGAATTGGGTTTATCTGGGTTTCCCATACAAAAAGAAAATAAATATACCACACAAATAGGATAATCATTCAGCAGTTGAAAAGGATTAATACCTTTGTTTGAGGGGTTTCAAGCTGATAAAACATGTCATTAACCTCTGTCATCTCTCTTCTTTATGTGTGAACGTTCCACTTTTGCTCGTCTAACCTACACCCTCGTCTCTGTGTGTGTGTGTGTGTGTGTGTTCGCTGCAGATGTGGATGAGTGTGTGTCCTCAGTGTGTGGAGTTCACAGGCGTTGCAATAACACACTTGGCAATGTCACCTGCATCTGTTCTCCAGGGTTTGATACACACGAGAACAACACCTGTACAGGTGAGCGTCAGTGTGCTGATGCTGCTAATGACACTGACAGTGACCATCACATTAACAACTGGAACAACGATTGCAATATTATTACATAAAAGAGTTTATCAAAGGAATCTGCATTCATGTGACAGTTTTCTCTCTCTTTCACACACACACACACACACAGACATCGATGAGTGTAAAGATCCAGATGTTTGCGGCACAAACGCAAATTGCAGAAATCTTCCAGGCAGCTTCATCTGCGAATGTCACTCGGGTTACAGTAACTACGGCAACAACCAGTCAAAATGCACCGGTGAGTGTTCAAGTAGCATGTGCACTTTTCCAAAATATATATATATATGTGCAAGTTTAAGTGATTAATTGTGTTGTTTATGTGCGCAGAGATGAAATGTGACGAGTTTAATGTTGAGACTGAAATGGAGGAAAAGGTAAAGTTTCTGTCCGTTTGTGATTATTTTCAGTAGTGTTTTCTCAGACGGAGAATAAACTGTGTGTTGTTCTAGTTGAAGGATTTACTGATGCTGTTGAAGAACAGCTGTGAGTCTCTCAGAGATACAGATGGAGGCCGTCAGACCGGAGAACAGTTGCTGGAGGTGACCGTGAAACTGCAGCTTCCTCTTGTTTCTTCTGCATTTCTGGTGTTGAAATCGTGGTAACTTGACGATTGAGCTGAATAGTCTCATTGTGTTTGACTCCAGAACCTGTTCACCTCCACTGATGATCTGCTGTCGGACGGAAACATCGCTGACGGCGAGGCGTTGAGTCAGTTTCTGTTCGCCGTGGAGAACAGCATGCGTCTGATTGGACCTCAGCTTAAAGAGCCTGTGACCAGGATGGAGACGCACAACACCAGTGAGACACAAACGTTAATCCGCTAAATGTGCTGCGTTTAGTCAAGATTGTTTAATTAAGTGTGATCATGTGATTCACAGTCGCTGAGGTTGCAGTCAGGCGGGGTCAGACTCCGCCCAGTGGGCGTGTCACTCTGAGCTTAGACTCCGCCCTCCTCAACTCCAGCTGGGAAACAGTTGTAGGGAAATCATATCCAGGTACAAATAGACACATGCACATATATGTACTTATGAAAGCATCAGTGCATTCAAGACCAGATGTGAATCTCTTTTAGGTTTTGCGTTTGTGGCGCTGGTCAGTTATAAAGATATGAGCTCATCCAGCGATCAGTTTCACACGATGAGCAGAGAGAAATCAGACGATGAAGAGAGAAACATCACTTATCAACTCATCTCCAAGGTGGTGACGGCCGTCGTCAGTAATCCAGACACCGAACAGCTGTCGGAGCCGGTGACGCTCATCTTTACACACGAGCAGGTGAAGATGCCGACCTCACACACACCGAGATCTCATTGGACACACACACAAACTAAATGGTTTAGTTTAGGGTGTTCTGTGTGATTACAAGGCCATTGCTATGTTGTTACAGTGTTATTAGTGTTACTGGATCTTAGTGCTACATTTAATATTTAATATCGATCACGACTTGAAAATTGACATTAGTGGAATTGCACTTGCATGTTTCATATCACACTTATCTGACTGTTTTCAGTGTGTAGCAGTAAATGAAGAGAGGTCTTATCAATCACAAGTTCAGTATGGCGTACCACAAGGCTCAGTACTAGGACCGCTGCTGTTCACTCTGTACACGCTACCCTTGGGAGATAGCATTAGAAAGCACAATGTTTTAGTTTTCATTGCGATGTGGTTGCTAGGGTGTCCCTATTTGGCAAGCCAATAAAGCGCAATTCTCTGTTACTAATATGTTCTGATCTGGTGCTGAGATATGTATTTTTTTTTATTATTATTATTACTGTGGGAGTGATCTAAATGGTTGCTTGGGAAAACATTTGTCAGCATGATATGATTTCTGAATGAATGAAAAGAGTTGACAACCACACTAAATGTTTAGATGTCACCCTTGTAAATGAACACAGAAACGCACAAGAGAGTTTTCGGTAACACTTTACAATACAGGTGCGCTAATGTGCATTAATTCATCCTTAACTGATGCACAGATAATCATGAGTTAATGTATAACTAATGAAGAACTAAACCATTAATTAATGATTACTGCGTCAGCAACTAATAAAGAGTCAATATGATTAATAGATTAAGTAATACATGAATTGCTATTAATTCAATGTGTCATTGTGTATTAAATCCTTAATAACATATTTTCTTAACTAATAGTGTAAATTAATGTTTTAATTACCACAATTAGTCAAAGCTATGCACTTCAACTTCCAGTTGTCTGCTTTAATTAATCATTAGCTAATGATTTGCAAAGGTATCGTTATGTTATGACTTTACTTGATGGGGCACATCATTATTAACTAGTCATTTAGTAATTGTAGTAATTTGCACATGAATTTGCACTAATAATGAAGTAATTAATCATGAATTAATGCATATTAGTGTACCTGTCATATTATCTGGAAGTTGAAATACAAGGCTTTGGCTCATTCTGGTAATTAACATATTAATTAATACTATTAGTTACAAAAATGAGTTATTATGGAATTAATCCACAATTACATATTTAATTAAAAACAATTCATGTATGAACTAATACATTAACCTTACAGACTATTAATTAGTTCCTAATGTGGTAATCATTAATGAATAGCTTAAATAATCATTAGTTACACATTAATTCAGTATTATCTGTGCATTAGTTAAGCATTAATGCTTATTAGTGCACACGTATTGTAAAGTGTTACCGAGTTTTCTTTAATACAGAACTGCACTAAATTTCCTAAAACCAATGTTTCTAAATCTGGTAAGTAGTTTTTAAAAATGTAATAGGTTTAAATGAAGTAGCAATTGATAAGCATGCTCTTTGTGGTGACCAAAGAAATCGTTCTGTTTAAAAAAAGATAAAGCTGATAAAGTTCATGTGTTCTTTACCTTTTCTGAACTGTCAATCATCCTCTTCTTCTCACTTCTTCAGGAGAGGGCGGAGTCTGAGGGCGTGGCTTATTCCTGTGTGTACTGGAATGAGGCTGAGGGGGCGTGGTCTGGGCGTGGCTGTAAGGAGGCGTGGTCTAACAGCACTCATACAGCGTGTTCCTGCACTCATCTCAGTAGTTTCGCTGTACTGATGGCCCTTTATCCCATACAGGTACATCTGTGACCTAGAAAAAACTGAGATTTCACATATTTAATTCAGATATTAGATGAAATGATGATGATTTTTTCCCTCTTCCTCTCCCTCAGGACTCGTTTGAGCTGGTGTTGATCACTCGTGTGGGTTTAGTTCTGTCTCTGCTCTGTTTATTTCTCTGTATCCTGACGTTTCGGTTCTGCCGCACGATCCAAGGAACCCGAAACAGCATTCATCTTCATCTGAGCGTGTGCCTCTTCATCGCAGACCTCGTCTTCCTCTGCGGGATCTCCAGCACTCACGATCGGGTGTGTGTCTTATATCTTATGTATATATGGGAGCTTTGAAGTCTAAATTGTGCTCACTCAACTTAACTCTTTTTGCACAGATTTAGATTACTTAGAACATTACATATTTTTAAATCGACAAATTTAGTTGCTTGAACTTACGAAACTTAGTTGGAATAATTTATGAAAGTAAAGTGAAGGGCACTTTGAAACCAAATCTTCCGTCAGTTCGCCTCACTCTCATCACATGATAAATGAAACCCGACTCCTGCTTCTGATCTGTGCTGCGACTCGTTCGACTCCCTCTGCCTTGAAGTTAGATAATCACAAGCAACTACAAAAACAAATTGTGTTTTTCGTTTTCTCTCAGGTTGGGTGTGGGATTGTGGCCGGGCTGCTTCATTTCTTCTTCTTGTCTGCGTTCTGCTGGATGCTGCTGGAGGGGGTTCAGCTCTACCGGATGGTTGTGCTGGTGTTTCACACCACATTAAAACATGTCTACATGTATGCGGTGGGATACGGAGTCCCTCTCGTCATCGTCATTATCTCTGCCATCTCTTATCCGCGGGGATACGGCACCGATCAACAGTGAGCGCTGGTTGTGTGTTCATAGCATTCATATGAGCGATTGCTTTCCAGCTGTTTTAATGGTTATATTGTGTGTTTGTGCTCCAGCTGTTGGCTCGCTCTTGAATTTATGTGGAGCTTCTTCGCGCCCGTCTGCATCATCGTCATCCTCAACAGCTTTTTTTTCATCATCACTGTGTGGAAACTGGCCGAAAAGTTCTCCAGCCTCAACCCGGACCTCTCCAAACTCCGCAACATCAGGTGTGTGTTTTTTTTGTAAGATGACGAGTGGTGGAAATAGGTACTGCAGTCCAAATTTAAAATATCGAAGATTGTCGCAGACTGATCTCATGAAGTAGCGTGTGTATGACTCGGCAATTCGTATTTCCATTTTTGGCGCTCTATCAACACACATAATCGCTTTTCGGCGTGTTTATGAATGCCGTTGACTTAACGTTATTACTTTATATATAAATATATGACTTACCTCAACCCCGTCCCTAAACCTAACCGTCACTGGGGTTAATGGCATTTATGACTGTTCCCTTACCATCCTAGGAAAGAAAAACATAGCTCCCCAGATGTAGATCTACATTTTGCTTTGTTTTGCGCGGACATTTGACGGCGTGTACAGACACGCGAACGTTAATGGCGCAGACATACACGCGTACACCTCAAAATGCGTCAAGATAACACGCCACTTGACTCGAAATTGGCGTGTATGTTTACGCAAAAGTCATGATGTCATGTTGCACCTCCGCAGACTAGATGCTCACATGGGTTGCTAGTTTGAGCACAAGCAACAGGAACGAGCGCAATAGACAATGAAAATTAGCAACGTGCAGTTTCACACAGACCAAAACAATAATAAACATTCCAGCCTGGAAACACACATTTCAGAGTAAATAAATGGCTGTAGAAGTGTTTTTCAGTGAAATTTCCTCAATATATGCAAACATATTATGGCATTGTTATGCTTTAATGGAGTGAAACAGTTACATACAGCACCTTTAAAGGGATTGTCTACACAAAATGTCGTCATGTCCTTCCAAACCCGTAAGACTTTGGTTCTTCTTTTTGTTCTGAGCACAAAATGAAGATATTTTAATGAAATCTGAGAGATTTTTTTCCCATTCATTGGTAGTCTGTTCACCCAAAACTCAAAACGTTCATAAAGAGTCTAGAGTTTGAAAGTCTTATGGGTTTGGAACGACATTAGGGTAACTAAATTTATTCTGTCAAGTTGTAATTGATTCCTGGTGACTTTCAGGGGTTTCACGGTGACCGCAGTGGCTCAGTTGTGTGTTCTTGGAGGGATGTGGGTTTTCGGCTGCTTCCTCTTCCAGGAAGAAGGAACTCAGGTCATGTTGTACCTCTTCACCATCCTCAACAGCCTCCAGGGGGCGCTCATCTTCATCATGCACTGCCTGCTGTCCAGACAGGTACACACACACAAACGGAAACACAGTATGGTCTGGATTCAACCTAAATTTGAAAGATCCAATGAACTCAACATCAAACAGACTTCAGGAGAATGAACCTCATTGGTTCTTGCAGTGTGTTTTAAACGTGTTTTGTGTCGCCCCCTTCAGGTCAGAGAAGAGTATTGCAAGCTGATTAGCAGGATCTGCTCAGATGAGGAGAAGAAATATTCAGATTTCAGCACCAATCAATCCAGCAACAGTCAGGTAAATTTGCATGATCGTTGAACATCAATCATGTCTCATATAATCACAGTGTTTTAACCGTGGAAAGATGCCATCACTAGGCTAAATGTGTCGTCTTACCTTTACAGCGACCTCTACGGAGCAATCCGAGCACCGCAGAGTCCAAGATATAGAGCGCCAGTCACGTCCTGGAGGATCTCTAGTGATGTTTGACCTCCAAAGACACAAGGGAGCGCAACTTCTCACAGGGCACATGGGACAGATTTCCGCTGAGAAGATCTTAAACTGCTTTCTTTCTGTCTGTCATGCAAGAATATTTCAGGTGTGTGCTCGTCACACTAGAGGCGGATTTGAAACATTTCAGCCAAAACGGCTAGAGTAGTAAAATGTGTAGGTCCGTTTTCTTCCTCTAATGGTCTTTGGAGACACCTTAGCTGTTCTTTGTCATGCCTTTAGTGGAAAACGTCCTACTTTACATGTAAAAGGCAGCTTTCATTTGCTTACAGTTGAGAACATGATGTTTGAAGAACTATTCTTAAGAATACGCCTTAATCTATTATTAATCACAGATGCAGGTTTATGTGATCTGCACTTACACGCCACTTTACGTCCTCAAGCTGTTGGGAAATTTGACCTCTATTTATGTGGGAAACAGGAGAGGTACTTTAGATTAATTAAGCTATTTTAACAGTTGCATTGCACAGAGCAGGTCTTAATTAATGTCAAAGACTTATCCTCTTAAAAATCCAAGTAATACTAGTCCTGAAACTATACTATCAGAGATTTAAGCAGAAGCATGCATGCGCCTTGAATTTGTTCAGGCCATTGTTTCACATTTGAAAAAGAAACAGAAGAGACACAACAGACTCTAGCATTGATGAGCGTTTCTGTGAGGGGTTTAGGAGATTCACCCAAATCCATAGTTTAAAGACTTTAAATGGGTTATAACAATTGCAGAGACAGGAAGAATATGACGCTTGCATTGACCGCCAAGTGTGGTTTTGAAAGGCTATGTGTTTGCGTCAAACGTATAACGTATACTTAGGGCTTAAGTGTCCTCATTTTAAGAACAAAGTGATTTTGTAAGAAGATCAAGCTAATGCCAAACTTTTTAAAACTCTTGCTTCTGCAACACAAACATTTTTTGTTTTGTTTTATAAAGCTATCTATTGAATGTGAAATTATGATATTTGATTAACACAAATGTTTTATTTTACATTTTCCGCAATGGATATTTTTTATCTTTAGATGAAAAAACGGTTATTTTTTTAAGTTGATTTGTTATGTGGTCTACAACTATACTTGATTTCTGATTGTAACGTAACTTGTACGTGTCATGTGTTATTGAATTTCAGTTCAGATTTATACAATATGAGGGAAATAAGAGGGAATATCATTTTCTGATGTGGTACTGCCATGTTTTTTTTTTAAGTAAATATTTAAAAATCGCTTGTTTTGTGTTCACATGAGGTCAATATGCCAATTATCCCTTAAACGTACACTATTATTCTATAATCACACACTGATCTGCACATTACAGTAAAATTACTTGCCACAATAAAACCCTCACACATTTTTACACCTCGACCCAGTAGATATCTTACCTTACATGGTGAAACAACAAATGCTCTGTAAGAACAGTGATGAAATGGATAATTAATTACAATGTGAAAGGAAAGCCATGACTCTTGTTTAAATAAAACCCACTCGACCATGAAAAAATGGTGCAACTGATTGGTTCTTGAGGAAACTCAAGAGTGCTGCACAACACATGAGAATTAACCTCATTAGTTCTTAAGAAACCAGAACTCACACATACCCCTTTTCAACCAAAGCATTTTGAGAGTCGGTGCCTGCGCGCGAACCAGTTCTTTGTGTTTCGACAGCTAAAGAACCGGTTCTCGGCCAGGTAAAGTTACAAAGCGACACCAAATCTTTGCTGGACTAGAACCACTCTTCCCACAATCACTCAATATCCAGCATGGACAGATCTGTTCCTACTCATTTACAGCAGATCACATCCATCTGCACTGTCATGGTCAACATCTGAAGCAATACAATATCATTATTACAAGACACATTTATAATGAACTGATCAGTCTCAAAATTATTTCATATGAACAACAGAACTACAAAATAATAATCTGTTAGTAAATACTCAGAAACTATTTCCAGATATAAATGTATAATTGTTTGTTTATTATTTATTATTGAGAAACTTAGTAAAATATTGTAACTATAATATTTTAAAAAAAATATGTTAAATAGGCCTACATACTAATTTAGACTTGCCGCTGAACGCTAGAGTGTCCAGCATTATAACGTGTTACTACAGTAGGCTGTTTTTCCAGGAAATATCATGGTTGAAAGTTCTTTGCTGTAGTAAACAAATTGGTACGTTACTGTATTGTTTAATAATACGTATTGCTGTTAAATCATGGTTAATTCGGGTTTTAAAACTAAACGGCGAGGAAGCGCTTAATTTAAGCTCATTAAAACATTAAATACTGTAAATCACACAAACAGCTACAAATAACGTTACCTCAGTCTCAGCGCGCCAGCCTTCGTCCTTCTTCAGTGGATTTCCTAAAGATCGTCACAGCGACTACTACAGGTTCCCGAAACACCCGCTAGATATCTGCAAACTCTCTCTTTTTCCTCAATCAAAAATACCTCCGATATACTTGACTTCTGTCGTGTATTTTATTTCTGTGTATGTAAACATGAACTGAGGTAATAACGGTCGTTTTGGTCTTGGCCCTGACGTGGCACTGCCAAGTTTTTCAGTAAGTGGCTGAATTAAGTTTACAGTTTACATGAGACAATATGCTAATATCCCATAACGCCATTTACATTCATTGGAACATCGTTCAATACGTGAATTTAGGGTGTATTTACATTAATTTGTCACTCACCCAGGTGTTTGCGAATCGCTCCAGCGCAGTAGGAGGCGCTATGAAGCTCTTCATTCCGCAAGTAAAACAAACCCGAACGAAAGAAAGAAGATCTTACTGTTTGAACACTGAGCCGGTGGGTGTTAAATATGCTTTACTACACTTATATTTGCGTTTTTCTTTATTTATGATTCATCTGTTTATAGAATGATTGATTTCGTTTAGTGTTTTGATGTTCGGAAATGAAGATTGTTTTCTCTCTCCTCGAATTTCGTTTTTTTTCTGTCGAACGCTAAATGTTTTGATTAATTCTAGCGACAGAATAATGCGTTACTGAAGGTTATCATGTATTATGCAATATTTGAAAACATTCCTGCTCAGTTCTTCTCTCGTTTATAATCATAAACATTTTTTTTTTTTTTTATCAGTGTCAGTTCATTATAAATGTTTCTTGTAATACATATGATGTGTTTGTCTTCAGATGTTGACCATGACAGCGCAGATGGATGTGATCTGCTGTAAATCAGTAGGAACAGATCTGTCCATGCTGGATATTGAGGATTTCATCACTGAAATCTGTCAGCTGAAGAAAGAGGTGGCGTCACTGGAGGAAAAGCTGAGAGAAAGAGGAGACAAACCCAACAGAGAGGTTTGAGCAGCTCACTCTGCATTTCATAGTTCACTTCAATCTCTGTCTGTTTGTCCAATGAAAATTTGTCTTTAAGTTGATTTATAATAACACAATGACAGATTTAAGCATATATTTTGTGTTTTGCACTCTCAGGATTCAGTCTGGAGCGTCAGAGATCAGAGATCCAGAGACACACAGGACTCAGAGATCAGCCTCAGTTTACTGTGTTACACTGAGACTCAAGATCATGGATCCGCTGATCAAACCTCTGTCTTTAACGCTGATCAAACCTTTGACTGTAACGCTGATCAAACCTCTGAGTGTAACGCTGAAGAACAGCTGACGCCGCTGAAGATGTGCTCCGTCAAACCGATGGACTGCAGAAATTCAAAGGAGACGAGAGAGGAAACCACTGCAGAGAAAGTACGGAGCGATGATGATGATGATGATGATGATAACGGCAATGAAAATGAGGATCACTGTGAGGACAATGACAATGATAATGATGATCACTGTAATGGTGACATTATTCCCTCACATATGGGTATGTTTCTTCCTTTAAATTTTTATTTTAAAGGGATAGTTCTCCCTAAAAACTAAAATTATCCCATGATTTGCATCCATCCATCGTAAAAGTCACCCACATGATTAAAAAAGGCCTTATGAAGCAAAGCAATGCATTTTTGTAAGAAAAATATCCATATTTAAAACCTTATAAACTAAAATAACTAGCTTCCGATAGGTCGATATACGGTGAAAGAGTAACCTTTGACTTGACGCATGACGTACTGATGGACGCAAAGTCTCTCCACACAATGGACTTCAACGGTAACCAAATTATTGAAGTCCAAATCAATGCAGTTTTGAAGATCTTCACACGGCTCGGCACGATCCCAGCCGAGGAATAGGGTCTTATCTACCGAAACCAATGGTCATTTTCTAAAAATGTATATACTTTTTAACCACAATTGTTTGTCTTGTGTTGGTCTGGGATATATATATCGTCATGTTGGAAAGGTCATTCTGGACGTAGGCGTAAGTAAGTCTGCCGCGTCGAAGACCAACACAAAATGAGCAATTGTGGTTACTTAATAACTTAGTAACTTAATATTTTTGTTTTAGAAAATGGCCGATGGTTTTGTATGTTCATTATATTACTTGTTGACCCAAATTACATGAATTGATATGTGTTGGGGACATGCAAGCCAATAGATATATATTATTTTGTTCTTTTCAGATGTGAATGGCGGCTCATCTGCTGATGAAGAAGCGGCCTCGACATCAAAAGATCAGCCGGAGGTCAAGAGTTTCTCCTGCGAAACCTGTGGGAAAACATTCAGAAAACAGGGAAATTTAACGAGACATGAGAGAACACACACCAAACAGAAACACTTCACCTGCAAGAGATGCAACATCAGCTTTCCTACCTTAGAAGAGAAGAGACTTCATTCAAAAGAGCACCGAGTGAAGAAGGAGTTTCACTGCGAACAGTGCGGGAAGATTTCTTTCACTTCTGGCAATCTGAAAATTCACATGAAGACGCACACTGGCGAAAAGCCCTTCCACTGCAGCGAGTGCGACAAGCATTTCAGCACCAAACAATCTCTTTTAGTTCACAAGCGGATACACACGGGGGAGAAGCCGTACAAGTGCCCTCTCTGCGAGAAAAGGTTCAGAGATGGGTCCCATTTCAAGACGCACATGCGTTCGCACGCCAGCGAGAGGCCGTATCAGTGCAGCGAATGCGGGAAGACCTTTAAACAGCCCATCTGTCTCATATCTCACCAAAAAATACACTCTGAAAAACTGCATCGCTGCTCACACTGTGACAAGCGCTTCCGTCAGATATCTCAGCTGAGGCGGCACGAGAGAATGCACTCGGGAGAGAAACCCTACCTGTGCTTCCACTGCGGGAAGAGCTTTTCTGACCCGGCTCATTTCAGGGTTCACCAGAGGGTCCACACGGGAGAGAGACCGTACCGGTGTGACGTCTGTGGGAAGAGTTTCCGTCAAAACACCAACTTACTGAAGCACCAGCGGATTCACACAGGAGAAAGACCGTTCAAGTGCTCGCATTGTGACAAGACGTTCGCTCGATCGGACGTCCTGAAGATCCACGAGCGAGTTCATACAGGAGAGAAGCCTTACTGCTGCTCCCTCTGCGACGAGAGATTCGCTTATTTAGGGGTTTTCCAGACCCATCAGAACAAACACGCTAAAGAACAAACTGCTCCTGAATCATCATAGTGTCTTTTCAGTGTTAAAGGAGTAGTTCACTTTTTTTTAAAAAAACCTTTGCTGATAATTTACTCACCCACATGACATCCGAGATCTCCATATTTTTCTTTCTTCAGTCGAAAAGAAATTAAGGTTTTTGATGAAAACGTTCCAGGATTTTCTCCATATAATGGACTTTAATGGGAACCAAACGGTTCAAGGTCCAAAAGACACTTTCAGAGGGCTTTAAACGATTGCAGACGATGAATAAGGGTCTTATCAAGCGAAACGATCGCTCATTTAATAAATAAAGTTGTATAAGCACAAATGCTCGCCTTGCTCTGTTCTGTGATGCGCGTTCGTGACTCTCCTGTTGGAACTCGTTCATCAAAATGAACAAATCTTTTATTGAGTCAACTCGTTCATTTCGTTCGTTGAATAAACCAAATGACACGAAAAAGATTCGTTCATTTTGATGAACGAGTTCGAACAGGAGAGTCACGAACGCGCATCACAGAACAGAGCAAGGCAAGCATTTGAGCTTATAAAACGTAAACTTTGTTATTTATATTTGAAATGACCGATCGTTTCGCTTGATAAGACCCTTATTCATCGTCTGGAATCGTTTAAAGCCCTTTGTACAGTTTGCAGTTTGCACTGAAACTGTCTTTTGGACCTTGAACCGTTTGGTTCCCATTAAAGTCCATTATATGGAGAAAATCCTGGAATGTTTTCATTAAAAACCTTAATTTCTTTTCGACTGAGGAGAGACAGACATGGACATCTTGGATGATATTGGGGTGAGTAAATTATCAGCAAATATAACACTTTACAATAAGGTTTATTAGATACCGTGAACTAAGAGTGAACAATACTTCTACAGCATTTATTAATCTTAGTTAATATTGATTTTGACATTTACATTATTAAAATCAAAGGTTGTGTTTGTTAACATTAGTTAATGCACTAACATGAACAAACAATGAACAGCTGTATTTTTATTCACTAACATTAACAAAGATTAATAACTACTGTAACAAATGTTTTGCTCATTGTTTGCTCATGTTAGTTAATATACTTAAAGTGTTACTGTTTTTTTTTTTTTTTTTTTTTTTTTTTTTAATCCCAAAACGTTTTACAATATTATTGCAGATGTTTGCCCTAACGGAAGCAGAGCGACGGCCATTGAGTTTAGGCCTGTCACAATTCCTCGATTGAATTAGAGTTCTCTATATTACAAAGTCCTCGATTGGGATTTACCGTAAGTTGTGTGTTCCATGTCCGCATTATTAGACCGTTTTCTAGGGCTGCACGATAAAACCATTTCAAATCCATAATGTATATGCCCCGCAGGTTTAATATATATGTACTTTATCTACATGCGTCTCCGGTCACAGTAAATGCTGTTCCACTTGAACCGTTCTCATTTACACGAGTGGAGCGTCTCAAACTCAATCTCTGCATGCTGTGAGTTTGTGTTGCTAATAACGTTTATCTGGGGAACACAATGTGTGCCATTTCAGCACATTTAAAAAGTCATTTATAAACCTACTCCAACGCAGGAAAATAGGTCATTATGTTTCTAAATATTCAAACTGTTAATCGGGATTTTAAAATAAAAGTTTAAACCATGTTTTTATGTCCTCATGTTCTTGTTCAAGAAATTACCTATGGCTGTTGCGTTTATATCATAAAGAAGTGTCCAAATATAAAAAAAATAAGCTTAGATGTAATTTTGTCTGCAAAAGTGCCCTTCTGCAGGCATTAGTTATAATACACAATGTACAGATGATTGTTTTTATTATGTATTTTAACAGTGTTTTCATTGAAACCACATGATTACTTGCTTTTGATACTTTATTTGAATGAAATATTATTGCCTTATTGTCATTACATTTGTTTAAGCCATTTTAAAAGTTTAGGTCTATTTTTTTAATCAGATCACTGGTTTAATCGCCAAAATAATCGACTGATTACTCGTATCAAAATAATCATTAGTGCCAGCCTTAATATGGTTGACTTATAGTTGAACACATTTGTTTAATGTTGTGCAATGATAATTTCATTTACATTTAATTGGGAGGACCAGCCATTACATTTAATCATTTAGCAGATGCTTTTGTCCCAAGTGACTTATGTGGAGAGCAGCATAATGTACAAAATAAAAGGGATGTACAATATATGCTGTTTATAATTTTACTGTAGTTAAAGCTGAATCATAAAGGGAAGGAGGGACACCTTGTGGTTGGAGTATCTCAAGATGTGAAGTAATAGTCTGGAGTCTGATTTTCTTTGGGAATTGTATATATATCACGAACCTTAACAACAAAAGCAGTTATTACTGTGCTAACTAACATGGAGCTGAAATGGGTACTTCTTTTGGGTGAGTGAACTCTTACTTCACGTGTGTGAGGGATATATTTGTGATGTAGGTATAGTCGGACAAATGCTTCGTGTCAGAGATGGTATGAAAAAAACTAATTAACTACGTTAAGCTCGACGATTTCCGTTGTTAGACAGAAACCAAAGGGCCATAGGAAATTATTATTGTCGTGCACCAACACGGACCCCGTGGATAACGATGAATGAGGAAATAGTGCGTGTAATTTTTAAGAAGTTAACCACCTACACAAATCATGTTCGCGATCACGAAAGTTACTCGGATGTTTGTCTGATTTTCCATTGGTTTTTTAAAGCTTTTCCTTCGTGTTTTCTACTCACTTACTTTCCGTTCTGTTCAAGAATTGTCTTTAATAGATCAGGGCGTGTTGTCCCTCACAAGGACGATTAGCTCTGTCGAAGATTACTTCAGAAAATAATTTAGACTCGTCACATGTGAGCAATTGCGTTTAAACAGGAATATTTCTTTATGACTTTTGGTTATTTTCAGGCAAGCAAGTTACAAAAATGCCAGCTTATACAAATACGTTGGTATATAGCCGCAGGTAGCTATTATTTTTTGTCTGCCCTACAGGTAGCTATAAAAGAGAGAACATTTCGTCATGTCACTCATAAAAAAAAAACTCATCTAAACTACAGAATACAGGTGAACGTTTACAAACGCAATATATTGACTTAATTTAGCAATCTTACCATTTACAGCTTCTCTGCGTCTTGAATAGAGATGAGCAAAATAGATTAAGATTTTCATTCAACCTCATAAAAAAATATTATAGTGACGAATATCAGTGTGGCGGTTGGAGTGGCCGTTATATTCTGAACGCGCGTATTTCTGTGGAAAAAAGTCTTGAGCGCGTGTCTCTAAAGCCAAGAGGATTAAAGCACTCACACAGATAGCCTAATAATACGATTTATGTATGTTATCCACTACATACTTTGTCAGATGTGTAATCAATGCGGTTTGGCTGCATAGCATACACATTTCATGATGTTCAGCATTGTGTGTAGACAGCAACATACAAAGTTATACGGAGTTATGGTGTATTTTCTTTCTCTTCCCAGGTCTCCTCCTGCCGTCGTGTAGTGGATGTGCCATTGGATATAAATTTGTTAAAAACAAATGTGTTGGTAATTGACTTGTGATTGAATTGAATTAGTACAAACGTATGAGTGTTGTAACGTCTTCATGTAACGTTATGCATAATGGATGTGATCAACTAACTTCTAAAATACCATATTTTCTTCTCTTTTGCAGATGTGGATGAGTGTGCGATGATTGTGTGTGGCGATAACTTCAAGTGTGTAAATACAGATGGAAGTTACCATTGCACCTGTAATAACGGGTTCGGAAGGACCACCGAAGCAGGACCATGTTATGGTGTGAGAGAGGATTGTGGAGTCCTCCTTATTTACATGTCTACATTTACAATTATTAATTTAGCACTTTAATCCAAAAAAACATGGTAAAAAGCAGCTAATGACAAGAGACACAATATTTTCAGTTCATCATCCTGACTTAATGTAGAAGCTTAAACTGAAATAATTTAAACCAAAATTATAATGCCGTCTTTCCTGTCAGATACAGACGAGTATTGTCGAAAATAAATTTCCCTGTTGACACTTTGCTGGCATTTTCATGACCCTAAATGAAAAAGTCACATATTTTCAAGAAAGGCATCATAGGGTTGATAGTGTTTCCGACAGCTCGACAATCAAAATGGGTCAAATTGACCCGCCAACTTAAAATATGATCATTTTGATGGGACAACACATCTTCCCATAACCTAGACTGTTTTAAAATAACACAAACAGTACAAAAAAACTATGTTCTCACTCATCTTTTCTCTCTCTCTCAGACATCAATGAGTGTACAGTTCCAGATGTTTGCGGCACAAACGCAGTCTGCGTAAATCATCCAGGCAGCTTCATCTGCGAATGTCACCCGGGTTACAGTAACTACGGCAACAACCAGTCAAAATGCATCGGTGAGTGTTATAGCAGCAGGGCAAACTATTATTCGCTTCATTTTAGATGCACCGATGCAGTTTTTAGGTTGTTCTTATAGACGTTGGTGAGTGTTAGCTACTGATCTCTGCTGATGTTGTGCACAGAAATGGACTGTGATCAGTTTAAACCTCGGCCTGATGCAGAACACACTCCGGACAAGGTAGAATGTGCACTTCTGCTTATTTTGATTATTATTATGTTTATTAGATGCCAGGCTATCATGGTTTGTAAATGTTAAGATAAAATGTTCTTAAAATAACATTTATATGATGCTCTTTTAACTTTGTTAATATGTGTGGTTCTCATGATGTTGACAGAACAGTCTTAGAGCATCTTTATAATGGTTTTACTTGATGAATGTTCTCATAGTTTTGACAGAAAATGTTTACAGAACAAAATCCCTAATGATTTTATTTATATTTAATGAAATGCTAACGTCCACATTCTTTGAATATTACCAACAAAAAAAAGCATTCAGAGTATTTTATATTGAGTACAGGCTAGGAGAATGTTGTATTAACATTTCTCGGTTCCCATAAACACAAAGACAAATAGTCTCTGTTATCTGTTTGTATTCCTTTAGTTGAAGCATTTGATGTCACTGTTGAAGAACAGCTGTGAGTCTCTGAATGATCCACAGGGAGAACATTTGACCGGGAAGGAGTTACTGGAGGTTCAACACACACTGCATGATATATTCTCATAGTAGTTTGTGTACATGCTTTGATGAATATCACTGATTCATTTCACAGAACTTTTGCAATTCCACTGATGATCTGCTGTCGGACGGAAACATCGCTGACGGCGGGATGATGAGTCAGTTTCTGTTCGCGGTGGAGAACAGCATGCGTCTGATTGGACCTCAGCTTAAAGAGCCTGTGACCAGGATGGAGACGCACAACACCTGTGAGACACAAACGTTAATCCGCTAAATGTGCTGGATTTAGTTAAGATTGTTTAATTAAGCAGTTGTGATCATGTGATTCACAGTCGCTGAGGTTGCAGTCAGGCGGGGTCAGACTCCGCCCAGTGGGCGTGTCACTCTGAGCTTAGACTCCGCCCTCTTCAACACCAGCTGGGAAACAGTAGTCGGGAAATCATATCCAGGTACAAATACACTTAATTACACGCGGAAACATTTACTTACTTACATGAGGAAACATTCCCAAACTGTTCCACAAAGTTGGGAGCATGAATTTGTCCAAAATGTCTTGGTATTGAATAGCGTATTGGTCCAAAAAGAGTTTCTTTTACTGGAACTAAGAGGCCAATCCCTAAAAAACAACCCCGCACCATAATCCCCCCTCCACCAAACTACACTTGGCACAATGCAGTCAGGCAAGCACCGTTCTCCTTGCAACCGCCAAACACGGACTCGGATTTTATACAACTGTGGCCATGGAAGTGATCGGAACCCCTGAATTCAATTATTTGGAGGGCTGTCCCAATACTTTTGGCAATATAGTGTATATTGTACATATAAAAGCATGAGCGCATTCATGATAAGATGTGAATGTTGTTTTCCTTTAGGTTTTGCGTTTGTGGCGCTGGTCAGTTTTAAAGATATGAACTCATCCAGTGATCTGTTGAACAAGATGAGCAAATCATCACAGGAGCAGGAGAGCAGAGAGAGAAAAATCACTTATCAGCTCAACTCCAAGGTGGTGACGGCCGTCGTCAGTAATCCAGAAACCAAAGAGCTGTCTGAGCCGGTGACGATCATCTTTACACACGAGCAGGTGAAGATGCCGACCAACACAACAACTCTGTGACTTGACCGTTAAACAGTTACAAATGAAAAAACTACCACATAAATATGTATAGCTGATTTGTTACTGTTCCAAAATGGTCAACCAGTTTGCTTCAACTAATGACCTGCTTAGTTAGACCAGCAGAAAACCATCTACCGTGTGCCCAAACTTAAGCTGGATTTCTCATCAGGGTTTAAAGAGATTATAATGCCATTCTAAAGTGCCAGAACGCATTTACTAGAGCCCGACCGATAAAGGATTTTGAAGGCCGATATCAATACAAATGTTTGTTGGTTTTAAAATCCGATATATCGGCCGATATATATATTTTTTTTTTTTTTTGAAACACGCAACAAAAACATTCCCTAACATTAGTTATTTGTAGTTATTTATGAGTTTTAACTAAAATAATATGATAATGCATTTTATAAAGAAACTTGTTTCTTTTATTGTCACAACAAAACAGACTGATGACTGAGTGCCCTCTGGTGGACAAACTACACAACTCCAACACTCATGACATGGTTCAAGCGTGTTTCGGCCGTTTTTATTTTAGTTTTTAAATATTCATTTATCGGCCATTATAACTGCCGATACCGATAGTTTGTAAAATGCCTAATATCGGCTGATATTAGCCGATATATCGGTCTGGCTCTAGCATTTACACAAGATTTACAACTGCAGAATGCGTGTGCGATCAGAAATTGAAAAATACAAATGATGACTGAAGGCCTTCTAAAAATGTGACTGTAGAAATGATAAAATAGACTAGCCTAATGGTAGGGAAATCTGCGTGTATTGGGTGACGCAAAAGTGTGTAAATTTCGATGTAGTATGCACTCCAGGCGGCTAGGTGGCGATGTGGAGCGCTGCCACACAACAACACCAAGTCCGCGCGTCTACGTATGACCTTCACTGTGCCTTCTCTTATCAGTAATACTATGTGAGAATATTTCGTACAATGGTTTAATTTTTTTGCGTTTTTAAGCCCCGTCACCGTCGCCGTGTAAACGAAAGGCACATGCGATAAAATATTTGTACGTTTTCACCCGGAATCGTTCTCGTGTCTCGTAAACAGGGCCTTAGTTCATGCACGCACACACTTTGCGTTTTCCATTAGTTAACTTTTCGTGTTCCTTGTTTCCAAAACGGTTCTTCTCACTTCTTCAGGAGAGGGCGGAGCCTGAGGGTGTGGCTTATTCCTGTGTGTACTGGAATGAGGCTGAGGGGGCGTGGTCTGGGCGTGGCTGTAAGGAGGCGTGGTCTAACAGCACTCATACAGCGTGTTCCTGCACTCATCTCAGTAGTTTCGCTGTACTGATGGCCCTTTATCCCATACAGGTACATCTGTGACCTAGAAAAAACTTAGATTTCACACATTTAATTCAGATTTTAGATGAAATGATGATGATTTTTTCCCTCTTCCTCTCCCTCAGGACTCGTTTGAGCTGGTGTTGATCACTCGTGTGGGTTTAGTTCTGTCTCTGCTCTGTTTATTTCTCTGTATCCTGACGTTTCGGTTCTGCCGCACGATCCAAGGAACCCGAAACAGCATTCATCTTCATCTGAGCGTGTGCCTCTTCATCGCAGACCTCGTCTTCCTCTGCGGGATCTCCAGCACTCACGATCGGGTGTGTGTCTTATGTCTTATATCTTATGTATTTATGGGAGCTTTGAAGTCTAAAAGGTAAATTTTTCACTGATTTAGTTAGAATATTATGTGTTTTATTATTGACACACTGTGTTTAAACTGTAGATTCATAAAAATAACATCATCCAGATAGACGTTTGTCATTAAAGCATAACCATGAACACCTGATCACATTTTATCTGGGCTTGTTTTTCTTAAACAAATGTGTCTTATAAACACAGTTAAACTTGTCAGAGAAAATATAACGTTTAACGGCCAAGAGCCTAACTAAAGCGCACACTGATCATCATAATGGTGACTTCACACAAACCATCTAAACCTCTGTTAATTCTCAATAAGAGCCGTAGCTGAATAATAGCTCAATAATAATAGCTCAATTATAGACGTCTGACAGAAATAAAGTCAGTCTGCTTAGTATAGTTTAATGTTTCAATAGTTCATTGTGTTTTTCGTTTTCTCTCAGGTTGGGTGTGGGATTGTGGCCGGGCTGCTTCATTTCTTCTTCTTGTCTGCGTTCTGCTGGATGCTGCTGGAGGGGGTTCAGCTCTACCGGATGGTTGTGCTGGTGTTTCACACCACATTAAAACATGTCTACATGTATGCGGTGGGATACGGAGTCCCTCTCGTCATCGTCATTATTTCTGCTAGCACCTTCCCAAAGGGATACGGCACCGATCGACAGTGAGCGTCTAAACCTCTAGTGTGTGTGTGTGCCAGCTCTCTGAATCAGTCTTATCTCAGTTATTATTGTAGTTTTATTATTGTAAAATAAATAATTAATAAATTTAGTTTTTGTTAACGATAATAATAACCCTACTTAGATATAAAAATCACTCTTGCCATCAACATTTTTTGTAAAATGAAGTATTAAATAAAAAAAAAAAAATGCCTAAAATATAGATAAAAACCCTATGAATCAAAATTCGATGTCGAACCCATCTACAACTTTACTTTTGGCTGATATACACACTTAAAATTGCATATGATTTCCTTTCAGCAGAACAGGCCGAACGTTTTGATGATTCGCCTTGTTTGCAAAGAAATCATGCAAATCAAGTTTCATGACGAAATTTACAGTATATGAATGAAAAGTTATTAAAAATGTCTTGGAAGTCTTTGATATGTGACGCCCCAGAATGGTTAAACAGCTCCAACGAAGCAAAATATAAATGTATGTATTTTGTTATGTAGATTTCTCAACTCCTCTCGAAGGGGACTAACATTTATGCTTATGGAAGATGCTTTTATCCAAAGGAATGCAAATTATAGCGTACATTTTTCAAAGCTGCGATTTTGGTCAAGTCAAATTCACCTTCACCATAAAGTTCATACCCATATTTTTAATGTAATACAACGACACAGTAATACTCAGTATAAAAGGGTCATTCTGAACCAGAACTACTGGTTAACTCTATGCAAAATGCAAGAGATTCATGTCTTTCTGTCACCGAACAGGTGTATTAATTGAATGTAGATAATAAAATGCACTAAACTCGCATCAACACTACCGCCTGATCTCCAACAGGGAAACTCCTGTGTCAATAATTCATTGTTAGGCTTCAGAAACTTCAGGGTCAAACATCAACTCAGAAGCTGTAAATCCAGATGAATCATTCACAGTCTCTGAAGGCCAATGATTTTCCAGTCTCGACATGCTGTAATTAGATATATTACAGTACTTTCTGTGGAAGAGCGAAGGCGGCCAGCAGGCCGTGATGACATCATGCTATTATCTTTAACTCAAACTGAAGACGTTAAAAATGTAAATACTGGGGTGAAAAAAAGTTTACTTAGGAAAAAAATGCGTGTGTTTATAACCATGTGACTGGTTTATCATTCCAGCTGTTGGCTCTCTCTAGATGGTTATTTTATCTTGAGTTTTTTCGCACCCGTCTGCATCATCGTCCTCCTCAACTGTTTCTTCTTCATCATCACTGTGTGGAAACTGGCCAACAAATTCTCCAGTCTCAATCCAGACCTCTCCAAACTCAAACAGATCAGGTGTGTGTCAATTTTACTCAAATTCGTATACTATTACAGTTTTTATTATTATTATTTTTATTGCAGGAGTTTTACGATGACCGCAGTGGCTCAGCTGTGTGTTCTCGGAGGGACGTGGGTTTTCGGCTTCTTCCTCTTCCAGGAGAACGGGACTGAAGTCATGTTGTACCTCTTCACCATCCTCAACAGCCTCCAGGGGGCGCTCATCTTCATCATGCACTGCCTGCTGTCCAAACCGGTACTGACAGCAGAACACACATGATGAATGGCCTTCAACACACTGAAGGTTTGGTAACAGGGGATTGTTTTAGACACATCTCGCAGGACTTCAACAGTTTAACGTGACAGTTCACACAAACTCGAAACTCGGACGTATGTACAGATGTACTTATTGTTCTGAATTAGTGGTTGAATGATATACCGGTTTTGGAAACATGTTTTTGAAAGAAGTCTCTTATGCTCATCAAACCTGCATTTATTTGATCAAAAATACAGAAAAAATTGTAAAATTGTTAAATATTATTACAATTTAAAGTAATGGTTTTCTATTTTAATATACTTTAAATTAAAATTTATTTTTGTGTTGTAAAGCTGAATTTTGATCAGCCATTACTCCAGTCTTCAGTGTCACATGATCTTTCAGAAATCATTCAAATACTTTATCTCATAATGATTAATTTTTCAATACAATTTTTTTTTTAATTTAGTGAATATGTAACAAATCGAAATTTCATTGCAGCAATTACGCATAGATTTAATTGTGTAATATTATATCGACCTCTAGGGTTTGATCTGAAACAAACGGTAATTTATCGCTAAGTCAGTTAATTTGCATCAATTATTTTGTCTGTTTTGTCGCCCCCTTCAGGTCAGGGCGGAGTATCACAAACTGTTTGTCCGATTGTGTCCACATAATGAGAAAGGAGAATACAGTACCAGCCAGTCCAACAGCAGTCAGGTACGTCAAGCCGGTTTTTACTCGCATGCGAGGGTCTGCGTACGGTAAGGTGAACAGCATGTGTGTATTTTGCACACTAATCAGTTGTTCCACAAGGTGGCAGCACTGTCTCGGGGCGTTGTTTCCCAGTAGAAAACGAAACTAAAGAGACGAAACAACAACCACAGGCGCCCACATCGAGAGCCGTAACTTTAGAATACAAAAGAATACAAAGACTTTTTATTGGTCGTAACGTCTGGAGAGACACTGAACAAAGATGAAACTTTCTGGAGCAATTGTTGACCTGTGTTCACGCACCCTATCGAACGGAGTATACTATGAAAGGCTATTCAACTGTATGCATACAATAGTGTCCGTGTAAAAGTATATTTTGGGCTTAAGTGAGTGTGTTTGAGTGTTTGTGACATTCTTTCATTGACTTTCATAGAAACCTCTTCGGGTCGACAACAGCACTGGAGAGTCAGAGATATAAACTTCTGGTGGGTTTTTACAAACTCTCGAACACTATTGACTTTCAACGACAAACGAAGACCTTCAGCTCAACCTTTCCAGTCAGAAGATCTTTACGTGCTTTGCATCCGTCCGTTCGGTGAGAACGTTGTAAATAAATAAATATTGTAGCTAATAACAGACATTCCTGTTAATAATACTGACCAATCACAGGTGTTTAAGTTACTGGTAGTGATAATCTGCAATCTTTCGAAGCGCTGAATGAGTTTGTGTAGCTTATTTACAAATTTTGTTTACAAACTTTGTAAACGAAGTTTACAAATTTTACTAAAAATAAAAGCAAAATGTGAAAGCTATATTGGTAAGTGGAAACGGTTGATGAGCCGATACGTGTTCCTCTGCCGCCATCTACCGGTTATTTAATGTCTTTTAAAAAAATTTGTTAGTTTTCCTACATCGTGAAACATTTAGTTTTACAATTGAGGACAATATGTAGGATATTTTTTTGGTCATCACATTAAAAATAACATTTAAATTGGATAATATTCATACTTTTGAATAAATATGTCATCAGGGTGCTTCTGTCTTTGTTGTTTTTTGTGAAACTGGATGTTATATCATGCAAATTGCAGCTTGTTTAAAATAATCAATGTTGTATTGCTTTGAGGGAGATCTTGACATGATTATGCCACTAAACGAATGTTAAAATAATCCATAAGTGAAAGGGAAACTAGCTTTACGATACATAAATGATCTGATCTGAGAGACTGGGGTTATTAAATAATACGTGATCTTAACAGATAGTGTCTGTTTGTGTACTAATATTTCTTGAGTTTATTTTAAAATGCATTAAAAACATATTTTGTTTAAATCATTCTGTGTTGTTATTATGCTGATGATCAAACCGTAAATATAGGTCTGATTTCTGCCCTGTTTTTTCTCAGTTCTTCCTCTTTCACAGGAATGTAACTTATAACAGAGAGTTACGCTGAGTGAAATGTGTTTATATTGGTAAAAACGTCATGGTCGTGTGAAAAGGACAAATCTTAGGAGTATTGAGAAGAGCAAAATGCGACCACACTTTAGCAGCAACCACTTCAGTTACTGTAAATGTGTGTTTCAGAATAATGAGGGTTTTCTGGATCTGAAATAGCTTTCGAGACTCAAAATTTCTGCCAATTTTCTGAAGCGATTTATTTATTTATGTAAGCTTTACAATGTGTGTTGAAGAAAGACGTACTGTAGTTCTGTTTGAAGTTTCAGCGCATTATTATTATTGTCATTGCATTTGTTTTTGAACACTTTTGAGTCAAGAGTCAACCCAACAACTTTGCTTGTTAATTGCACTAATTTTGCTTATTCTGATCACTTATCCTGGGTTTTTTCTAAATGATGCATGTGTGTTTCAGAAATATTTGACATATTTTAATAGTTTCTACCTGTTGTGTTGAAAACATTTCTGTCATATGTTCTCATTTTGTTTTACTTGGCATGTTTTGATCAGTTTTCTTATTTTATGTTCCCATGGCACTGAAGTAGATGGAAATATGTGAATGTTTTGGGTGGGTTTTGAAGAGCTGCAGGGCTGGAAATATAAGAACAGAAGCAAAGGGAGAACAGCATCTCTCTTGTCTTGACACAAGCAGGAATACAGCAGAACGTATAGTGGAAAATCATTGAACAAATAACAGGCGAGAAATAACCTTTGCAGGATTTCATACATGGAGCTGAAATGGACACTTCTTTTGGGTGAGTAGCCTATATTGTTTTGCTCGGTTCACATGTGCAGTGAGTGAATATATATTTCTGGCGCAATTCAAGTGGATAGTGGTCAGACGGCTGCTGGGAACATGCAGATCTGAACCGTGCCTGTTTGTTTGTGTTGAGCAAGACTTCTTCAAAGTTGTCGATTTCTGTTTCTAGAAATGTGAAACCAGATAGCCTCGTCTCTCCCACCGCACCCCCACCCCTCGTGTAAGAAAGGCTTATAGTAAGGAAATGATTGTGAAATAGTGCAGCACAAAGGAGTTTTTCTCTTTAACCGCCCACAAGGATCCAGCGCATGCTCTGTGCTTTTCATGTTAGCTCCCTCTGCTGCGGCTTTTATGATGAAGGACAATGGGACATTGAAGCAAGATAACCACAGATGTATTTTTGGACGTTTTTCCAACATTTGTCTCATCAATCAGATATACTGATGTTAAAGGAGTAATTCACTTAAAAAAAAAAACACACAACTTTTGCTGATAATTTACTCGCCCCCATGTCATCCGAGATGTCCATGTCTTTCTTTCTTCAGTCGAAAAGAAATTAAGGTTTTTGATGAAAACATTCCAGGATTTTTCTCCATATAATGAACTTCAATGGGATCCAGACGGTTCAAGTTCCATGACAAAATTAACGAATCTTTTCATTTTCAAAAGATTTGTTCATTTACGAGTTCCAACAGGAGAGTCATGAACGCGCATCACAGAACTGAGCAAGGCGAGCATTTGTGCTTATAAAACTTAAACTTTTTTATTTATTTTTTAAATGAGCGATCGTTTCGCTTGATAAGACCCTCATCGTCTGGAATCGTTTAAAGCCCTTTGAACAGTTTGCACTGAAACTGTCACTTTGAACCGTTTGGTTCCGATTGAAGTCCATTATATGGAGAAAAATCCTGGAATGTTTTCATCAAAAACCTTAATTTCTTTTCGACTGAAGAAAGAAAGACATGGACATCTCGGATGACATGGGGGTGAGTAAATTATCAGCAAAAGTTTTTTTTTAAAAAAGTCAACTACTCCTTTTAGCATTAGCTGATGTAAAAAGTATAGCTAAAAAACTATCACAAAGTTATTGTGAGTTTTTACTATAGCTGTATTTTTTTTCCCTTTCTCTTTCAGGTCTCTGTCTGCCATCATGTGTTGTTGGTAATTATGACCTTTTCAAGTTTTAATGATCTGAACATTTAAAAGAGAAAGTATGTATAACTGTTGTTGTAGTCATACAACTCTTCAAATCGTCGAAATCGTCCAGGACATTTAAGGGCGTCCGGCCCTTTTGTGCAAAAACTTTATTTAATTTTTTTACAAAACATAAAAGACACAATATTTGCAGTAGGCCTACATCATTGCCAACTGCTCTCTTTCCCTCCTGTCAAATATAGAGTGTGCCCCTGAAAATGAATTTGACAGCTCTGGCGATTTCATGTTTTTGGGCCCATATGACTATGAAGAAGAAGGTACCTTTTCTAATTTTAGCAGAAACTCCAAATTGACTTGCACATTGTAGCTAAAAGGTTTTGGTCATAAAATGTTTGTCATTTTGGCTACATGTCTTTGCTTAAATTATAATTAATTTGTTCTAAAACAATTATTAATGCTAATTGCTCTTTCTTTTCTGTTGGATATAGACGGTTCATCTTCAGGCTCTGGTGATGTGGAGACAACAACAGAAATGTTTTTTCCGGGCTTATCTGATCTGGACTTTCAGACCACGACTGGCTCTAAATCAAAATCTGAGGGTGCCTCTTTATGCTATATTATGCTATATGTCCTATTGTGGTGTGTGGTAATGGCAGGTTGAAGGATGATGAAGGTTACAGATAACTTATCACAGCACACTGGGCCAGCTAACCAATCACAGCACACTGGGCCAGCTAACCAATCACCCAAATACAATATCAAGACTTCATAAAAGGGCATAAAAATGCCACTTTAAAATGATTTAAATTGTAATAGTATTAATGTTCTCTCTCTCTCTCTCTCTCTCTCTCTCTCTCTCTCTCTCTCTCTCTCTCTCTCTCTCAGACATCGATGAGTGTAAAGATCCAGATGTTTGCGGCACAAACGCAGTCTGCATAAATCATCCAGGCAGCTTCATCTGCGAATGTCACCCGGGTTACAGTAACTACGGCAACAACCAGTCAAAATGCATCGGTGAGAATTTTAGCAGGTTCTGTTCATTAACAGCTAATGAGACTCTTGTAGAAGTTAATCAGCGCACTGTAGTCTTTTTATTTATTTTGATCTTTGCTGATGTTGTGCACAGAAATGGACTGTGATCAGTTTAAACCTCGGCCTGATGCAGAACACACACCGGAGAAGGTAGACTGTGTACTTCTGCTTATTATGATTGTTATAATTATATTATTATATTATATGCCCAGCTAAAAGGGCACCTTCCCACATTTTTCTCAATTTTGAAAAAGTTATGTAAATGTTAAGATAAAATGTTCTTAAAATTACATTTGATGTTCATATATTATTAATATGTGTTCTCATTTCTTTGTGGAGAGAAAACTTCTTAACTAGAGTTGACACTATTCTGGAATTTTGGAAACTTCGATACGATATTTGAAAAATGGCGATATTCGATACCACAGGGAAAAAAACTGCCATATCGATTTTTTTTTAAATTATTATCTCATAATTGTTTGAACATTTTATTACATTTGATTTCTGTATGTCTTCCTTTAGTTGAAGCATTTGATGTCACTGTTGAAGAACAGCTGTGAGTCTCTGAATGACACACAGGGAGAACATTTGACCGGGAAGGAGTTACTGGAGGTTAAACACACACTGCATCATATATTCTCATAGTAGTTTGTGTACATGCACTTGCACAATGGCTGAATTAAATTAATTTCACAGAACTTTTGCAATTCCACTGATGATCTGCTGTCGGACGGAAACATCGCTGACGGCGAGACGATGAGTCAGTTTCTGGACACGGTGGAGAAAGGCATGCGTCTGATTGGACCTCAGCTTAAAGAGCCTGTGAGCAGGATGGAGACGCACAACACCAGTGAGACACAAACATTTACAGTTTACACATTATCTCAATGTGTTGCTGAGTGGAAATCATACTCGGTTACTAGTAACGTGACCTCGGTTCACCTGAGAGTATGGTCACTTCGTATTGTGTAGCTACTCCTTTTCCTCAAAATATTGAAGCAATAATTTAAAACGCAGATAATGGCACATCCAATGGCCGAGTGCCCCAATCAACTGACTTGGCGCCAGGTACGTCAGAGAGCTCCTAAATGGGCGTGGCCTAAACCCAGTGTTGTAGTCGAGACCAGCTCACTCGAGTCCGAGACCAAAGAGAGTCGAGTCCAAGTCGAGACCGAGACCAAAGAGAGTCGAGTCCCAGTCGAGACCGAGACCATAGAGGGTCGGGTCCGAGTCGAGACCGAGTCGAGACCGAGACCATAGAGGGTCGGGTCCGAGTCGAGACCGAGACCAAAGAGAGTCGAGTCCGAGTCGAGACCGAGACCAAAGAGGGTCGAGTCCAAGTCGAGACCGAGACCGAGTCGAGACCGAGACCAAAGAGGGTCGGGTCCGAGTCGAGACCGAGACCAAAGAGAGTCGAGTCCGAGTCGAGACCGAGACCAAAGAGAGTCGAGTCCGAGTCGAGACCGAGACCAAAGAGGGTCGAGTCCAAGTCGAGACCGAGACCAAAGAGAGTCGAGTCCCAGTCGAGACCGAGACCATAGAGGGTCGGGTCCGAGTCGAGACCGAGACCAAAGAGAGTCGAGTCCGAGTCGAGACCGAGACCAAAGAGAGTCGAGTCCGAGTCGAGACCGAGACCAAAGAAAGTCGAGTCCGAGTCGAGACCGAGACCAAAGAAAGTCGAGTCCGAGTCGAGACCGAGACCAAAGAAAGTCGAGTCCGAGGCAAGACCGAGACCAAAGAGAGTCGAGTCCAAGTCGAGGCTGAGACCAAAGACAGTCAAGTCCGAGTCCAGACCGAGACCAAAGAGAGTCGAGTCCGAGTCAAAACTGAGACCAAAGACAGTCAAGTCCGAGTCGAGACCGAGACCAAAGAGAGTCGAGTCCAAGTCGAGACCAAAGAGAGTGGAGTCCGAGTCGAGACCGAGACCAAAGAG